AGCATTCGAATACCAATAACTTTGATCCGTTATTAACTCATTATCTCAATGAATATATTTTAGATCATTTTTAAATCTGGATACTGATAAATGCGGCTGAATTTACTATTTCTATTGTAATAATATAATATCATAATTATAGAATACTCCTTATTCCTTATTATTAATATTAATTTATATGGTTATAATATAATAATTAATAGACTTTCTCTGAGGAAGGTTATATGATACTATTAAATATTAATTATAAAATATTTTACTACTAGATAACCTGTAGCTTTGTCTGCATTAATATAAAATCATATGGATATTTCTAACTATATTCGTACACATGGGTGTAAGTATATAGATCATCTGTACAACAAACTTCGTTCAATTCTGTTCAAATATTTATTAAAATGGAATGTTATGCAATATATAAAACGATTTTTTACATTTATAATACTAGCTGTTACCTGCAGTTTTGCCCGCATAAAATACGTTGAACGAGATATCGTATGTACTTTATTCTATCTTACGTCTTTCTGTATGCAATGTACACTCTGATTTTTCAACTTCTACTAGAATTGACGCAATAAAATTTCTATTCTGACAGAGCGGAAATGATGATCATGAAGATTATTATGATACTGAACACTTTTGTTGCTAAGATTAAATCAATGTTTATTTTCAATAAAATTCTCTAGCAAACATACTTATTAATTAGTGTGCTAACCTTAAATTAAAGAAAAAACGTGAGGTTGGATTCATCATTGCAATTTGTATTGAATGCCATATTCACTAGCAATGATGAACAATTTTCGGACGCATTACTTATATGTAACTACTTGAACATAAAAAAAAACTGACTGATTTACTGTCATCATAGCCAATTATTCCCGGTATTGATTTTTCACAAAGCTTTTACGGAACACATGTTAGGAGACGTAACACTACATCAATCTTTTAAATCAACCTAATCATAATCAAACTAATTTTCATTAGCAGGTGAGGCCTGGTTTCAGGACGCTCTGCTATTTCTGGACCAAGGCGACGGCCATGAATTTGTTAAAGCAAGGGCTGCTAGGAATCCCTGGGCTGCGGTAGGCTGCAAATTCCCATTAATCCTAGCTGCAAATAAAAACTAGAAACAAAGAGCCGAAGGTCATTCTCAATGGCGTACCTTGGTAAAGGCTTATGTCCAGCAGTGGATAGCAGTAAGCTGATTATGATGACAATTATTCTTTAATACAAATTTGATACAAATTCTATAAATATCAACTGATAGACATCTAAATTAATTAGATTAATTGAGTATTCGATAAATAAACAGTAGTAAATACATGTCTATTTAAGTAATAATTAGGAAGGCAATTAATCATATTACGAATATCATTAAACCCATTAAACAATGTTGCTTGAATTTCGATGCTACAGATAAATATCAAAAAAATTAAATGAGTTAGCGACCTTCACGTTTCACTGTCACGTTACTGGCTCGTGGCAATAGGCTTACTTGCAGTCACCCGCCGCCGCTTGACTACTACAGGGTGTGTCTTGCTGACGTATTGTACACAATAAATGTACGCACTTTACACGTTCGCTCTTACTTCTTGTCACGTCAATCAAAGCATGCGCCACTGTCAAACCAGTTTAGTGTGAAAAAAATACATTTGCTATCAACAGTCAAGTTTGAAATTCAAAAACAGAATGACTCTCCTTGCTTGCAATCCCAATTAATCCAAAAATACTTCTTGTAATTCTTTAATGAAAAATTTTTAATCGAAAGTGTAGTCTCCGTCTATTTTTTAAGACATAAGGAATCGTACATACAGTTTTATTTTTAAGCGACTTCAATAAAGGAGAAGGTTCTTAAAATTATTTTTTTAATTAAAAGGATATACTTTTAAATTGGTCCCATAGAATCTTTATTATTAATTGTTCAGTAGTTTAGTTTTTAAATCAAAATAACCGGTTTTACCACTATTGAAGTATTTTTTTTTGTCGAATAAAATCTTTTTTTTATTAGATACATATCCTCATTTAATAACTAAAGAGTTCGAATGGTTATTTATTTATTTACTAGCTGTATCCGCGATTTAATTCACATAACTATGATAAAAATATAGATTTATAATAGTTATGAATAAACATATGTTAAATAAAAAATTACCACCTATTTATCTTTACATGTAATATCTGTTAACAATTAGAAATAATATATTAAATAAATTTCAAAAACCAAATTTCAATTGGTTTTTATTTCTTTCAAATCACCAATATGAAAATAATTATTATATATGTTACAAGTATTATGTAACTATTGTAATCCACCGAATTCTATAGATTTAAGTAAAGATATGAGTAATACGCAATTACATTGTGTAAACAAAACCCCATTGCTCTTCACTGGTCTCCATAGGAGAAGAACATATCTACTATTTTCACACTGATCTATTTCACAAAAGACTTGATAAATATAGGATTAAATTTTAAAATGTTCCTTCACTTATAACAATTGTATCAATTGATTCCAAAGCAATTAATATATATTTCAAAACAATTATCAATTAATGTATTAGTATCTTATTATTGTAAATGTTTAAATTAATCACATTTAGATTAAATTATAATTTATGTAATTACTAAGTTTAGACCTCAGGAATAACAACGTGTAGGTAACTATAGACAAAAGTCAGTGGATGCAGGTGGCTCGGGACCGTTTCTTATGGTAGTTTATTTGGGGGAGAGGGGTATTTTTTTCTTATACAACTTAGAATGTCAAACAAGCTGACAACCCACCTGATGGAAAGTGGTAACCGTCGCCTATAGACATCAGCAGTACCATGGATATAACAGAGTATACTGTTTCGCCCATGATACCCCCATGCGTTGCAATTTCTGAGGACTCACTGTAAATTCACGCCATATCCCATCCTTCTAACCGAAACACAGCCATGCAAACATAACTGCTTCATGGTTGAAATACGAATGGGATAAAGGGGGTACCTTTATCATTAAAAACTTTCATATTTATTATAATAATAGAATTAATGGGATAAGTAGATAGATAGGTATACGAGTATATTGTACCATGAATTTTTAATAAATACCTACCCAGGATATTATTGTTAATCATTGTTTCAATACTTCATCATATTGAACAATTTATTTAAAGGTCATATCTACGTACTAAGGAATTTGTCACAATTTTTCAATGAGAAAGGTCAAAGTATATGGTCAATGTTTCTCGAGCTGATTAGCCGCCTACTAACACGATTTTATATGTCAACTAACACTGTATAGTCATGTTTTGAAATAGATACTTGCACCCACGTTATTAAATTATATATCCCGTTTCTATGTCTAGATTTATACTCACACATACACCTAGTATCTATGAGTAAGTACTTCAGCATATTTGTAAAATTAAACTGAAACATGTCGTCTCAAATACAATTTAAATATGAGGTTTCAATAATAAGTACTGTTTCTTATAACCAAATCGTTTCAAATCAGCATTTCCGGGTGTGACCGCAAAAGTTAAAACCTATAGCTCCTACAGCGTAAGGAGAGGGGATTGCTAGCAATGGGACTATCCATTAGTTGAACCACACAATTCATTCAAAATGTCGTACATGGTGCCTCATAGAATCGCACACAATATACAAGATTTGAATGTATAACACGTAGTAAAACATTAAACTTACCAATCTAAAGGGAAGAATTTTTTTAGTAATGGGTTTAGCGGCCCCATTGCTAACAATACTGTGTCAGATCGACCTTCACGCATTTCCTTTTGAAACCATGATTTGGAAGTCATGATGGGCTAACTGATCTGCTTTCATCCTCACTTATCATATCTCACTGCTACACTACCAATGTATACCGAGAGTGCAGGCGGGGTTACCAATTTATTTCCTCCATTAAAAAAACTATCGGCCGATATTATAATAGTAAGCTTTATCCATTTTTTATAGATTGTTAAGGAAAGGTATATTCCCACAGGACAATTCGTAATTGCAGTTGCGAGCAAAAGCTACTGCTTAATAATGTACACATGGAAATATTAGAACAAATCAGTGGTATGTTTGGCGCGATAGCAAGGTCGCATGTACGGTCACTGACAGCTGACTAGCCGTCCCGCCGGCGTAACACACCACGCGCCGCCGCGCCGCCGCGCCGCCGCTCCGTCCGCCGTCTACCACTCGGTTGAGCCGTTTCCGTTCGGCTTGTAAACGCTCCGTCGCACTTCAATGTTAATATTATATGTAATTAACATTCACGACTCCTATCAATTCATTTTAATTAAATGCATAAACTAATTCACAATTTGTAAAAAAATCTTAATATTTTGAATCCCCCATAAGGGGAGGTCTGCCAGTAGTCATCATGAAATACACTTACACTCCCAACTCCCTGGACCCCCTAACAAAATAATAATAATATATAACTAAATAGAGATTGTTTTTTAATTATTAATTTAGCAATATGATACCAACGATATGTAAAACTAACCAAATTACAAATCATCAAAGGTCCGTGACAGACGGATGAAAAAACAAAGTTGTTCCGTAAAAGTTCCTTTGTATAATTTTCGTTCAGAGCCCTAAAATATGTCAAAGAATAATCAGGTATCAAATTAAACGATTATAAAAATGTAGCACATTGCAGTACCAACCAGTTTTACATATCTCGTAGGTCAAACTGACATATTAACTTTTTACATCGATAACTTACGCAATTTTCCGTGTTTAAGTATCCGGAAAGTGTCACCGAGATATTTCAATTATATTAATTAAAAGATTACTTTAAAAATTTTGTTCGATAATTACTGAAAAATATAAATTGGTACATATAAAACCTAAATCCTTCGTAAATCCCATCAATAAATCTCTATATACTTACTACTGTACCTAATACATTACTATTAATTATCTATTCAAACTATTAAAGAGCTTTCACCAAAGTACAAACTTGAGCTAATTCATTTTAATAATAGAATATTTTATATTTTCCAGATCCTACAATGCGTACTCGTTTCACCGCGACCTGTACACGATCAAAAACAAGTAACTCCTAAATATGACTACAATACTCAAAGTATACCAAAGTATGACAACACAGGTTATCCACGTGATGAACAAGTTATTTCTGTGAGAATTACGTCGTCAGTAGCTGTAGGCCGGCGGAAAGGAAAACATATTGAAAATAATCCTGAAACTACTAATGAAAATGGCCACGACGAATCTTTTCTTGCCACAGATGCAACAACAGTAATAAGTAACACGGAAAATGTAAGTAATATAGAAGAATTAGAGATTGCAACCGATATTCCACCTAGTCTTATTGGGGCCAACATAGAATTTATTAAACAACTTAATGCGAAGAAAGAATTACACGGCATACTGAATGAAGAAAACATTCATCCATTTCAACTCAATGCGATGAAACATTCCGAAGAGTTTCATAGTCATAACTTTGATTCCAAATCTATTTCAGGATTTGAAAGTCATAAGGATAATTATAATGATGACTATAATTTTAACCATAACGATTATAAATTAAATACCAAAAATCGAAACTATAGTGAGGACACGATATTAAAACCACATTATGATATTAACAGCGAAATCAGTACCATTAACGAAAATGTACCCCTAGCTCGATCAGTTACATCATTAAATAGCGATCTTACAAAGAAGAAGAAGGATATAATAATTCCAGATTCATATCAATATCAAATACAACAAAATTTAAACCACAATGAATCAGAGGATTCTATTGCTGAATCATCTATTAAGTCAGTCTTAGAAATCCAAGACAAAAATAATAAAAATATTGATAACATACCAATTGCCAGAGCGGTATCAATATCATCGTCTTCAAATAATTATATTCAAGGTCTAACAAATAAACCACTCGATGAAATAGGGAACAGTGCAAGTCTGACAACTGTTAGCTTTAATATAGTTCATGATGTGCCCAATCAAAATAATTATAATGAACTTAGGAACGCAAACAGAAATCCAAATATAGATCAAGAGAATGTCCAAAAATTTTTTGATCCGCCCACAATTTACAGTCAACCTGCTAAAGTATATAGTGAACCTGCTAAATTTTATAGTGAGCCAGCCAAAGTATATAGTGAACCTGCCAAAATCTACAGTGAACCGGCTAAAATTTACAGTGAACCTGCAAAAATTTATAGCGAACCAGCAAAATTTTATAGTCAACCTGCATCTCTACACCTATCTCCAAGTGTTCCTCCAACTTACACTCCTTGGCAGCCTACTCCGCAAAAATTAGACACAGCAAGTACCAGTAATACTACTCCAATTACCACTAATACTAAAATTCCTTCTGGTGTAATGAATATACAGTCAGTTCCAGAACATCAACCAGAGAAAAATTATGAAATAGATGAAAAAATTAGCGTATTGAGTGAAGGACGGATACATGGTATTCAAGAAACAACTACGGAAAAATGTAAGCAAGATAATTGTAAAGTAGGATATGTAGTAGAAGGACGGCAATACAAGAAATATAGAGTGGAAGAAAGAACTTCAGATGGCTTTATAGTAGGAGAATACGGAGTGGTCAGAAATGAAGATGGAGCATTAAGAGGCGTCAGATACACGGCAGACAGTGACGCTAGTCCACGTCTCATATATGATGCTCTTATGAAGTTCCTGCAACTTAAATGAATTCAACTATTCAGTACTTATTTAATAGATAAATAAAAATAACACAAAACTTATTTGCTCATTTATTAATAAGTATGTACTATATTATATATATGAATAACCAACAATGCAATGTACTTAACAATTTATATAGATATATTTAAGACTGACTTTATGATGTTAACGTTTCGATTAGGTACTTCTGCTGAACAACCTCTCTATCTTTGATGAATATGTTTTCACTTCAATTTACTGTCTAAATATATAAAACTAAATAATAACAAGCAATGCAAAGCAACAAAAAATATCAGTACATAATTTTTATATTATGTTACATGGATATAATTTATGTAAAGCGTTTAATTCGATTCTACGTCTGCAGTTTTTTAATTATTGATAACTGTTACATTAATAAGTATTCCTTCATATTGTATATTTCAACATATCTAGAAGGAATGTGGTGCCATGACACTATTTTAAACGAAATTATTTCAATACTTAATATTTTAATTTATTAAGTTAATAGATATAAGTAAATATATTGTGATTTTAAAGTATGTACATAAAAACTGTGGATTAAATATTGAGAAATACACACATATGTTTCTTAATGATATAATATTAATTAATTTTGCGCAAATTAGTGATATCTAAATACATTCGATTCGATAACTGTAATTGCAATAACATAAAATAGGTAGCTAGTAGACTACATTTATATCGTGTAGATATACTTATTACTAAACAAAGCATAATTAATATTTAGCAACACTTATTCTCGTATCATGAAACCGACGATAAAATCTACGACCAAATAAATATTAACCAATTGTAATGTCTTTGACCTTCATAAATTGATTGATCATTTCATCGTCTTGCTTATTTATATAAATTATAAGAAATTTACACTTTAAAATAAAACATAAGATGTTCAAGAATTTAAATTGATACCCGATCTATTATTATTATCAAGTAAGTCATTGTTTAAACAAAATAATTAATTACAAAATAATTACACTAATCATCAATTCATCCTTATTCCTAATCAACAGCAAACTTTTGACTTTAAGTGTGGCATATATTAGTAGAAAACGACATCGAATAATATTAAAAGTATGTATCTATTGTTCATATTACATTATTGTATATTTTAATCTAGGTCTTCTTTAATTAATAATAGTAATTACTTACAGTAATTATGAAAAGATGATGGATTAAATCTGTTACTTAAACTTTAATCAACATACATACATAAGTATGTATGTTGAATTTATTATCAAGGTATTGACAAATCATCCCATTTCTAATAGTTCCCATTACTTTTGATCGTGTTTATATATTTATTTTATTTTATATATATTATATTTCATTCACATTTCCACTCCATAATAATTATCGAAAAACAGTAATCTTGTGGTTGTGATTTGATACAATATATGTACGTGCATACGTACCTATTTCAAGTCCTGTTTAATATTTTGATAGATTTTAATTCTAAACAAATATAAATTTCGACCTAAGTATTATTAATATTTGGCTAATATTTTGATAGCTTACAATTAATCCTGTTGGCATAGGTATCAATTCGAATATTCAGATATGTATGAAGTTGGTACAACACCTTTAACAAAAGGTGAATTTTAATGAAAAATACTAAATTTTTACAAAGTTTTAGATACTTCCTATAGTTGCCCATATAAGTATATAAAAAACGATATTACTAACTCTATGATATACAAACACTCAGAAGCAGATATATATGGGTAGTTATTTTCTTGGTTTCACTATAAACATGGCATTTTCAATAAACTTCAAAAATGAGAATTAGGAATCAATGTTAATTTCAATGTTGAAAAATTACAATACATCGATACATCTGGTATATAAACTATTGTTGATATTATTCCGCATGCATATTTAGTCCAAAATCCAGTCCTAGTAATGATATCGTACGTTCATGAAACTGACCAATTCTCCCTACAACACAAATACCTAATACGTACTTTCATTCTTACTATATTAATCAATTGACAGACAAAGGTTTGCATAAATATTCACAAATTATTTTCATATTATACCATGAACAATATTATTGATGGACTTGTGATAATATGAATAGGTCATGTTTTGTATAATCCACCGTATCTATTCCTTAAACAACCATTTAATTATTTTGAAATCTTAAGTCGTTGTACCACATTTTGTCTGTACTGTATACCAAAAACTGATGAGTAATGTGTAGTATATTTTTATAAAAAAAAACCTTTCAACTTTACGGAGTTCCGTACTGAAATAGTTCCGTACTGAAGTAGTTACATAATTCTGTCACTTCGGACCTTTAATTCTTAAGTAAATTTGAACCCCTCCATTTGCTTTTATCTTAAAAAAGATAGGAACATCTTTTTTTAAACGATTTCCAAAAAAATTCTGAATAAGTTTGAATATTTTTATATACCTACTATAATCTGTTATCTGTCTACCGTTGGTGTTGTGGTTGATCATGGGCGGCGGTAATCACTTACTATCAGGTGAGCCGCATGCTTGTTTACCCCCTATGTTGTAAAAAAAGTCTAAGATACCTATGTAGATATACATATGTATATTATAAAATGGCAAATAAATCATTCAGTTCCATCATATTGAAAGTAGCAAGCGTTTTTTATAGATATAAACACCTATATGAATAATATAAAATATACTGTGAGGCCAATAGTGGACATCCCTCATGCGTTGTCACTTGCTATTTCGTTTTGTTACTTTCTTCATAAGTCTTTACACAAACATTATTATATTCACTTTATGCTATATAAGTAATATTTGGATAAGTAATTTCACGTGCCTAAATTACAATTATTTTTCAATTTAGGATTCTGTAGTGGACGACAAACAAAGTAAATAATAAATATCCAACATTCCACAAAACTTAGAAAATCCTCTAACAACACTTTGTGCATTATTTAATTAACAACAATTTAAAAACTTTTGGAAGCACATGGCATACAGATAATCATTTTGACAAACTATTTCTGTCGGCCCGATTAATAAATCCTTATAAAAATTATACCTTAGTACTTTCACCATAATGTTTTAACATCCTGAAAAACCTTTACAAATAATATATCTAAACATCTACAACGAGATAAGCTTGTACATTCTCTTGTAAATCTTATCATAATACAAACTATAAAATTTATTAGGGTTTCAACAATTTTGGATGTCTCAATCATGGCCGACAAATGAATTGTCCGTCATGGTCCTTAATTTTAATTTTATTAATAATTATAATATGTATTTTTAACTACTGCCTATATTTATCACAAATCTTTCTAACACAGGGTAAAACATAATAGCAAATTATAAAAATTATAATATAGAAATGGTACATTCTAAGGAAAATTACGCTATTACAACAAAATATTGTTAACTATGATTAGACCGTCCAAATAGGTATAAGTAGATCAAGTTTACGAAACTCAGTGAGAAAATTACTATTGATTATATTAGATATCAAAGTAGTAAATTAATTTATATGATATTTAACGCGTATTTAAACTGGACTTCTTATTTAAAAAAAAAATTGCGCAATTATAAATGTAAAAGTTAGACTTATGTATATTTAGTAACATGTACCTAATATTACGAGATAACAAAATTACTTTGATTTATTATGTAAGGTTGAATAAAGCTGTTGCCACAAAATATTTTTTTAAATTTCAGCTCTATATTTCTGGCATATTATCTATCTTTAATATATAGATAGATTAATTTACAAATACGAAATACTTAGATATGAGTTGATTATATTAAGTTAATAGGATGAATAAAGTGTATACATTAAAATTACAAATAATTCGTCCAATATATAGGTAATGAAAAACCGTAAATATAATAAGATATGACGGACTTATGGAATCTCATGAATTATCACTTTAGCCCTGATATGCTATCGAACTTGTATGTAAATCCATGCTTTGTGACATGCCATCGATTGTGAAAACCCGACCTAAGAAATAGTTATTTATTGTAATATATATAAAAATATTATATATTCCAATAATAGGATATTATTTTATATAATAATAGAATGATATTAAGTGCTCCCATAATGTAACTAATATACAAAATAAACAATACTAAATGTAAAAAAGACATTAAATGATTATACGAGTATATACCTAAAATAAATAATATTGAACGTATTATTACTTAGAAAGTTTATATATGCAAAAGAATATTTGATAAAGTATTCCTTTTTTACATGTCAACAGAAATAACTTCTATTAGGTCTTAGATAAATTTATTGGCACTTAATACTATTTGTGTACCCATTAGGTAATTCAGCTTCCATACGATCACAATGTGCCCTAAGTGCAGACATTTCAATTGTAACTATCATATATACCACTAATATACAACAAACAATACTTAACATACTGAAATGTTAGCTCTAAAATTTACTAATTAAAATAATAAATACACAGAAAATCCTTCCAAAACAGCCACACCGCGGTTTCTCAGAAAAACAACATTTACCTAATTCACAGAACACGTTTTTAAAAGTGGTCGTAACTCAGATGTGGAGTTCATATTTTCAACTTATTTATATTTTTGGTGTCTCTATATATATGGTAATATTGAAAATGCAGCAATTTTTAAACGAATGGAATTATGGCTGTTTACAATTTTTACAAATTGTAGCTAACGTGTTATATGTGGGTGAATATATTTTTACGATAATGGTAGCTAGTAAGTAATGTCGGTATATTTAACACCTATTATTTTAATAATCCTGTTGACATTCATTCCAGGAATCGTAGAAGATAATTATTAATAATAAAAGCAACCATTTTGTCTTTAGAGTTTGTCAGTTGAACTACTAATAAAATCATCTATAGGTACTTAGCGCAATTTACAACTCTTTTTTTTTATTAGAAAATTTATTGATATCTAATGTGTTTGTCGCGAGACGCGTATACTTTATTTTATTATTACCTAATTAATAAAATAACAAAGACAAATATAATAAAAACATAGAAAAGTGCCTATCTACGAACACACTTTTTAACTTGTAAAAAATTCACACTCTTAAAAATCTTTGCTACTTATTATAAATAAGTACATCAATGTTTAAAAAAAGCTAAAGACATAACAAATTATCACTATAACTGCAATCCGAAAGCACGGAAAGCTATTTGAATATTTTTATCTTACATATTTATACCATGAGTAAAAATATGTAAAAACATACCTGATATAAATTAAGTATACCTACTGATTAATAAAACCCATCAATAAGCCCAAATAAATTCCAAGCTTAACGTTAAAATAGTTTCTTACATGCAATTTTTTAAATATTTTCTTTTTTTAACTATATATCAAAAATTTTTCATTTAACCTTTAAGCATCGTGAATCTTTTAATTCTGAGATAAATACCTACAGGTGCAATAGTCCAGACTATACAGTACCACAAACAGTCAAGTAAAATAAAAAAGTTATATTCGAATCACTTAAAATAACAAGACTTCAATTAGGCTTACAACCCTTTTCCATTAGAGTATACGTAACAAAATTTTTAGCTTGTATAAATTGGAAAACAAAATTTATAAATTTTTACACTTATTTTTTTTTAATTATTGTAATTAAATAAAATCAGCTGGTTAAAGTTAATGTCAGAATTAGTAAACTTGACAGTCGTTTGTGCATGGAAAACACTTGATTCAGTATCAAGTCAAAATTTATGACTTTTAATAAGAAACTAGCCATTTTTCCACTAGGCCACGAGGAAAGTTTTTATTTCAAATTAATTACCGTTATATTAATTTGGGAAATTCTATTAGTATCTGTATAGTACTTATAATATTCAATATTGACATTACATGTATAATGTACTTCGTGTTGTAGAACAAAAAAACAGTATTTACTCTAAATTAAGCCGTTAAATCTTTAATTTCCAAGCTAATTTTAATAAGCATGACTCATAGTGGTACTTGTTAATTAAAGCATTATGAAACCACTACTAAAATATATAATTTGTGAAGTACACATTAATCGTAGTTCTCCGACTCCTGTTGCACCAACTTAAAACGACGTGGACTCTTCACAGCAACCGAGCCATGACCGTCTAATGACAAGCGACCCTTCATTTGAAGATATCTGTAAAGCGACAACATTGTACATACCAATATTATTAAAATATAAAAATCATGTTCTAATTATGCACTGAAATTTTTTTAAAAACAATAAGGCAACACTTATATTTAATGCCATACCAGAGCAAGTGCTTTACCACTGCTAGGTTACTGCTTAATATCATACGCTATAGGTATCTAACAAATACATCAACTTCCAAAGACAGCACAGGAAGTATGTCTATAACTAGTAAGTTGAAGCGGCTTCGCAAAGTTTATAGGCTATCCGTATTTTAACAATCAATGCTCCATCTAGATGTACTTATAATCCAAACTATTATTGTAACTAGATCAATCGAACAAGTACTTGGTAAATAGTGTTTGCTTTGAACTTTGAAAACATCTTAAATATTTCTCGCCAAAATTATTTCTAAATTGACAAAGTTCCAACAATAGAGAGAGCGAAAGTATTTAAAGTTGACAAAAAGGCGATAATTTGTAGGTTGGATGTATAAAATATTGACTCCTAAATTAATCTAATGTAAGTACTCATGCTTATTTCAATATCAATAGATATAATTTTTCACGAAACATAACTTTTGAATGTTCTTAATCTAAAAATCATCGATCGACAAATATATCTCCCATAAAACTAGATATAAAATTAGAGACAGTTTTGTTAGTTTTATTTACATTATAAACATATTGAAATATTCATAATACCTTTTAATATAGCGGCAAACAAGTTTCGTTGGGCGTTGTTGCCACTCGTCCAGTACTTCCTTAGGAGCTAGCACCTATAAATTTCATAAAATATTATATCAAAAAATAGTCGAGTTAATACATTAGGATTGGCTTTAATATTTTAATATTAATCTAGTCGACTAGGTAGTCAATATGGATGTTGTATCTGTTTGGAAAAAAAATCACACCCAATAAAAATAAAACTAAATGACCACTGCCTAAAGTAGCATTTACTTAACTTGCATTTTTAAAAATGGTCTAATTTTAATAACGAGAATGACTGTCGATTAGATTAAATCTAAAAAAATTGCTAATTCGGTTTTGTAAAGGAATTGACACCAAGTAGCTAGTAAATTGAAAAAGCTCGCGATCAAAATCTTCCCCCCGCTTCTCGGTCGCTTTACTTTGGTAGGCGTTGATTCGTTTTGAAACACCTAAACCGTCGACTAGCGCTTTGTTTCTGGATCGTATTGATAAATCCAGAATTCATCACCTATAACGATATCGTAAACACGCCAAGATAAGCCTGCTTCAAATTTGTCTCTCATATCATGGCACCATTCCAACTTTGCCTGCTTCTTAACATCGGTGAGGTTGTGCGGCACCCAGCGTGAAACTATCTTCCGCACCCGTAGATGCACGTATAGAATCTCGTGAAGGTTTCCTGATCCAATCTACAGTATATGCTAAATCTCTTGGTATGTACCTCGTCTATTATCTTGGACAAATTTTTTACTGCTAGCACGTTTTCTACCGTAACAGCCGTCAAAGGGCGACCACTTCATTCTTCATCCCTCAAAGTTAGTCGACCGCGCTTAAATTCATTATACCAACGGTACACGGTTGCCTATCGGTGAAGTCTATCGTATGATTCGTCCAGTTTCAGGCGACACTTAAAATCGTAAAAAAATCTTAGCGCGAAAATGTTCTCGACGCAAATCCATTTTTCAATGAGACACGTAATTTTAATAAGCTCGCAAAACATGTGGAGTTATTCACTAATAATACTATATTTTTTCTATCTACAAGTCTAATGAATATAGTTGGAACTAAAATGACTTTCACACCTTTATGTATAGGTATATTCCATACTTTTCAGTATACCTTTTATTACAAACTAGCTGTTTCCCGCTACTTTGCTTGCGTGATTCAGGGTTAAGATAAAATATATTCATGTACCAATTTCATTCAAATCTGTTCAACTGGAGGAAAAGATTGTTAGCAATGAAGAGGTTAGTCCTCATTGCTATCAATATACCCTATCAGATCGACCTCCACGCGGTTCTCCCTGGAAACCATGCTGACTAATTTAGCGTTGAGTTTGTCACGATAGTTTAATTGACCTGCCTTTTCATCTACAACAATCATCCCTGACTGGTGCACCGCTTGCGCGGGCAGGGCTACCATTACATTATCATTCATTAAAAAAACTCTATTCAGCTATTGGTACGTGAGTGAGCAACGAACATAGTAGAACTAGTAGGTTTATTATACCTGGTCACCCTTCAACCTATCGAGGAGCGTCACACATACGACTGCCGCTTTGATGCCGGCGTGATGAGTCAAGGCAGCAAACGCCAATGACTCCATCTCGATATTCACCACACCCGCCTTAAAAAAAATATTTATTATTTAACTACAACTATAACAATTAATTATATGAGGTTGCATTATTTAAAACATATGAATCAATAAAATTCGTGATGTATAAGGAAAGCAAAAGATACGATACAAACCTTGTGAATACTTTCTAAATACTCCATCTTGTCTGCTTCTGTAAAATCACAGAAGGCACCATCTAGACGACCTTGACCTGAAAATAACAAAACGAATTTCAAAATGACCTCGACACAATACTGAAAAAACTATTATTGGTCATCGTTATATTTAGCATATCACTTAATGTAAGAGAGCTTTAAATTTTTGTTTTTATTTAAAAAAAGAAATTAAACCGGGCCATAAACATGTAATGACCCTTATTCACCAATTAACTAATTAATATGAAATAAACAGCAAATTTTACACAATACGAGTAATATAGGATAAGGGAGACATAATATTATGAAAGTACTATGTTGATATAAATATCAAATTCATACAATTACCAAAATATTTTAGGTGCCGATTTTATACATACCCTCATAAAAATCATATGTGCACATGGTTTTGCCAGTAACAGTATCATATGGATCTTCGGGGTCTGCTAATGCTTTTAGCTCACGCGCTAGACGGCGGTCTAGTTTGGCCGGACGCTGTACGCTTTTACCTAATACAGTCTGAAATCACAAAATATATTTAGATATATAATTTTATTTAAAGGAAAACCATTTGTAATGGTCTGATATAAAGATAATATTGTACAAAATTATTATTGCATTCATTACATTACATTTCTATACATATAAAAAAACTAGTATAAGCTTATCAAAACCGTACCACATCTAGCACGTTCTTCAATGCTCCGTCCACTGCTTCTTCAGAAATCACTACGGTGCCACCCTCATAGCCAATACCACCACAAGTTCCGATTCTAAAGAACACAGGTTCCCGTACTTTGGCGTGGTACATTAGCTTAATGATTTCGTGGAGTAATATCCCCACAGAAGGTATACCCATGCCATGCTGAAAGCAAACATAAAATATCTTATTCCAAAAGTTTTTAACCACTGATATTTTACCTACAATACCTATTACTTTCAAATCAGATCATATTGGGGTCATTAGTGTACATATGGAGAATATTCTTAGAAACGAATAATCTTAAGAATATTCTTAGAAATACTGTGTGTTTTAATTTAATTTTTTTTATACCACTTAGAATGGCAAACAAGCTGACGACCCACCTGATAGAAAGTGGTAACCGTCGCCTATAGACATGAACAGTACCATGGACATAACAGAGTATACTGTTTCGCCCATGATACCTCCCATGCGTTGCCATTCCTGAGGACTCAGATGTTATTCCTCTGTACCCTATAAATTCACGCCATATCCCACCCTTCAAATCGAAACACAGCCATGCAAACACAACTGCTTCACGGTAGAAACATGAATGGGACAGAGGTACTCAAGCGATCGACTTTTGTACAAAGTCTCCCTCTGGTGATAATTTATGTAATAAAGTCACATCAAACGACTTCTAATTAGATATCTAATAAAAACCCAATTATTAGGCGTGAATTGCGATCTCATTACGAATATCATCATTACTGTTTAACATACTTGTAAATCTATTGACTTATCGGTGGACATATTAGTATTTCGTAATCAATATGCAGATTTATCCACAAAAATTTAAATAAATTTCATATTATAGTAAAAAAGTTTTTTATCCACTTTCCTTGTGCGATAGCACCTACTTGATATTGGAGTAAGAGGAAATAGATTTTTAGTAATAGAAAAGCCCAAAGTCCTTAATTCATTCATCTTTACACGGTTTCCCTTAGAACCCATTAGTTAATTCTTGATAAGTTCGTCAGGATCAGCCACTCGACCTGAAGAAAACAGGTCGTTTTCATCTTCACCAGACCTCGTAAATTTCATATTATAGTAAAAAAGTTTTTTATCACCCTTCTTGATATTGGAGTAAGAGGAAATAGATTTTTGATGCTCAGCCAGTGTATACCATTAGCGCAGGCAGGGTTACCATTATTATCATTAATAAAAAAAAATAGAGCATACACTCTCTACCAAATAACCAAAGAGCTTTCCGAGTTATCAAATGGGTTTTTTTTTTTCTAAAAGATAATATAAAATCTGACTGGGAAGTAAATAGATATAAATGAAACAGAGGTGATTGGTTGTTATATGCCTTTATCCATCATATTATTATGAATACGCAATACCTAAATTCTTACTTTTCTCAAAAGCGAATCAATATTTGAGAAAGTACTGGAAGCAAGAAACGATCAATCACGAATTTTAACGATGAAAGAAAATTAAATAGGTTATTATTTTTAGGGCATCCTTAACAATATTATCGTAGATGTACCTACTATACAAATACAGACTTACTACAATTTTTACTAATATTATAAATGTGAAAATGAATTTATTTGTTACCTTATAATGCCTTAACGGCTTCATCGATCACTATGCAATTTGGTATACTACTTTTGTCACGGTTAGTACCAAAACATATTTCGGCTACGTGACGAGTGGCAAGCAATAGGTAGTAACTCATAATTTTAAAGAGCTAGCTAGCTAGTTGATGCACTTTTTATCTAAGCTAAATACATATAATAATTGTAGATTTTCACCAATAAAAGGTATAAAATGTAATTTGGGCTACCTACCTACCTAATTTGGTATGATTCTTTTGAATGATATTAAGCTATATAATGTGATAATACTACGGAAACCTTACAAAATTATCAATTATTGTCATTATTGCTCCTTTTAAAAGTTCGCAATTCATATGGAATACCTGTAATTATATGTATTCGTGTCTCCGTACTCTTCAACAAATTATTAATTCAATATTCAAAATGTTTATTTATAAAAGTAAATAATAACTTATCTCAGAAAGCAGTTCAGGATACGATATGAGTGATATATTTGAAGAAGGTAAAAGCCCTTAAAATAAAAATAAAATAATTCAATACTTTAATTCTCAAAAAAGTAGCGATTTAAATTATTGAATTAAACCCAATATATTTTAAAAAGAAATACTAATTTCGAGTAAGATTCATTACGAGCATATGTGTTCTCCACACGTGCACTTGTTTCAGAATACTGCGTTTTTTTAATAGTTTAATAACTAACCCTAAAATATTTTATAATTCTATATTTTGTATTTGTGTTTAATTTTACTTATATTTTTCTTTTGATTTATTTATAAAATAAGGATGAGGTTATATAAAAAAAAAATCACGGATAATTATGTGATAAGCAGAGGGAACCAGCTGTTACGTGCATAAAGTCGTGGAAACTTTTTATCTTATACGTCATTAGAATTGTTAATGCTTTCCACTATCTCTGTTTAATTTATACAAATATACGAACATAACAATATGTGTGTGTCATATATACTTACACTAATTGAAAGCACAGGGCCAACTTTGTACATCGAGTACCGGTAGGAGAACTGACTGATGTCTTGTAACGTGGTGCCACATGGCAACTTGTGGCCAATCTCAGCCATGATTGTATAAGCAAACTGCTCCATACGTTTTGGTGTTCCGCCCATACACACGAACTACGAGCAAAAGGTTTATTTTATTCAGAGCTAAAACGCAGCCCATACTGAGAGCTAAGCTTAACTAACTAATTAACTGGAGAGGGGAAAAGGAATTGTCACAATGACCAGCGCCTTTATTGCTAGCAATATATACCCACTCAGGTCGATCTCCATGCGGTTTCCTCTAGAGACCGCCGTAATTAATGCTTAATGAATTCATCTAAAGGGGCTACCTGACCTGCTTCCATCCTTATCTATCATCGACCACTGGTACCTTGCCAGTGTGCATTTACGCCGCGCAGACGGGATTCATATTCCATTATCATCCATAAAAAAAACATCAATTACCTTAGTGAGCTATTTTAAAAAAAAACTTTCTGGGTTCACACAAAAACTAAGAACAAATTGCCGCACAAAGAAACTGGCATTGTCGAGTTACCTAACTCTCGTAAATCAGTTAGTTCATAGTGTAGTTAGCAATGTGAACTGACGTATGAAAAACGGCGCAGTTATGAATGCTAAATTGATAGTTAGGTTCGCTTAACTTAGCTCTCAGTATAGTTTGCAGTCGCAATCGAATCTTTCAATAGTAAATAAATCGTTAATAAAGCATAATTGTGTTTATAATAGATTAATCAATATATTATTAACCTATAAAATTATCACAATTTGCTTTTATAGCAATGACATCAGGGTGATAATCTTATCACGATCTAGAGTACCCTATATTATGTGTTTACATTTGCTATCAAACTGCAATTCTATGATGATTTGTATACAAATCGTATGTATGTACACTTCCAAGTAAATTTATATACACATCTACACACACAAACAGTATCACAAAACTGTTATTTGGCCATTTCTCAAAAATACTATCTTTAGTGGTCCTATTTCCAGGAAGGGGAACACATTTTTAAAATACCTATTATTTTTTGTCCTTTTTTTATACCACTGAGGTGGCAAACAAGCATACGACCCACCTGATGGTAAGCGGTTACCGTAGTCTTACAATTATGAATATATTTTCCGCGCTTAATTTAAGAATTTATGTTTAAAAAAATTTGATAGAATACAAACCTTTACGTCACCAAACATTTCCACAAGATCGTGGGATCCACTACCGAGGGCCAGATGATATAGTATATCTTGGTCCATGAGCTCGATGTTGGGATTACGAAGCCGGACTGTTCCATCAGGATACCTATTGTACATAAGAAAAAAGAGGTTACTATTTACTGAAAAATAAACGTAAGTTAATGCTATCTTAGGCTATTACGTAAGTATTTATTTCATTTTTCATTTAATATTGTACGAGTATGAGCAGAATTGACCGTTGAATCTTTGAGAATAAAAAACTTACTAATAAGTTATATTTCCAGCTAAATGGCGACTCAGTAAGTTGATAAAGCAACTAATATTTATTACTTTGATTTATTTTTTATTAACCATATTACATTACATTAGCATCCCAGTCAATCTTTAGAAAATCAAAAACGTAATTATACGGTAAAATATTGAAAATTAAATACTATTATACTAAGATGGCAAACAATTCGTTACAAGTCTTAAATACTGTATATCTATCTTCTCTTGCGATAGAACAGGGATAATAGAGTATGTTAGATTGGACATCCCTGAAAAATATTTCGTACAATGATCAAATTTGTCGCAGCATAATCAAAGTATTTCAGTTTAAAATTCATTACAGAGCTTGACTTAAAATATATCTGAAGTTAAACGTAACAGATTTTTGTTTACTAATTTTATTATAGATCATTTAAATTCAATAATCTTAGTAAACATAATTTTGGCGCCAAAAAACCCGTAATCATAATCAATGCAAAAAAAATTAACTCGCTATGTAAACTTTAAAGCAAAATTACTAATCAACAATATGAAGAAAAAATTTGTGTAAATAATAATCTTTATCTATATTCACCTAAAAAATATCATACTTCTATGGCCTATTGTCCTAAGAGTTCACATTGTCAATGATGTTTTTTTTCTGAAATATAGTTTTATATGATACCGTATGAGGCTACATAGTCGTATGAGGAAGCTCTAAATCCTTTCTAGTGCATATAGAATTCTCCATAGAGAATTCTCTATTTATGTGAAAACTAAACTAAGTAGTGTAGACAATATCAAAGTTCCATTTTAAAAATCTATTATTTATTAATAACATACATTCATTTGTAATACTATTTTTTTAAATTCTTTATTTGCATGTTAAAACATACCTAGGTATATACTCGTATATATATGAGTATAATATGGACTCTTATGAGAAAAAATATAATTAGTTATAGGCCCTAGTGAAAGCAATACAGAGTGTATTTTAGTGTTATCGTTAGAGTATAAATAGAGCATCATCCCTCTTTAATAGGTATATATAACCTCGCCACTATGTTTTATAGTAAAAAAATGGAAAAACCTATTCTATTTTTTTTTCCGGAGTCAGTTGGGTTTTTAAGGGTGATTTTTTTTATTGATACGCAATTCGTTTCGAATTCTATCAAGAGACCGAAATAAAAATGTTTGCAAAGGATATAAAGTGACCGATATTACAACCGATCTGTTATGTAAAATGGCAATAGGCTAACTACACAACTCAAAGAACCGATAACAGATGGGATATAGTGATTCTATAGTGGCAACCCCACACTTCTAAAAGCAGTGTAAGGCATACGTAGTACCTATATGTATGTGAAATCTAAGTAAATGGTAAACAACTAACTAAGCGTTAGTTTTAAATAGTAAAAACGTTGAAAAAATGGAAGTTTGCAGGTACCTAGGGAGGCTTACATTTACCTATAACGTTCGGATAAAATATGGAGAAATAAAGAAATCTCCAAAACTCACTCGATCAAGTTTTGATCTGGGGCGACCGCAATCTTGTTCACTTCAACCCTAAGAAGACACAAGTCTGCACGTTCACCGCAAAAAAGACACCATTTGTCGTATCAGGAGATACAGGACACGTGACACTTTCAGGGCACTTCCCTCGATAATAAGTCGAATCTAGGGATTCTTGGCGTCGATATATCTAGCGACGTCTCCAGTTTTGCGGACATCTGGAGGAAAAAGCTAAGTTAGCTTTCAAAAAGTTGGGGGTGCTTAATAGGGTGAGACGGTATTTCACGCCGGAACACCGCCTGAAATTGTATAAAGCTCAAATGAGGCCACATATGGAATACTGTTCTCACCTATGGGCAGCAGCGCCACAGTACCAACTCCTTCCGTTAGACCGCATTCAAAGCCGGGCAGCTCGAATTGTTAACGATTGGCGCCTTACTGTTCGGCTCGACCCACTGAAACTGCGCAGAGATGTTGCATCTCTGTGCATCTTCTATCGAATTTATCATGGGGAGTGCTCTGAGGAATTGTTCGGATTGATATCTGCTGCTGATTTTCACCATCGTACAACCCGCCATAAATTAAAATTTCATCTCAACCATCTGGACGAGTGGCGGTTCTCCACTGTGCGTTTTTTAAGGCACTTTCTTCCACGCACAACCACTCTTTGGAATCAACTTTCAGCAGCAATATTTCTGAACCGATACGACAACATAACCTTCAAGAAAAGAGAAAGAAAAAAGAAAGAATGATCATGGGCGGCGGTAATCACTTACCACAAGGTGAGCCGCATGCTCGCTTGCCTCCTGTGTTGTAAAAAAAACTGGCATATATGCACGAGCTATAAAAGTGGATAAATCAAACGTATGCAAGCTTTTCGTACTCAGTTCCCTCTACCTACCTGGCAAAATGTTGTTGTGATAAAATAAATAAGTATAAATAAAAATACAAGCGACGATAATCGCGTACATTTTGGTTTAATTATAAAAATAAAATAAATAAAAGAAAAATAAATAACCTAACAACATCTGGGTGCACTGGTTCGCAGTCATCGACGATATGTTCGTCCTCGTCGGTGTCATACGTCTTCCTGTGTGGGTGACGCTCATTGAATTCAGCGGGCGATTTACGCAGCTTCACGTCGCAATCAACGTTATGTTCTGTACGGCCACTCGACACGTCCACTTCGCAGTTACACGGCATCGTCGACTATTTAGATAATTTTAAATTATTTTAATTGCACAAAATAGTCTGATTGACTTACATGTATTTTTGTCAAAAATAAACTTCAGTTCCCAGAATGAAATAATATGAAATGAAATTGTCTAGTGGCAGCAATCCATAATAGCCAATGCAATTTCGTTTTGCATCAGAGATAGATAAGAATATGTACTTTAAAATAATAATCAAAATATGAATTTATATTCTAAATCTAAATCTCAACTTATTCCATTATGATCAAAAAAACTTATGTACTTTGCTACTACCTTATAAATATATAAAATATACTATTATAGAAATTCAGTGAAATTAACATAAACATACTTTTGAGATCGAACGTGCAATCATTAGAAGATGAATCGCTGCACCAACATGTAACCAGTAAGACCTCTATTGATGGTATCTACTTATAGTGTAATGATTTTATCTGAGCAAGTAGTTATCATTATCTACCTACATGTAACTGTCTGATATGTAGCTCTGCGACCAGTAAATAGAACATCTACTCTACTAGTGATACAATTAGGAAAGCCACGTGTACATGCGACAACTCGGAGCCTTTTAATATATCACACTAAACAAGAAAACAAGATATTTTTATTGTAATTGTTTAATACAACACAGAATTATAATAATTAACTTTTGACCTATTAAAAATAAAATAAATATAAAACAACTATACTATAATTTTAATAAAAATATATTTAAGAATAGTCTATCAATATAATACATGTATAATTATTATTATTATATAAACTAGTTAAATAAAAATTTTTGGAAATAGTATAAGTATTTTCACATAACTTATGATGTTCTACTACCAAGATCCAACAATCTCTATCATCGACACAATTTAATTTCAACATTAACATAATTTATTATTTTATACCTACTATAAAATTGATGACAGATGTAAATCTTTTTCATTAGTCTCAAAAACGTAATTGTTATTAGGAATAATATAGTAATGCAATATTATGTGATTAAAATTATTTGGCTAAAATTATATCGCTATAGGTTATCAGTAGATACTCTATCGGTCAAGTTTAACTCAGAAAACAGCTGTACATGTTTCCTATTAAATATTTACAAATAATACCCTCAAGGCTCGCTTAACTCATTTCAGTTAGCAAATAAACGACAATTTGCAGCTGCGATATGTCAAAGCTGATACAAACATAGGTATCTATAATGTTTGAACAACCTACGATAAGTACCTAGACTATGTACTTTTTTCTAATGATTTCACTACGCAACTATGTTTTGATTATAAAGTGTTTGTAAAGGTGTGCTTGTTGATAGCGTACTTATATACCTACAACGTACCTAAATAAATGCACTTAGTAAAAGGTCCCAGCATATATAAGTATATATAAGTATATATATATATATATATATATATATATATATATATATATATATATATATATATATATATATATATATATATATATATATATATATATATATATATATATATATATATATATATATATATATATATATATATATATATATATATTATATTATATTAGTATAAAGTTAGTAAAGATAGGTCTAGAGAAAAGCGCCCCCGGAATATATATATATATATATATATATATATATATATATACCTAAAAATGAAAGATTTTTTATTCTGATTGCAACTTTATAATTGATCGCAAGTACTATTGAGTCTATATTCATACTAGTAGAGACATCGGGGCCGATTCTTTGACGCTTTTCTCTAGACCTATCTTAAAATTAATATTTGAGTTTGATAGTTACACCAAAATACTTTTTATGGACCACCATATATCAAATTAATAAAAATTTTAACTAAAATGTAGTAGAAATTTCATTAATATTAGTCCTTAAGGTAAAGGTTTCGCTATGGTCTCAAATTAAAATTTTCATTTAAAAAATAAATTTAGATAATGGTGCCACAGAATCTACCTCATTATGTAAGTTAAATTTCCACCGTTCGCTTACATTTTTTTATATCCAAAAACGAGCATATAAAATCGTTTGATCTCTTTAGTACTGAAGAAAGTAGTGAGTTGTTGTTGTTTGTTTAGATTGAATAAATACTTTCTTTATACTTTTGTTGTTACTAGAAAGTAAATAATATCGTTTACACTTAAGTCAGTTAGTGAATCGGTGCGCTGGCAGATAGATATAATTAAACTTTTTCAATTTGCTTCTCATGGCAGTTTACACCATAACGTGACACACAAGGCAACCGTCTGTTAAAATATAATACTACCTAGTCAGTTAATTATTGTTGACAGAAAAGATCTCACAATTTTTTACATTTTATTCGCATCAATCGTAGCGGTTAAATCGAGTCATGTTGTGTTATTTATTTTTTATTTCGTTGCCATATGTATAATTTTCAGCAAGTAATAATATTAACGAGATTCAAATCATAGATAAAAATAAAAACCGATAAAATTGTTATTAATAATATATATATATATAGACATACATTTTAAAGATTGGGAATGACACCTCAACTAAGAACCTACCTCAACTAACTACCTAGACCTACGGTCGTACCTTATTCCTAAAAAACCCTTAAAAAACTAATGGCGACTTACAAAAGTACCTCAATATATTATATTTTCTGTAAATATTTTCTGGTAAACCTAGCTTAATTAACGCCGTCATATCACAGAATACTGCGGATACCTTACATATTTATAACTTTCATATATAAGTTCATGCTTAAATGGAAACTTTACAGCAACTTGAGGATTTTTAAAAATATTAATTATTAATAAACATATTGACAATACATAACGCAAATATTAAAAATGTTAAAAGCTTTTATTTTCACACCAGAAAATAATTACCCATATACCTAAAGGTCACTTGCTTATTTACTATCTTATAACGAACAATATTAGTCCTCGTACTTGTTAATGTATTTATTCCATTCATTCTCAAACTTAATAAAGTAAAAACTTATAGACACCTAAGTAATAAACATATAAGTATATTAGTAGCAATGTTTTTACTTTGCATTTGTTTTATTGGTTTTCCCTAATAGTTTTAAGTAGGTAATTCCAATATAACCACTTGTCAAAAATAACTTGCTGTGAATGTTGTGCTACAAGTCTGTCTTATGAATTAAATATATTTGTAAAGACAAAAGCCGTTAACAAATCTAATAACCTAGCCGGTCGTAAGCTCGTCCTTTGTCACGTTTTTCTATTGTAATCAATGTTTTTGTTCCAAATAAAGAATTATTATTATTATTATTATATCGCATTTATATTAAAAACTACCAAGTATAAAAATTCAAAAACTAGAGTGAAATAAAGAGGAAATAAAATGTCGTTTTTTTATTTTCATTTAGAACAATTTAAAATGGAAATAAAAGATTTCGACCTAATTAGAAATATGCCTAATATACGAATATTTCAGTACAGTACCACTATACTTTCTATTATATTTTTCAGTATTCATTCTCTCTGAATTATTTATTATCACGACCCATGTTATTATTATTTTGTTTAGATTTACTTTTAACAATTCTTGTTACTTTTAACATTTTTTGTTTCACGAAAAAATAATTTCATCCTTGAAACATATAGTATAATAACAACAAAGGTGTAAATATTTAAATTATTAAAGAATACTCAAAATCGGTAAATTATAACATACAAAAAAACTACATGTGTAATCCAATTGAAGTCTTCCTGACTAGCCTGACATTCTTGATTTTCCTAATAAAATTATTATTATAAGTACTTGTAATTTTTGTTAATTTATTGTGATACTTACAAGTAAATATAATTAATAATATATTTTAAAATCTTAAACAAAAATAGAAGTTTACTATAATCTCTTGATTGCATTTAAAGGAAAAATGGAATGTGCAGATTTACATTATGTCGTTGTCCTTGTATTGATAAATACTCACTTTCAAAGCGTAATGTCGCACGGAAATATTTACACAATTTAATAATATAAAATAAAAAATAAACAAGAATAACACACGTAACGCTCACTAGCTGTTTGCCACGTATTATCAGATCAGCTTTCAAATATCAAGTAGTTAGTTTGCTATAATAATTACGAGCAATAACAGACGTCGAAATGATGTACGATCGCAACTGTAATGTCATCTGATACAACGTGCGAAGTCGCCATCCATTGAGCGCGGACTACTGTGGTATTATCAAATGAACAATGAAGGAAGCCTCTCTACTCAACTGCCAGCATACAGTCAAGCGATTTTAACGGGGTTCACAGAATAGGTATTTACTGTATACTCGTTTCGAAGAAATCAAGATCGTATACTTACATGATATTAACGTTAACATTGTTACAACGATGATGTCGATTGGCGCCATTTCTCTAAACCTATCTCTAAAATTAAAAACTCAATTCAAGATCATAGCGAAATTTTTATTCTAATGAAAAAAATATTATAAATATAGCTTATGATGGTCCATAAAAGAGTAATTTTGCGAAATTGTAAATTAAAATATTAGGCTAAGTTTATAGGAATGGCACCTATTGACATCATTGTTGTAACAATGTCAACGTTAACGTCATGTAAGTATACGATCTTGATTTTTTATTTTACCATAATTTAACAAAATTAATGATTACATTTTTGCTGCTCAATTTTTTTTAGTATGTATGCATACATACAATATATACAATGATTTTTCAGAGATTTTTTAAGTTGTACGAATGTTTCTTATTTTTATGTGAAATAATTTGCTTACGAGACACTCCCATGATATTGTTTTTATTGTGAGTTGGTAATACGTTTTTAAATAATATTATGACCTTAACTATTGATAGTAGAGTTATCAACCGAAAGAAGGTACAATGTAATTGAAAAAACTTTCTTAAAAGGGCCGTTGCACTACCGCTATAGGTAACTGTCAAGCTATTGTTATCTTACGATCAACACAATGTACCTATTATAAGAGATCACCTGGAGATTTTTATTATTCATACTACCAACTACCACATGCACAATAATTAAAGATTGTGTCCCACAAAAAAAGTCGAATTCAATTGTGCCAAAACCAGTTATTTTGATCTAAAAACTGAATTGATTTTCATTAAATTCCCATGATGCCAATTTGTTATATTGTTTCAGGTAAAAAAAAGAATTTTCCAAATCGATTTAGAACTAACGGATTTATGAGGTGACAAACATAAAAAATGAACCGATATCAACAACATTCTTCTTTTTTAAGTCGGTTGAAAATTCTATATATCTTTGATAAAGATTTCTTTACATCATCATTGACACAGGAAGAACAATAGATCTTATAAGAATATTCTATGAACGGCCCTTTCTTGTCATAATTGGAATTAATATTTTCGTACTTAATTACAAACGCATGTCAAAACAACGTGTACCTATGTATCAATATTGAATTATCTATCACCTTTCTGATTATTTTAAAAACACTTTACGAAATTGATTGGTTCAGGAGATGACAGTACCATAAAACTATAGAAATTATCTGTATCTGGAATGGCAACGCATGAAAGGTATCTTTTTTTTTTATTTTATTTGTTTCGCTGTTTTTCTTATTTATATGGACGAAACAGTATATTCTGGCATGTCCATGGGACTGTTCATGTCTATAGCCGATTGTTACCACTTTCCATCAGGTGGGTGGGTCAGCTTTTTTGCCATTCTAAGTGGCATAAAAAAAAAGTTATACCTCAGGCAGGAGCGCTTTGTAACATACATTCCAACGGGAATACTTGTTTATAATATTATATTTTGATGTACTTTTCTTCATAAAAAATGCACAACATCCATGCATACATATTAATTGACAATGAATTTCGCTACAATTTGCACACTATGTTCTTCTAAATTGAGCACCCATTTATTTATTGTGACGCACAACTACTGGTATTTAACGCTCAGCGATCACAACGAATTTTTTTTAACACCATGGCTCATAGCCGTCGGGTACAAAATTATTAACGTCTCCTTATTTATTAATGGGCGCCACTTTATACGTTTTATAATAGTAGGTAAAACATAATACAAACCAATTAGGTAATTGTATTATAAATAGGTCTTATGTAGTATAAGGTCTTATACTGTGGCAACACACAGATATTTCATTAAAAGTTGTCTGTGCCTGTATAAAACCTAACAAGGAATGTTTGAAAATTCAAAACACGATAAACATGGATGCTTGATACACACGTGTTATTACTTGTTAATAATACGGATACGACCTATATACTTGTATACTTTAAATAACAATTTGAATGCTCTAAAAATTTATTTTTCGTTCTGATCCTGATTTATAGTACAAAAAAAATATTAGAAAGACGAAATAAATATCATAATGAGTCTTTATATAAAAGTCATTTGCAGAGTTACCTCTACACTACTCGTATTAGGGAAGCCAAGCAGTGGCGTACGCATAGGTTTATTTCTATTTCAATGTGAAATATGACAATAAAATTAAAGGATACGGAGGTATAACCGTTAATCCTCACAAATTATAACACTTGAAGAGTACCATAGATATCACAATATATTCTCTAAAGTCTATGATGTTGGCCCTGTATATTGGATATATTAATACTTTTCATGAGGTAGACCGCCAGCTCGTTATTCCAAGTCACATAAAAAAAATAAAGTTTCACGATGGGTACAAGCAGAAGTAGTACCTGTTACATAGGTATATTTAATTATTTCAGAAATTCTTTTCTTGGGCACATTTCATTTGTTTCCTAATTTTCTAAATACATTAGCCATAATACCTATAAATCTACATAAATCATAACTGTAGTGGTTTTTGAGTTATAGGTAAGTACTTATCCAATTGACGTTTAACAAATAAATTAATAGATGTTATCATATAATTAGGAAATATACCAATATCCAACGTCTACCGAACTCAATAAACATTAAAGATTCGATAAATACTTACTCATCGCGAAGTTCATCTTTATCGAAGGACATCGTAAAAAGCACTGTAACTATACACTATATCAAATAATTAACTTGGTGACCGATATTCGTTGTACAAAACGGTGTGGATCGATGGGTGCTACGGTAAAAACAGGCTAAGGGCGACTGTTTGCTGTCAACAAGGGTTTCCCATCCAGCCTCGATAGGGTGCGGGCGGGTCGTGAAACTTGCGCAGAGGCTTTGCGCGTAGACACCAACGCCGCTTAATACAATATATGTACCTATACTTATGTTATACATACAAATTATTGTAAGACGTCGCCCATATTGTATAGGATTAATAAACACGAGGGAAATGCAGTCCGGAGAAGGCCACAATCCATTGAATGAAGAAGTTAAAAATACAAATTATGTGACAGGTACTTGTGATAGACCTACTGGATTATAAATATGGCTTTGCCATACAAATGTGAAAATAGCAACGAAGATTTTTCATGACACATTTGAAAAAATGTACCAAGAAAATCCTAGTGAGACATCAGATAACGATAGAGAAGCCGTAAAAACAAACGTACCTATATATGATTTTGCTTGGCAAAAAATTCCAATCTTAACAATTGGTATGGGACGAACACGGGAGTAAACCCTGTCAATCACGGTATCAATTTAGAATTGGTGGCTATATCACGTAACATAGACAAAAAGTATCAAACTAAAAACTATTGAAAATACTCCTTTTTTTAAATTGAATGAAAATAATTTTACATTAGATAAACAGATTTGCGAATAAGTAGGTATAATTTAATTTCACATTAAACAAAATATTTTTATGTTTTTTATAATATAATGATTTGACAAAATAATGAGAGGGTATTAGTCCTTAAAAATGGCAACGCATGAAAAGTATCATGGGCGACATAGTATCTATAGGCGACGATTACCACTTTCCATCAGGTGGGCCATCAGCTTATTTTCCATTCTTCGTTGCACAAAAAACTACATATTTTTTGAGTGAAAATAAAAATTACTCTGCTTACACTATCGGTATAGACAGGCGGTTCACCAGTGAGGGATGATAGATTTCCAGACGAATTTCACAATTATTAATCACGATGGGTTGTAGGAGGAACCGCAAGATGATTGACCTAATATATTGCTAGAAATAGGGTGGGTAGTCAGGCCTCATTACTAACACTTTCCCTTTTAGGACCTAACTACTCGTATAACTATTTAATATCTTACTGTATGATAGGTACTATTTGCTATATAATAATAATTATGATATGGAGGCTTACTACCAAACTGTTCCGATGGGATGCACTATTATGTTATAATTAAAACAATACCGTAATGTAATCTTTAGTGATAGGCGGAAAAATAAAATATTAAAAACCTTATTTCCCCACTGTTAAACTTTTTTAGTCACTATCAATGGACTTCTATGTGGCGTTACCTTCGCAAGACGTTGCGTAAACTAGGGAAGCTTTGTTTATATATTTATTTTTATACGCCCAAATTATTATTTAAGAATTTGTATTGAAAATAAATAAAAAAGAAAATCTTAATAATGTTTTTCCTAAATAGACAAAAATTATATTAGCTAATAAAAACTATAGAATATTAATTAAACAAACAAACTCAATGCTTACACAATTTATTTTAGAAGTAAATAGCTAAATATCAACAGTTACACTGATCATTATGAGAATAGAAATAATAGATATTCATAATAGTTAAGGATAAAGACTTATGTACAGCAGCAGTGGATGATTTTAGGGTTGATATGATTACATTATAAAGAATAGTTTTTTGTCCAATAGTTAACAATGATGATGAATTATTAACACTTTAACCATACGAATAGTTAACTTAAAATTATGTAATATTATATAAACCATGTTTTAGAACCGCATGGCATATACTTAATACAATAGTGTATGTATATTATGTATATGTATATATAAATATTATTATAAAATAAAAAAAAACCTAAATATCTATGTTCATTTACTGAGTGTAATGGAATATAAGTGTGGTACCTACTTTGCCTTTAAAATTATAAAAATGTGGTAGAAAATAATAATATTAAAGCTTAAAGAGCAAACGACATAGGTTGTTTATAAACAAACCTACAACTGGATTATCATTATAAAATTGTATACTATATCGTAATCATGAACGAAGGTTGTCCTCATTACAGTTGCGATGTTAATTTACTTGGCCCGTCCCAGTCAACTCGTTTCCGATGATGCGTGATATCAAGGAAAACAATGGATCAACCCGAAGGCAAGCATCATCACCATAAGAATAGTCTTCCATATTTATCTACGATAACGGTGTCCATTCTCCGCCACGACTAGGCAACTTTAAATGTACTTTACCAAATTCGTAAAAATTTTGACATAGGTATGTTATTGAAATAATAATACGGCACGGAATCCATGCAGAACGATACATAATGGAAATCTATGATGAGATGAGGAGTAATCCATGATATCACATACACACCATTTGAATCAAATTTTACAAAACAATATATATATTTATACATTACAAATTCTAAATTCAAACCAAGAAAAATCAATCTACAAATAATTGTGACTGCAATGTGGTTAACCTATTTAAATAAATTAAAAAAAAAATTTAAAAGAGCTTCCAAAGAAACATGCTGCATTAAAATGTGCACGAACATGATTTAGTATATAATTAATGGCATGAAACCATCACGCCATTCTCTTTCCATTACACCGACTAACAATCTTACTCTTCGACATGATAATAAGTAGAGATCATAGAAAGAGAATGCCATAAAAGTGCTATTGATATAGATAGATAAACCAATAGACATATCTGTTTATTACATTATCAGCAAAAATGTTTAAGTAGATATCAACTGATGATGTGTTATATTTATATTTTGATAGGAAGAAACATCAGTTAGTAACGTTTCATATTGTATAATCATCTAAGACTGAAGCTTTCAAGAATACATTAATCGTAAGTAAACAATTTTATAGTTCGAGCACTAAACAGCTCGAATAATTTTAATTCATACCTTGATTAGCTATATAGTTTAATGTGATGACATTACCGACATGTCATAAGCACAGGACAAATTAAGTCACATTAAATCAACTGTTAAACGGTTAAATAACAAGATTTTATTTCTTTTAATCATAAGATTATTTCGTATTTTTTAAATATAAATAAATAAAAAATATGTGTTCATAACTGCATCTAATTCCAGATGGAATAGTTCGAACAGTTGCCGTGACATTCGACATTTCCACATTTTGCTGAGCATATTTAAGTTAATTATGGAATGAGGTGACCCTATCACCTTCAATAGATCTATTTCATATGCAATTACTCAAAATACACCGCATTATACACCAATTCAATAACATTCAAAGCAATTAGAAGTTAGCGAATAATACATTTCATCACAGCTGTAGGTTTTTATTACACATTTGGAAGATATCGACGACATAATCCTAAGTAAAGAAATTTAAAGGAAAAGTATGCTATAATTATATTAATATACCATATAACTACTGACTAGTAGATGAAACGTACAACTTTTCATTCGACTCGCAAGAAACTGCAATAGCTCCATTGTAAAAGGTTAAGAAAATAATCACATGCCATCCAACGAGCTCAGACCCCAACATACAATATTTCAGATAATCACCATATAATAATTGTACAGAACTTATTAATTCATTGTATCTAATTAATTACTAAAAATTAAGTTAAATCAAGCCTCTATTACTTTTTCGCAAACGATTTAAATGGATTCCCTGTTTTTATTGACAATTGTTATACTTAATATAACACATCTGGGACACAAAATATTTTCTACTTACCTAAAACATGATTGACGTAATATTAAATAAGGTAGAAACGGATTAAAGCAATAAATTTATCGTCACTTGGTCTAATATTAAACTAAATCATAAAAATCATTTACGTCCACAAATAATTATATAGATACTTATACTATTTACATTATTTATGCCACCATTCTTTACAATTTCATATATTAGTAAGAAAATTGAGCAAACATTTACTCATAACAAAATTCCTCGACTAATAGAATACAATATAAATTATTATAGATTGAAAATCAAATCTTAGCAAATTGAACTGGTCTATAAAATCCGCTCTGAACAGATGGGTTCGTTCCTTTTTCACAATAGCGACAAAAGGATAGATTTGTGATAAAGGCACACACTTCTAAACTCGGCCTGTATTGGAGTAATGTAATCTATAATTTGTTCACGATGACGTATAAGACTGTAGTAAATGCGAAAAAACATTACATTGTATACTGATTAATTTTTATAATTGTTTTGACAATAAAAATTTTAACTACTAAATGACAGTTTAAAGATTTCACCATAATCGTTATTATATGATTTTACATACATTATGTATGCAAAATGAATTCCTTTCATTATTGTTAAAACAAATTTATTTTTCAACTATATTTTCCCTCGTAATTATTAGTTTTGACTTTAATACTATTAAACATTACAGTATAATTGAAGTAATTACTTTTTTCGAAGTACATAGAAAAAATTAAATGGATGTCTACATCATTTAATACGCCAATCAAAAGAATCACATGGGAATCGTCACACGTAAATAACTAATTGATATATTGGGAATGAAATTTAGTAAAGATAATTTTTCCTTGGGAAAATTGCATGTGGCTCCTTGTAGTTGGGATCCGGCTGGTTGCGGTAGCGCCGGGCAAGCCAAACGGCGAATAACTGTAATTAAAGTTTATTTTTTAATATAAAAACAAGCGAATAAAACTAGGATGTGACTATTCATATCTTACGATACCATGCTAATTACATCGAACAATCATTAACAAAAAAGCATGCCTATATATAAGCATGCAATCAAATGGCAAGCATTAATCAATATAGTATCTAGATTTGCCATTATTCGATTTGTGCAATGATTGACTGGTAGAGAACACCGTCCGGTATTAAATCCGCCATATGTACATAATTGCATTAAAATTTAAATAAATAAATATATCATAGAGGTAGAGGCAGCCGAGCTGAGGTCCTCTGATCAAAACCTCTTTACCAGTCGATGCTTTAGGACGTAAGGGCCAACTTATAATAATTTTATAGATATAGTAATATATAAAATTATACAAGATTCATAGATCACACCACGTGAGTCGCTTTAACATAACAACCCTTTTTATACTAAAAAAATTTAATTATTTAATTAATATTTTTTTTCCTTTTTCATTCATAAACTTATAAATTTAATAACGTTATAAATGTGTTTGACAGCTCAACTATCTACTTTGAAAATTAGTTAATGTACCCTAACTTAATTAAGCTACCCCGAATATAAAGTACGTGAATAAATCCGATATAAATAATTGTAATTCAGTATGAAAAAAAAGAGGAGCAAGTCCATTACCAACGTTTCTACATATTGACATTTTTTTTTTTATACGACTATGGTGGCAAACAAGTACATGGCCCGTCAGATAGTAAACGGGGTTACCATAACCTATGAATGCCTGTAACACCAGGAATGTCACGCGCGCGCTGCGTATCCTGGTATCCATTCATATCTGAAAATGTATCTATTGCAATGGCAATATTATAGTATTATTACTATAATAACATAAATAACAATAATCACTTTTTTTTTTATTTTAACAGATAACACTAAAATAAGTACATAATTACAATATTTACATATTAATACATATTTTACACACACTAACACGTCGCTATTTCAGCCAAGTCCGCCTATGTACCTGTATGTGTGTATTGCTTTTATATACCAAATTATTTTCCATGTGATGAACAATAAACAATTTCAAACAAACAATCGTAACAAATATTAAAATATGGCATGCTGGTGTGAAATGATGAACAAGATGTTATAATAACATATCATGCATAACCGTGTGAAGATGATAAAGGCAGTGACACTTGCGTGGAACGTGCGCATGCAACGCGGGACGTCAATATGAGAACGTGTAATTTCAATACAAAATACAGGAACTGATAAGTTTAGAAATAAAATAAACCTAAGTAAATAAAGAATAAAAAATATATAATAATTCTATATTCAAAATTTATTCCAACAATAGGTGGTTCCATAAAAAATATGCAAAACAAAAAGTAATAATTAGGGTGATAGTGAAATGTCAGGACATAATTATAGATATAGATCTTAAAAGACTTATTTCGATGAGATTAGCTACTTTACATGTTTATTAAGTAAAGTAAATAGTTGGTAATCTTGATATTAAAAGAAGTGAAAAATAAAAACTCCGAGGGAAATTAAATTCATTAGCGGTATTATTATTTAAAACTAAAATTAATTACATAAAACGAAAATTCTGAATTCATAATTTAAAAAAATATAAGATTTAAAAATGTATATTATATGCAAATAAATATACAAATACTTGCGTATATAAAGGTAGATAGAACATAAACTAATAATTATTCCTGGGTTTACACAAAGACAGAGAGATATCACCGAAATATATTCTTAGTTTTAAATACCGCTAATGATTTCACTATTATACACGACACAAAAATACAGAAACAGACACTAGACAGGTTTTAATTAATATCTCTATACAACTGATCTCACACGACGACCCGCGGTTTTCGAAACAAGCCCTAAGCATATGACAGACGCGTAACATCAATCCACCTCAAGTGATAAAATGCTGTAAGTCCCAATCATCAGATAATTCACAGAAATGCACTGGGGTTAGCTCGCGGATCCTTTTGATTACGATATCTTACTGTCAACCATACACCCAGAAACTGTAAAGGAATCAGCCATCTGTTAGTCACTAAGGCAGTAATAGAAGACACCAAATGTAGAAGAAGCGATTATTTACAACAAGCAAAAAACATAAATAGACAGTATTGTTGAAAATCTACATTATATTATGTCATTATTGTCATAAGATCACCCTTTTCCCTTTGAGGTAGGCAAGCGGCATTCTTTGGTATCTGAGTACTTTCAAAATCGTATCATATTATTATTTTATCGACCGGAATTCCCCACATTAAAAATACTTATAACATTTAGTCAATCTATGTATTTATAATATAATATGTCGACATTGTTCGGAAAATGTATTAAAGATATCCACGGTTCACTGTTGATTGTCTGCCTATGGTTATGTTATATAAATAGGCATTTACAAAAAAAATATACTTTAGTTTTAAACAAGTTCTTTTTAACACGTAGAGTCTACGTCGTAGACAAATATACATTAATAACAAATTATTACACAAATTTTATGAATGATATCTTTTACTGTAATGTACATTTTGTGATATTCAAATTATGTTCATAGTTCTGGAAACATCTAATCCTCTGAAAAAGATTTGGACGTTTCACAGAAATAACAGCTGATATTTCATGATACTTGCATTATTCACCTAGTAAAACACACTTAATATTTTGGCATTGGATACAACGAATTCAACTGTACCTACCATATGTGTGCACAGGATAATTGAACATATATAAATTAATGAAAAATTATTATTTCAAAATATTTTGTAATTAATCAATTACAATTTCACTTCTTGCTATTGTTTTATTATTTGTATGCTAATTCATCTAAACATAAATTTTTATTACACTACTGTAATTTGACTTCTGAAACATAGGTAGATAGCTATTACTTAGAATCAGAGGGCAGTTATTTGCGTGCCCAATCAATGCTTTAATCTACAAATAGGTAAATAGCATGTGCACTCTAAAGCTAAAGGAGACTGCGCCAACCAACTAAATATCAATAATAAAAAATCCTATGTACTTTTATATTATATTTTTACATTTAACTTTGGTAAAAATGTAGTGTAAAAGTACATTTTAGTAAAGAATTTATTTTCAAATCAAACTACTGCAAACAATAAGGATAACATAAAGATCTTATTTTCCAAGACAAATAAATAGGTATTTATGGAAATATTTTTTTGTTCAAGTATAATGTTATTTCATAATTTTATCAACAAATAAGATAGCTAATATAAACAAATTGATAAGAAATCATTTCTATCTTGCCAACTTACCTCAGTGAAACTGAAAAACAATCCAATCCCACCACAGAGTTTGAATGCATAGTCAATAGTTTCTTTCAGCTTTTCCATACATGGCTCACATTGGCAGTTAGGTAAATTGTTCATATTATTGCAACAAATTTTCTGAAAAATACAATATAAAAAAAAATTATATCTCAGTTCATAAAATCTTTAGTTTAATAATAGATAGTTAGTTTCGATCTATGGAGATGGCGTATAGACGAAATCTACTATTTTTACACCTATTTTTGACTAGCTGCTTCATCTTTATGAATCAATATTATAAAATATCCTATATGTTAAGCTAGGATGTAATCTACGTGTGTTTGTTACCTAAGTAGATTATATTCAGCTTTAACAGCTGAATATAATATAAGCATGAAAATTAAATATCTTTATAAACTGGCACATTTACAATATTATAGAATCAGAGATGATAGCCAATATTTCAGATAAAAAATAAATTAAATTGAGCCCATCAATAATAGCACTAAATTGGTGAAATAATAATTTATAACCAATAATAAATAATTTTTAACCAGCTTCAATAACAGAAACCTTATACAACTTATTTGTATCGGCTATATCACACAGGGCAAAGTTGAAAACATAAGCATGAAAAATTATGAGTCAAACTATTAAAATATGACCCAACTTTTGTTACCACGTCATTATCTATTTGAAATTATTATATAGGGTTTTTGTATCCAGGATGGTGAATAACAATTAACTTATTCCTTGCTAAATTTCATATATATAACATGATTAATTTTAAGAATATGACAAATTTTTGGTACACTAAATATTATCATACTCCACAAGTACTGATTTTTAAATTAATAAGGTCTATAAATATTTTTTTATTAACAAACAATATTAGTTGCAACTATAGTTGCACAACTTACATCAACAAGATCACATGATGGGTAGTCAGCAGTAGCATTTACTGGGACTATTCTACTTTGGAATCCGCAACACTGGAATCTTTCCTGAACCTGTTCCTTCACATCCATGTTCACTTTTTTCCAACCCTAAACATAAACATACAAAAAAAAATTAAAAAAAAACTGTATAAAAAATAAAAATAGAATTTTTAGGTTTTCCATATCATTTTTCTCTTCAAAAGAAACCTTGGGTTTAATGAAAATTTGAAAAAAAAATTGCCGAATTGGTCCTGCCGTTCTCAAGTTTTGCACGTTGCAACACATTTAATAATTCAATTTTATTGATGTTATTTAAAGTTTTCACAATAATTGTCATTTTTCAGTTCTCCAACACTCACTGCTGGTTTTCGTCCACATTATTGTCCATTCTCGACGCTAAAAATTCCACCTGTATATTACGTTTACAATGCTCAAAACAGACAAATATAACCAAACTGTGCCACTTGTATTATTGACTTGGACTATTGAATGCAGTATGCCTCTTATGACATTTTTTTCTATACAATTCATTAGTGATCGAATATTGATTAGTTCTCCACCACCGTTTTATCATCATAAAATAAGCTTTGATATATGAATCCGAGCAAGAAAATACTGGTCGTATTCTGACGTTTGCATAACCTGACCTTAAATTAAAGATAAATATATTGTTGGTTATGTCTTGTGTAAATAATGAAAATGTATACTAAAAACAATTAGACAAATGTGTTAGTTCTCGACCAACTGGTCGTAAGCCGACAAAAAGCAACTATTTATTATTTTAATTATAAATACAGAATTGACTTTTTACTTATTATAAAATTCAATTATATTTTAATGCTGTATATACAATATTTAATTGAAAAACTTAATAAAAATATTATTTATTCACGACTGAAAATGTCTTCTCACTAATTTACGTAAATGTTTATGCATACATGCACATAAGCTAAAATTCTTCCATCTATTAATGATTATAATTCAATCAGTGGTCGTGAAATTATGTATCGCAAATAGGAGCATGACAATCTTGCCAATAAAAATAACAAGGACCTCTGGCTCCTTTTAGAATTCTATTATTCCAATTTTAAATGAAAATGTTCGAGAACCAGCAGTGGTCGGTAAACCGGCACAATGACCCTAATTTGGACTTTACTCTTTCACATTATAGCGAGGCTTTTAATAGTACATTACTACAACGGCCAGCAACTGAGGCATTGATGGACGAACGTACAAATGTGGGCCGAGGCGTAGCCGAGGCACACATACGTGAGTCCATCAATGCCTAGTTGTGGCCAAGGCTTGTATAGTACTTTTCTCAAACAATGCGCGGAAATAAAAAAACACAATTTTACTTTTTAAGTTCAATGACGAATAACGAACAATAATAATTTTTCAGGCGCCATAATGTTCCATTGTTTTTTTTTTTCAATAAACAGCTGTCTATTTGTAAGCCAGTTCGAAATTTAAATAAAACCTTGTATTAGTTACCTCCTTGGTAACCATGTTTTGAAGTAAAAGATCATTCCATTTTTAAATTACAGGACAGATATGAGTTTACATAGTAATTTATCTGGCCGCAAAACACGACAGATATGGATTTTCATACAACTTTTGCCGGCCGCTGCCCGCATGTATCTGGCCAGTACGTCAATTTTGATTTATCTCGAAGAAGATTGTCAAAATAATGCTCACATTTCCAAGCATGTTTGAGAAAATAATATTCTTTCCTCGACAATCATTTTAAAAATCGAAAATTCTTAACTGGCCGATAACCGGTACATTCACCCTATTAAACACGAAGGACTTTCTGAGCATGGCGTTTTTAAAATTAAACATTTTTTTGTCATTTATCTTTAGTATAAGCAATAATTTATATAACCAGAAACAAACAAATCGACTTCTCTGTCGAGTTTTATTTCAATTACGTAATGGAAAATATTTTTGGGCTTAGACTCTACTTATTAAATTATCTTCTATTTCCTCAATAATTCTCATATTTTAAGCACTATTATGTGACAATAAAACGTAACATTTAAAGAGTTATTTAAAAAATTTTCTGCAGCATATTAAACTACTAGAAACCTGCCCCGTTATTCGCATTTTTTTTTTATTAAATACAGCTCATGTTTCTCATTAATAAGCTACATTATCATCATAATATTTCATATATATAATATTTCATAATTATAATTTATAAGTGAATTAATTATTAAATCCAATTGAGTATTTTTTAAACAAAAAATCTTTCCCATTTATAGTATTAATAGATAGATATTTGATATGCATAATAAAAATTAACATTCTCAAATAATTTCTCATTTAACATTGGCAGCGAAAAATTCCTTGAAAATGTTAATTAATATAGGCAACTTAGATAATTTACCTGCTGTGCAAGTGTTTCCTGTTGGTCAGAGTTAACGGCAAGACAAGCACATGCAACTGAAAACTGGACGAGGAACAGAAGAAATAAAATCACCATATACTGATTTTAGAGTTAAAGTAATTATTCAAAATATACTATATCCATTGTAAATGATGTAAAAAATATGTATAACATATACAGGTACTCTGTGTAAGATCTTAAAACTAAATATTAACTTATCGATGATATTTGTCGCTAACATCAGCAAAAACTTTTTTATATTATTATTTGGCATATTGTTATTTAACCTCTTGAGCACACCATCAGTGTCAGCTCTCTATCATCAACATCATCAAATCAGCCTTTAACTCTGCTGCTGAACATAAGCCTCCCCCTTGGGGGGAGCGGGGGGTGAGGGGTTGCCAGTAGTTGCCATGTTTGGTAGGCAGGTCAATCAACTCTCTATGCCTTACATTTATTGTACTGCATTGAACATGAAAATAGAATTTATAAACAAAAGTTTATAAGACAATTCATTATATTAATACTTGGTCAAACTTTTTTTGTCATATCCTTGTAGAAAAATTAGTAATAGAGGGGTAAATAAATGTCTAGTATCTTAGCCCCATAGAGGTTTTGGCAAGTTGAACTAAATATATTTTATATTTATTCAATGTCATACTAATACATTCTTATAAACAACCCTAATCTTGAATTATTGGGGGGAAAGGATTGTTAGTAATGGAGACTGAGACAGGCCAGTTAGCCTATCATGATGAATTCATCAGGCATTAACCATGATAGTTTCCAGGGGATACCGTGAGGAGGTCGACCTGGTTGGGTATATTGCTAGCAATGGGATTCTCAGTCTCCATTACTAACAATCCCTTCCCCCCCCCCCCCCCAGATGCATTCATCATGGTGGGCTAACTGACCTCCCCACTAATTCTCACCTATCATCTCTCACTGGTATCCCACCAGTGTATACTGTTAGCATAAGCAGAGTTACCATTACATTATCATCCACCAAGAAAACGTCTTGCATTATTACATATTTTGTAACCTATTGATAATACTGATTACAAAGAACATTATGAAATACAATCAGATTTATTTGCAGTATAAATGTTACAAAAGAAGTGTGTAATGTTAAAATGTTAGATAACAATATATTGTTATCTACTAAAATCATAAAAATGAAACCATATTGTTACATGGAAATTAAGAGATAAAGTCTAAAATCTTTAGTCTATCTCAGTTTAACACAAAATATCATTTATACTGTACATAGGAACCCCTAATGGCAAAACAACTAAATGCACAAAATTATAATAATTATAAATGTACAAATGAGTTTGTTTATTTGTTAACCCCTTAAAATAGGCACATATGTACCTTCAGTCTTTGAGAAGTTTTGCTTGCATCCTGGTATGGGCACCAAATGATTCTAGGGTGGGCACGGCCCACCCGGCCTTCTCTCTAAATACACCTATGTGAATATTGCACAGAAGAGAGAATAGACTATTTATTTTTTTCTTTTTACCATGTGAAAGCAATGCTATTCTATCCAGCAAAATAACTAATTAGCTAACAAAAAATTTAAACATTTATTAATTTTTTATTTGAAAAGGATACAAAGAATAACATAACCTGATGATGTTTCACAGCCCCAGCTAATCCTAATAAGGATATTAATATAAGAAAAACTCCACAGGCAAGTATTCCACCCACAATGGGGAGATTACCAACCACTGATGATGCCTGTCCATAAACTGCTACTGAGATCAGGATAGATGCCACCACCTAAATAATAGAAAATTATTATTACTATATCATAAAACAGAACAAAAGCTTTATTCACATTCAGTTAGGCTTGTGCTCATGTTACAGTTAATCATCACAAATTGATCCTGAAACTAGTCGAGCTTTCACAATAAAAAAATTAATTACACATAAGTTAAACTGGTGGTTATTACATTAAAATATAATTTGTGCTTACGAAACTTTTAACAGAAAGTTTATTATATTCAATGTTACATTTTAACTTGTTTTAATTCAGCAGGTACTTGTAATGCATATTTATATTGTGAAGTTCAATTTTATCAGATACTAGCTGTTTGCTACCCGCAGCTTTGGACGTATGGAGTCGTGTTTTCTTTAAATTGTAATTTTCAAAAATCCTTTCCATATCAGATGCTTACATTATAAAATAATCCTAAATTCCAAATTTCAGCTTTCTAGACTTAGTAGTTTTAGCTGTACGTTGACAGTCAGTAGTAACAAACGATTTTATAACTACAATTTACTTAATAAATAAAACTAGATCTCTACTCAAATCTTCATAGACTTACCACATAAAGTACATTTAATGCAATTAGAGCATTTTTAGAACAAGTGAATCCTCCGCACATTTTGATGGCACAGATCAGTTACAATTTATAATATATGTAAAAAGCAATAACTAACACTGTCTATAATTACAGAAGGGCAATTAAATTGCAAATCATAATCAGAATGTTCCACTTTTTATCTACTATTTATTTCCGAAATTTCACAATCACTGAGGTGTCCGTTTTAAAATATCAAAGTCTGAAAATCAAATCATATTAAATAGTTATTATATATAATCCAAAATTATAAATTACTGACATAAAAATAATGGTATTTGGAATCAAACACGGAAACTCTTTTTCAAGTCAAATTCACAAAATCACAAATACAAGGTTAATTTATGAATGGTAGGTAAGCACAGAGCAAAACAAGTAATCACTACCGTAAAACGGGGTGAATAGATACGAAATCAAACTTTACACTTGGATTAAATTTTTACATTTTGCTAAACAAATTGGCTTTTATTATGCAATTTAAATAATATATGTTATTGAAACTACACGACTGAATACGAAATAATTTAAAAAGTAGACAGTAGTTGATTATTTGTAGCAAAACATGTATTATCCCTATTTATCCTGTATCCGAGTTGACCTGGAACAAAAACTGGGTGAATAGGGTAAAAGGCGTAGGGTTGCCAAAATTAATAATAATTTTTACTTTTTTTAATTAAATTCTATTTTAATAATTGAATTATTTTTTTAATTAGTAACAAATAATTCTATTTTTTACTACCATAGTCCATTTCTTATATCCACTACTAAAACAATAAGTGATAATGACTTGACAAGAGTGACGACAAAAAAAGTTCGCTGTTAACTGCATTCATTTCCAAAATACATACTAAAAATACAGCAATCAACTACATTCCTTTATAATTAATAACTACAACTTATACTTTCCTACTACTTTCATTAAAACTATCAAAAATTAATACTTTTTACTACGTATAAATTAGCAACACTTTTGACCATTACTATAGAATGTGCCCTGTAGCATGGTGCGCGTGATAGTTGCCTGTACGACGTTGACATCTGTCAGAACCACATGACTAGTGATGGACATTTAGCAATTCATTTTTATCGCTGACGATACTCGCAGCATAAATCTAGTTCTTTTTAATGTTGTTATAAAATTAATTTAATAAGCAAATTATTATTTAATTAGTATTTATGAGGAGACTCCGTTATCGCGAATGTAGTTTTTAGGGATTAAACCTTTATCGACTATGGTCTATATGATATTCCAAATATAGTTATAATATTGTCTGATAGATAGAATTTAAATTAAATAAATAAATAAATAACGGTTATAAACTTGTCAATATTCATTTTGTATATTTTCTTTGTACTTATATAAAATTATCAAAATCGGGTTTATGTTTTTTTTTTTCGTGCCATTTTTTTTTTTGGCTCGGCTGCTAGTTTACCCGTGCATGAGATGCTGTCAATACCTTGTATGTGACATGTATTTCGATTTCTTTGATCGTTTTCATTTTCGTTAAATTGTTATAGTTTGTCAAGTTTGTTGTTTTATTCGGTAAAGTTTGTTGTTATTACCATGCCTAAGCATACAAAAAAAAACTGTTTTGGATAGTCAGGCCACGGAGGTCGTTGTTCGCCTCCGAGACTACTTTGAAAGACAACTACAAAATAATGAAACTTTGTTACCATTGAATCGAATTGTGGAAGTAGCCGAAGCTCTTGATATTGGCCACAATGCCGTTTCGGGTATAACACGTGAGAAATTGGCTAAGAAGGGATGTCCGAAAATAAAATATCGACACCCAACTAAAAACGGACCAAGGTGAAGCCAATCACAGATTTAGATGATTTTGCTAAGGATGTTATTAAAAATCACATTTATGATTATTATAGAGGAATGAAGCTGCCCACATTGCTCAAGCTTCTAAAATCATTGAAAGGAGCTGACTTGTTTAAGTGCGGTATTACTTCGTTGCGGCAAGTTATAAAAGATATTGGCTTTGTTTATAAAACTTTACAAAAGGAAGGTTATTATGGAGAGGACTGACATTGCTCTAGCAAGATTTACATTTTTAAGGAAGGCTAAAAGCTAAATGATTAGAGCAAATTTAACTTATTGGATGACAGGTCAGCCACACAGTAGGCAAAAGTTGAACCGACAATACAGCACAATCGTGTACCAAAATACCGGAGAGCAAAAGCGAATGCCTTATTATTTGTCACGCTGGTACAACAAGTGGATTCATCCCTAATTATTTACTGGCTTTTAAATAAAAAAAAAAAAACTACGGAGTATCATGAGGAGATGAACTACGAAAAATCCAAAGTTTGGTTCATACAAATACAAATAGCTTTATTTTGTTTGAAAAATGGTATAAAAGATGGTATATAATATTTAAATATTGTTCACATTTTTCACCAGAATCTAGCACACAAAATTTATTTAATTGTGCCACTATACTATGCTAATACTATTTTACTTAAATCGTCATATTATAGGTCTATTAAATAATTTAAAAGAACCTATGGCCATAATAATGGACAACGCACCCTACTATTCGGTACAAGTTATTAAACCTCAAACCAATCCAAACGCAAAAGCGAGTTGGTAAAGTGGTTGAGTGAAAACCGAGTTACAGTAGATATAAAAATGTTAAAGTCGGAGCTTATTTTGTTAGTCCGACGTTATAAGCCACCAATTCCTACCTATGCTCTGAACGAGATGGCAAAAGTAAAAGGCCACCAGGTCCTTCGACTACCACCCTACCATTGATAATATACACTATTAAGCTATTTATTATTTGATTGGTTAAATTGAGATACTATTTTTTCATAATACCGTTTATTTTTTTGGTCATGCCGCAAGAATTAATACTTCGCCACCATTTACGGCAAAGAAGATGTTGGCCCTACTACAAGAGGCTATCAACAATGTTCAACCTGAAGACTGGTCGAAGGTAGTGAATAAAACAAAAAGGGGCTTTATGTCTGATTGAGATCGTGGCATCCATATTGACAACATAATGAATTCATCGTTAATAGTATCCGTTGTGACAGATATTATTAACGATTCAGATGATGAATTTAGTGACAATTTAGGTGTTCCTGACTATGATATAAATTTAGACAAATAAAATATATTTCTTCTTAGCAATCTTTTAGGTAACCTTACCCTAGTTATGTTCTGTTGTTTCATTTATATAACTACAGATTTTTTAACAATATACGTTTTTATTCTAAAAAAACATCGACTACCTATCCATCGTAGCCGTACATCCCATCACTAAACACGACTATGGCTTTACGTTATACGCATAACACTTTACTTTTTCTTTCAATTTAATTTTATTTGTTGACTAGAATATTCTGGCTGAGTTAAATTTAAGTTACTACAGTTATTAATGATTTATTATATTACGAATGTGGTACAGCCGAAATACTAAATCATAATTTGTAAATCGCGGCAACTTTCAAGAGTGAAACGAAACGTTATTGAAACTGTCACCCGCAACATGCTACAGCGCACATGGTTAAAAAAAAGACATTCTAGCAATCTCTTGGACTCGCCTATATTTGTGCTGACTCGTACATCAACAACTACTAATGAATGAAATAGTAGTCGAATGATATTAGAAATCACAACGACATTAGTAATCGAATGTTTTTTTGATGGATGATAATAAAATAGTGATCCCGCCTGCGCTATCGGTATACACTGGCGGGACACCAGTGAGAGATAATAAGCGAAGATGAAGCAGGTCAGTTAGCTCATCGTGACAAATTTACTAATGAATCAATCACGATGGTTTTCAGGGGGGACCGCGAGAAGGTCGACCTGATAGGGTATATTGTTAGTAATAAGGTTACTAATCCCCATTTCTAACAATCCCCTAATCGAATGATTTGAAGATCATTTCGATAATCTGAATGATTTTCTTAGTCAAATAATTAGTAGTCGGATAAGTAAAGTCGCGCATCGCTAATGGCATATGATTACTTAAAAAGATGGAAAATGAAACGCATATTGCATGCATTAAATATATTTATAATTATTATTTTCATTTTCCAAGTTTCATGGATATAAGGCTTCTGCCAGTTCTTACAACATAGTAATGAGCTTGCATTTTTTAATAAATGACAATAAAAAGATAATCCCGCTTGCACTAACGGTATACTTTGGTGCAAAGAGGGATGATAGGTGAGATGAAAAGGCAGGTCAGTTAGCCCATCTTGAAGAATACGTAATCTAGCACAATGGTTTCTAAGGAGAACCACATGACCGTCGACCTGACAATATACCCTATATTGCTAGCAATGAGACTGGTAGTCCGCATTACTAACAATCCCTTCCCCCCTATTACTTGCTTTGTGAACTCTGTTCTCCCCATACAAAACGCTCATCCTCCTCTATTTAGATACTTATGTTTTTTTTTTTTAATGAGTGACAATAAAATGGTAAACCCGTCTTCGCTATCGGTATACGCTGGCGGGTCACCAGTGAAAGATGATAGGTGAGAATGAAAAAGCAAGTCAGCCAATCGTGACGAATTCCACTAGAATTAATCACAATAGTGTCCAAGAGGAACCGCGTTGAGGTCGACCTGATAGGGTATACTAGTTATGGGGAAATTAGACCCCATTACTAACAATCCCTTTCCCCCGATACTTATGACTTATAACAAGACACACTACATACACTTTCTTCTTTCGGGTTCTCAAGGTTGACTGGAAGAAATCCCTTTCAGGGATAAATCTGTCTGTGTACATTTTTGTTATAACCTAATATCTATACTGTAAGTGAATGTAAAAAAAGCATATAAATGAATAAAAAAAGTTCCTAACGATAGATAAGTGGATGGATGAATTGTTGGATATTTGCTACTCTTTCATGCAAAAACTACTGAACATATTTAAATTTGATACACGGGTAATTTATATCCTAACTTAGTACATAGGATGTTTTATGTATTGATTCACACGACCCGAGTCACGGAAGACAGGTAGTATCGTATATACATATATAGTTGTGTCGTATATATCTTTATATTCTAAAATTCTCATGTCGCGGTGTTAGTTACCAAACTCCTCTGAAACGGCTTTACCGATTTTTATGAAATTTTGTGTGCATATTGAATAGGTCTGAGAATCGGCCAACATCTATTTTTCATACCCCTCAATGATAAGGGTGACCCACCCCTAAATATTTTATTTTTTTTATTTGTGACAATTTATTTTTATTTTTATTTTAGTATGACTTAGCATTGACAAATACGTACTCGTACAACTTCAAACTTCAAAAAGGGTTGCAAGATGGCAATCGAATATAATTATTGTAGTATGAGAAATTTTTATGTATAGTTTATAATTACAATTTGCTTTAATTATATCTTTTTTCTCAATTTAAATTAATCGTCAACCCTCACGGGTCGATTGCTGATCAACTACCAATCGAACAGTTACATCAGGGATTCGGGATGAGAACGGAACCGGCCTCCCTTCTTTCACTCTCTATACAGTTTTCGTCCATTTTTTTTTTGTTTAATTTGTGTCTCGATCGTAGTAGTGACTGTTATACGTCATCATATCATTTTAATTTTTCAGTGCAACTCTCATGTCAATTTTATTCTCATAGTGAAATTATTATTATTTTTAAATTGCTATTAAGTGATCATTGGTACTTTGGGCAAGGCATGCCCGTATTATCATGCACTTAAATTTAAAAATAAGCCAGTCGATATGTGTTACTCGTCAGGAAAGCGCAACTAACGGAAATTGAACCACCTGAACCATTGCACGGCTTACTTATTGCTACGGATCCAGATTCTATCCTGTTCCTGAAGTCAATTCGCACATTCAATTCATGTTTCCAAATAACATCTTTCGGGGCAACAGTAACAATTCAAAATATTGCTGCAAACAGTAAAAAATTTAATTCCACGTTCAATATCAAAAGCCAAGTTTATCACAAAGTGGGCTCATTGCTGCTAATGCCAAACGAATCTCATAATTTTTTACTTTAAGAGTGGCAAAAACGTCAAACGCGCACTTGACGTGGATACGCATTACGACTACAATAACCTCAATTCACCTTTTGCTAGGCGCATCGTCGGCGAGCTGGACGCTCTGCAATGAATTCTTTAAATTATTAAAATCACACATGCCCAAGCTACAAAGTGACAATCAGGCTATTGTCATCAATCCTGATAGAACACCAGCTGGAGAGTATATACGTAGATTCAACGCACCTGTTGTTGACGACGTTGCTGAAATGGTTGGCAACCGTACAGCTACGCGACAAATTGTGATTCGACGAAGAAATAATAATCTTCAATTTATTGCTGATCGGAGGAATTTGGTAACAAACACCACGGCACGAGAATTTTATATATTAGATAGTGATTCAGAGATAAAAATGCAATGTAAAGCCTTTAATAACGTTATGATACTAACCATACCTTTAGATTTGTTTGTTATCATTTGGTCGAATTAAAATATACAACATTTAGGTAATTAAATATTATTAAAACCGTTGTAAAACAATAAAAATGTCAATTCAATGATTAATATTCTAGGTAGGTATATAGATCAAGGATGGTACCTGGATTCTATGGGTAAGTAGGTGTTTCTGAATTTACAATGTTGGTAATTAATTTATTTACTTATAGGTTTTATCAAACTTATCAGTGTCTCGTTACATATATGTAACTATATATAAAGATATATTAAATTGGTTAGATAAATTGTCAATGATTTTTAAGTCTCTTATCTTATGTGTGTCTATGATTTTTATGTCCCATATTTTAGTAGACAGGTGTTTATTAAGATACCGGATTTATTACTGGTATTCATATAATAAATACATATCTACCTAATTATACATAGAGGGGGGCGAAGGGATTATTAGTCGGTCAGGTCGACATCCACGTGATCCTGGAAACTGTCGTGCTGAATCCACGTGTATTCATCACAATGGACTAACTGACCTGCCTTTTAATTCTCATCTTTCATCGCTGATTGGTGCCCCGCCAGCATATACCAATAGCACAAGCTGGTTTACCATTCTATTATCATCCACTAAAAAAAATAATACATAGAAAACTATGTATTCGTGTGAATATTAGTTTTAAAAAGTGGTCAAATGTAAGTTGAAGTCACACGTCAATGGCTCCAGAAGTACATAAAATAATCAGTGAATAGGTTTATGTTTTCTTCATTTTAATATACAACCCTAAATTTAAACATCAGTGAAAAAGAGAATCGTCGGAACATCAGTACCTACTTGTAACTTGGGAGTAGTTACATTCAATAAATACTCTTGATAAGTGCCCAACTGAAATTTCAAACTTATACTCTGAGCATATTTAATAGATGGACCGGGTAGGCCGTGCCCATCACACAATTGTCCGGTGCTCACTTCAGATGATGAGATAAAAATGAGAGAAACTTTACAAAAACATGTCTGAGAATATATATGCCTTCTTTTAAGGAGCCAAGCTCCCCTGGAAAATAATCTTAAATACGCCAATAACTCTGGTAGTTCTTTTTAAACAAGTACGTACATTCCTTCTGAAAATTTAAATTCACGATTGTCCTACTAAAATACGAACTATGAATATTTAAAAAAAAATACATATTCAGTGTCAATGTCCAATCTTTACGTTATGTAAAGATTTAAATAATACCCCATATATCCAAATCTGTTCAAGGATTTAGAACTTATGATGGAAGAAAGTAATTCATATACGTGAATCCTAAAAACGTTAGTCATTCTTCAACCGACTTCAAAAAATATAGCCGTATTGAGAACCTCCTCGTTCTCAATTCGGCTATATTTTTTGTATGTTTCATCATATTAACCTTTAACTGTCCACTGCTAAACATAAGCCTCCCCGTTGGGGGGCTTTGCCAGTAATTACCACGCTTGACAGGCGGATTGGCAACCGCAATCGGACTTTAGAGATGTTTTAAAAGCGACGCTGCTGCCCATCTCTCGCCCTCACTTAGTCAGCTCTTACGACACCCATGGGAAAGGAAGGGGTGGCCTATTCTATGCCGGACCACACAGCCATTTTCTTTGTATTTTACCTCAGAACTCCGTTATTTTTAAATCCGATTTGGAAAATACTTCTTTGTTTGAAAGGATATAGTTACTTACGTATTTTCAGATTGATCGTACCTAACAGATTTGCTACAAATTAAATCAGTGTTTTTTTTTTATGGGGCAAAGTCTTGAATTATTTGCATAGTCGTCTAAAAATACCATACCTTGTTTCTCGCTTGGCGAAGAGAACTTACTTCAGATTTTGATTTGACCTATAGTAAACTTAACAGAGGAAAACTTTTATAAAATATACTATATGCTTGACGCTTGACAGACACCGTACCAAACTTTCCTAAAGACTTTCATTTCTGCAATTAAAAGTTACTTAAATTACATTATCGAATGATAATAGGTAATTAAAATATAAAAAAATCACAATACAAATTATTTAGGTTTATTAAGTTAAATTTAAAATTATGATATTCTGAATTTATGACCTTATAAATCTTCAATAGATCTCAATATATTAATTGTTTTATCATAAAGTAAACTTTTAGCTTCTGTTCCCCACATGAAATCAACATGACTAAATGTTCTATGAGGAACTAGAATTTTTTGTATCGGTCGGCCCAGTTCTCTCCATAATCTGTCAACATCAGGCAAAGCTGCAAATGGATCTACTTCGGCATAGTGCAGAAAAACTGGTGCAGTAACCAGTGACAAATCGATAAGAGGAGGTTGGAAAGACCCATACACAATTAAATTCGAAATAGGGCCATAGTTGTACCGCCTAAAATAACCTTTATGGATATGTTGACCGTAATGTGCAAGTTGTCGTAATGAAATGCCTGCTGGAGTATGTGCCAACTTAAGCGGTAACATTGTCTGGAAAAAAAAATCGATTAATTAGATACTTCTTATTAATTTTTATCTTCAACCTCCGGAAGTTCGATCACATTTCTTTCTATCAGTCTCGGCTCAAATGGCTTTCCATTCGTCAACGCAGAAACGTTAAGACTCTTTGTACTTTCTACACTCTTCTTTGAAACCCCCTGTCTCCTAACTACTTAAGCAGTAAATTCCAGTACCTTTTTTAAACTCACGATCGTAACCTTCGTTCCAGTAATACTCTCCAACTATCTTTCTCCTCTCACCGTACTGGTTTCGCTTCAAACTCTTTTCTCCTACATTCTTTATGATTCTAGAACGCGCTTCCTGATGCTATTAAGAGACTACCGACTAAACCGTCTTTCAAAAAAAACGTTGACGCACACTTTTTTACTTTATCCGAGCAGTAAGTGCTTTATATTATTCTCAATTTCGTGTATAATATAGTATATGTCATATATGTGTAAGTATATTTGTTAATTATATATATTTATTTGTTTATATATGTAATTTTAAGTATGTATGTATATCAACAATCACTAGTATCGCATTCGAGTATTCTGACACTTCCCTATGGTTGACTGGGAGAGAATGCTTTTAGCATTAAGTCCGTCATGTACACATATTTGAACTAATGAATAAATAAATAATATAAAAAATGCCATTAGATAATGTCTGTAAATAAGAGACATTTAAGAAAAAAATTATATGAGAGACCTTAATAAGAGCAAAACAACATTGTAAATAAAATTATATTCATACATTCATTCATCACGAAAATAGGATATTTGTAATTAATGAAAATGATATCGTAATCCCGACTACTCTACAGGTTTACCTTAGTGGAACACCAGTAAAGAATTGCCCATGCAAGAATTATCCACGATGGTTTTCACATGGATGTCGTCCTAATAGGGTATATTGCTAACAATGGGTCCATTAATCCTATTTACTAAAAATGTCCTCTGCTTCGGTTCTTTACTTTCTTTTTTAATATATGTGAAGAAATAAATTTCGATGATCCCCATGAAGATCGATTTGACAGAGCAGGTATATCACCAGCAATAGATACTACTAGCCCTTGTAAATAATATCATCATTCCCTAGCATCCCCCCCCCCCCCCCGGACCTTCCTCCAACGTATTAAACGTATACTATCGATAGCACCGGCGGGTTACCATGCTATTTAATAAAGTTATCCAACTTCAATTAATTTTTAATCAATATGACTCTTTAAGTAAAAGAGCTTTCTTTGTAATTTTCTCATATCTACTAATTTGGAAAAACTTAAGTCTATTTTATTAAAATAATTAAATAATAATAAAAAATAATATTTTTTTAAAAGAATTCAATTCAACGATTGTCGAAAACAACAAACATAGTTCATAAAATACCCATTATATATAGGAATTATTTTACTGTACCTTTAGCTACAGATACCGCGTTATGTAACTCTTCACTTCTTCCGCCGATCAAGAACAAAAGATGGGAACAAACGATCTGTGAAATAGCTTCATCAGAACAGAATTTATTTCCAATCCATGCATAAAATGGACTTTTAGACAAGATTTCATCTATTCCGAATATACTGGCTAGAACCTAAAACAAAATATAAATATGTACAGACACCAACTTATTCAACTTAATTAACAAACTTTAGCACTACATTTTAAAATATTGTATTGTAATTTTTTTGCAAAAAATTGCAGTTTTTAAACACCCCTATTTATGTGGAGTGTAATAACATCAAATATTCAATGGGTGTAGTGCTGAATTGTCTGCATCTAAACACAAATACATATTCGGACTCTTTTAATAATTTAGCAGAGTATAGAGCAATATAGTAAAAAAAAAAAAATTTAGTTACTAAATTACTTATTATTTGATTTCATTAAGTACTAAAATATAATAAAATAGAATAATGTGAACAACACGAGCGACTGGAATAAAATCTTTTATAAGAGTTAGGTATAGCTATTAAATTGTAATTCAATTTACCTCTATGCTATTTGCGTATGGTGCTAAAGCACCAAGTATAGGATTTGTGTTATGTTCCATGTAAGCGACAGGAGCATAAGCTTGCATAGAAATTATTTTATTGTTGTATTCTGGACGTAAAGATCCCATCACAAAGAATACCGTGGTTCCTTGAGAATGGCCTACATAATGCAAGCCAGGTTTTCCTGTTATTGCTAAAATGTAGTCAATCATAGCGGGCAAGTCTTTACTCCCTATCTCTTCCCAACTGAACGTCCAAAAATCATTTCGCCCTGTATCGGGTTTATAGTCTGGATCCAAAGTCAAGTGTCTTCTAGAATAATAATTTCCACGTGCATTTCCAAGCCATACATCAAATCCAGCCTCGGCAAACACGTAGGCTAAAATAGTGGAATATTGTTAGATAATATCTTCTCCCTGGGAGAACTTTGTACCAAATTTGTCTGTTTATGCACCACTATTATTTCTACCGTTAAGCGACTGTACTTTCATAGTTAGGTTTTGCTTCGAAGGATAGAGCATAGCAAAGAAATTACGGATTACATAGGCATTAGATCTTTAATCCTTAAAAAATGGCAACGAAGGGGTACCAAGAGCATCATAGAATACAATGTGATTTTTATACGCTATGGTTATCAGTTTCCATTATGTAGACTATTAGTTTGTTTGCTCTTCCATGTTAAGTGAAAAAATCTATAATGAATATAACTCTTTTTAAGAACTGAAAGTCACCATACCAAGTCACTCAGAAAGTATTGCGAGAAAAAGTTTTTATGTATGTGAGACTGGCCAGTTATAATTTATTTAAAAATATGATTACTTATAAATAAAAATAGGTACGTTCTAAATTCAAAACTTCCCTCCACATTTTTTGCGAGCTAATTAAAATTACCGTGTCTCATTGAAAAATGGATTTGCGTCGAGAACATTTTCGCGATATGATTTTTACGATTTTAAATGTCGCCTGAAACCGGACGAATCATACGATAGACTTCAAATGGCATTCATGGATGAAGGCCCTTCTAAGGCAACCGTGTATCGTTGGTATAATGCATTTAAGCGCAACCAACTAACTTTGGGGGATGAAGAAAGAAGTGGTTGCCCTTTGACGGCTGTTACAGAAGAAAACGTGCTAACAGTGAAAAATTTGATCCAAAACAATAGACGAGTTACATACCAAGAGATTCAGCATTTACTGCAAGTTGGATCAGGAAGCCTTCGTGAGATTCTATACGTGCATCTACGGGTGCGGAGGATAGTTTCACGCTGGGTGCGGCAAAACCTCACCGATGTTCAGAAGCAGGCAAAAGTGAGACAAATTTGAAGCAGGCTCGTCTTGGCGTGTTTACGACATTGGAACAGGTGATGAATCTTGGATTTATCAATACGATCCAGAAACAAAGCGCCAGTCGACCGTTTGGGTGTTTCAAAACAAATCAACGCCTACCAAAGTAAAGCGAACTAGAAGCGGGGGGAAGATTTTAATCGCGAGCTTTTTCAATTTGACTGGCTACTTGGTGTCAATTCCTTTACGAAACCAAAGAAGCATTAACGCCGAATAGTATACTACCAAATGCTTGGCAGACGTTTTCTCTGTTGTAAGCAACAATCGACCAAACACAGGGCTCCGCGAGCTACTGCTCCACCACGATAATCGCTCGTTTTGATTCCTAAACAGCACACCGGTCAAACTCCTGGGTCACCCTCCTTACAGCCCTGACCTAGCACCGTGTGACTTCTTCTTTTTCCCAAAAATAAAAAATCAGCTCAAAGGGATACAATTTTCATCGCCAGATGATGCGCTCTCAGCGTTCGAGCAAGCTGTAAACAAGGTGTCTGCGGCGGACTGGAAAAAGGTTCAGACGCATGAAACTTTATATAGAGGCTGGTGGAGAGTACTTTGAAAAGATGTAATAAAAATATATTTACATATAGAACATTTTTTTTTCAGTGTCGCAAAACTTTCTGAGTGTCCCACGTATGGTCTGGTTCTACTCTTAACCATACTGCTCTCTATATATTCATATATATTTTTATTACCAAAATTTTTTCAGATTTTTGGCTTTATAAAATAAAAATGTTTGAAAATAAAAGGGCATACTTATTTCTTACCACACATTTTCAATTATAAGTTAAAAGTAAGGAATTATAAATACAAACAAATAAAACAAAAAAAAACAGTTTTAAAATGAAACCCTTTCATATAACTACTACTACTAACTACTACTTGGACAAATAGGCTAATTTTAAAATTTTGAATACCACTTTTAGATCCTCCGAGAAAGAAAATAAAAATACTTTTACTTTATACTTTTTTAATTATTTCATTTATTTTTATTGCAATACCGTGTGGTCCCGGTATAGTATAGACCGCCTTTTCCTTTCCTATGGGTGTCGTAAGAAGCGACTAAGGGAACTTAATAATGGAGGGAGGGGCAGCAGCTTCCGTCTTAAAATATCACCAAAGCCTAACTGCGGTTACCAACCCGCCTGCCAAGTGTGGCAACTACTGGAAAAACCCTCCTTATGAGGGAGGCCTAGGTTCAGCAGTGTAAGTGACAAGAAACGTCTAATATAATAATATGTGGGTCAACATTTGTAAAACTATTACAAATCGATAGCATTAGTAGATATGAAGTATAGCAGAGCTAGAGGGGCGCAGAATATAAAGTGGCCTATAATTCAGAAAAAAATATTAATCCGGCACTCAACTGCCACTGAATATTTAAATTTTGATAGAAAATAGTATTTAAAAACTTTCGAAACAAAATATGAGTGCGTAACATTAAGTGGTTAATGTGCAACTTATTCTTTGATTAATGTTTTAGTTTGTCATCAGACCAATTTTTAAATAATCCATTAGAATTATTAAAAATAACTATTGTACAGTGTTAAATAAGTAAATATATTTTAGTATGAATCGTCTTAAAATTAAATTCACCTTAATTAAAATACTTCTATTATATGCAAATATATTCTGAGTGCATAAATAATGCTTAATGATTACCTAAAGCTGTTCCTGGACCCATGACAACAAAATCAGCAGATGATGAGCAGAGTCCGTGTTGAACTAAAACTACTGGTTTTCTTGGATCGGGAACATTATTTTCGTCACGACCATGAGGAATACGGTGAAGTTCGAGAATATAACCATCTTCTGTGATTGCATTATGTATCTCTATTGGATATCCATATTTTGCTATCAAACCAGGCTGAAAATAGGTAAACTTATCAATAATATTTTTGGTAAGTAACTTTCATTAATTAAATAAATGTGTTCGCGAGAATTCCCAGTTTAGAGGCTTTGAGATGAATTACAATATTCGACTCGAAATTTTTTTTTATTAGATCCTTACTTATATTATAAACGTTTAAGTGAGTTTGTTTGTTGCCGCTTGACCCTTAGGTAAACGACTCAACCAACTGTTACGAAATTTGGCATACATGTACTATTTGAAATGGAGAAAAGCATAGGCTAATTTTTATCCCGATCAATATAATAATGTAGGCCAGGTAGATGAAATAGCAGATAAAATCCAGTAATTGAATACTTTAATTACCACATCAAGCATAGCATCCTCCAGAAGGTTGTTAGAATAACGTCCAGCTTCGGGGCCTTTAACATAGTACTCTTCTATTAAGTCTGCGTTTGGAGAGCGCCGTGCGAGCCCTGGCGCTACGCTCGCACAAACAATCGCAACAACCGAAACGACTAAAACGTCTGCTTTGCACATGATAACTGGTATTTTTTATTATAATTAAGCGCCAGAACTGTATTTATACTGAAGGTAAAGATAAAAAGCACGTCAATTAATTATTAATTAGTCATAAATCATAAAGCTATCACTAGGTATTTTGTGTAGGTATAATGAATAAAATCTTGTCTAACTGACTAATCATTAGGTGCACAATAGAATTGAAAAAAAATCATTTTTAGGGTTCTATACCAAAAAAGGAACGAATAAACTGTTACGGGTTGGGTCTGTAAAGACTTTATAAAAAATATAAAAAAAAATATATTATACCTATAATTAAATTAAGTGAGACAATTGCGGTTTTATTGAGCAGGGAGCTCCGGTCTGACTAATAACAGAAATAAGTAGGTACATATTTTTCTAGAAATTAAAAGCATTTCTAGCAGCTTTCAGCATTTTTATGACAATGTGTCTTACACAGGCTAAGCTATGTAAGCGAATCCTTACGGTGCGACATTTATTCAGTTTTATTGAAATAACTTTATTGATCAAAAGAAAATATGGTACATAAGGCAGACTTAATACTAGTAGCATTCACGTTTATCCGTCTGTCACAGCGATATATCTCATAAATTACTATCGATTTGAAATTTGGTTTATTTTTACATTAGCTCGCACATATTGCAATAAAAATAATTGAAATAATATTTTTATTTTCTTTACTTCAAAACGGAGGGAGCCCGAATCGGTTAATCGATCAAAATTTCATAATTAACTAATAAGTCAATCATGAAATTTAGAATAGGAAGGGCTTTATTTGTATATTTTAAAACTGTTTTTATGTACTTTTATGCTCTGTAGTTTTTTAATTATGATAAAAAATGCGACAAAAAAAGACTATTCCCCCCCCCCCTCCTTTATCTCCGACGTTTCTGAAGCAGACAATCTAAATTAATTAGTTTATAAATGTACCTACCTATATGTAAACGTCACAGGAAAAATAAAAAGTTGTTTCTAACACGGTTTTTATTTTATTTATTTATATTTGTATTCCCTTAGTCACCTCTTATGAGTCTACGGAAAAGGATTAAGGGCGAAATAATAATTACCTATTACTAGGTACATATTTAGAAAGCGAAATGCAATAAGTCATTTTATGGCATATATATTTATATACGGAACCCTCGGTGTGTGTGTTCAATTCGAACCTGACCTGGTTTTTTAGACCAGGTATCGTTGCTAGTGTTTATTAATATCAAGTTTTTAAGAGATAACATTTGTTATCTATTGGCGTCGTAACAGCGCAACCAAGGGCAAGAGGGGTTGTTAGTAATAAAAAGGCTAGCTCTCATTGTTAATAATGTAACCTGTCAGGAAAGCCTCCATGCGATCCTCGCCGGAAGGCCGATGTAGAAAAAATAATTTGCATTTTTTTTTTATTAATTAAATAAAAAAGCTATGTAAACAAAATTACTTTTATTAATAATAAAATTGGTTTAAAAGTATTACCAACGAAACTACTCGGCAATGGATGACGTTGTTAGTCATTTAAAAATAAATATTTTTTTCGTTGTGATGTTTTAGCATCAAGTTTTTATTGTTTTGAATTGCAACTTCTACATAACAATAGTGAGATTATAAGAGGATTTACATTTTGCATTAACCTGTATAGTTATAAATTTTCCCGCATTTTTGTTGTCATCAAGATTTATCGCCAATCTTCTTATCAACAAAAATTATAATTTACAACATCTTATCTCTAAAATTAAAAGCTCGAAAATATTGATTTTTCTTTATCATACCCCCAAAACAAAGGTATGATAACGTAGAAAGAGAGCCGCAGGTACTATCCTTAAATTTATGTAGGTATAAGTAAATATTCTAAGAAAAATTTATTTATTTAAAAAGAATTTTTTAAATTTACCAAAATGAATGTCTTTTTACCACTTGGACTAATGTATATGCAATTCAACGGCTCCGCTGACTGAAAATGGTAGTTTACTATCTTAAAGCTCAGTTAAACATTTAACGACGGTCCGTGAATAATAAGATCAGATCCAAAAAAACTTAGGATTTTCAAAATTGCTTCATGCATTGTACTTGCAAATGAGTCCGATAAATCACGTCTGACGCATAACGAACGAAGGATGTAACGAAAGAGTATAATACTGTTAGCGCAGGCAGGGTTACCATTCCATTATCATCCATTAAAAAAAAGTACTGAGTACTAAAAGTGTAGTAGGTATATATTCAAACAGGTAACTTCACGCCGTACGTAATATATATGTTAATACATAAGGCACCCCGTGCTTGCGGTGGTGTGCACGTTACTTTCAGTAAATTATAAGATCCCGAATTCGATTCTCGGCCAGACCAGTTAGATACCTAACTTTTCTAAATTGACTTTCACCTAAACGGTCTGGATAATGGTTCCTAAATATAGTCTAGTTACTGGAACCCCTTAAGAACGAGATAATTTGTGAGGGATCTTATTTATTTATTTATCCACGTTCGTTAAATTATCTACAACTTGTGGAATCCTGGGATCAATATTATATCAACTATATTAGTCACCTATTTGGCTGTGCCAACTACAAATAAAAATTGTTTATTCTGTGGTATGGGTAATTAATATACTGGAAATGAGTTTCCTGTATATTTACCACCTTCGATTAACATTTTTCATCGGCATGCATGAAGTATAATGCAAACCCCACTGACTAAATTAGCAAAATACTAGCGAAAGCCCGTAACTTGTATGTAAATTTTATTATCGCACAGCAATAGCAGATACGAGTAGTATTAGTGGTACCAGCTTAATCCAATGTGCCTACTAATCTTTAAATCCGTTTAGGTGTTTATGCGCATTTGACTAAAAAATAACGAAACAAAATAGGTATTAAAATTAAAATTTATCTGATTTTGATCTGTTTAATCTACTTACGACGGTCAGGTGTTTAGCTATTTAAAAAAATAACAAAAACGTACTAATATTACAATTAAGTTTCTGATCTGGATCTATATGAATCTCTTTATCTACTCAAGTGTTTATCTGTTCAAAAAAACGACAAAAGATAAATATTTATGCTAAGCACTAAATTAAATTAAAATACCTGATTTGGATCTGTATGAATCACTTCAGGTGTTTATCTACCCAGAATAATAACGAACTAAAGATAAGTAAATACGCTACGTAAATACTAAAATCAAAATATCTGGTTTCAATCTGTAAGAATGTTTATCATGTACACCGTTATTACACATTTGCTCTTCTTTTTGTCAATAAAGGTTTACTTTTTATTGTAAATCCTTTACTGGCAGGTAGTTCGCCTGTGAAACTCACGTCCTATCTCATTTATATTCAGTGTGCTCATATTTTTAGTCCTCCAAATTTCTGTTAAATCATCCTTCTTCAAATTTTTTTACCGTATGTGAGCTTATAAGTACTCGTATATGTATGTATTCATTTATATGTGTATATATTAGTCTCCACATATTAGTGCGCCACCTACCTTTTATCTTTTTTCTCAACGTCCTCTAACCAAAGGCTGTCTGGAAAAGATTACTTAGCGATAAGGCCATCTTTTGTACCACTTCGCATTAAAATTTAATGTATTTGTTATTTTTTGTAATTGGTACAATAAACTCTAAAAAAATAAATAAGCAAAGAAAAGTAGTAAGTTATTGAAGTCGCTGGCGGAAGACCCAAAAAAAAAAACAATTTTATAAATATAACTCAATTTAATTCTATAATTAATTATTACAATAATAAGTTTCTTCAGATCGATGTGTGATCCGTAAGTAAAGTTATATAAAATCAAACATAAAGGAAATGGGTATTTTTGCTGCGGGAATTGAAATGCTGACTCGACGCAGGTGTCTTTCTCGGTAACGCACCTTCTTGCGTTATGCTAGGTGGTCCGATCCGATCGCCGTTGAGGGTGTGACGTAATACTTGATAGGTATCTACTATAACAAGTAGGGGAGACCGAGGAAAATTGAACCAAAGGTAGGTTGAAACAATACAAATTTCTGGAAATCTAAAAGCACTAGCAAGTTGGTAACTTTGCTAATTTTATCCTCCTGCCACCCGCTCGGGGGCTCAGTATTCGTTCATGCACCATGATCGACGCTTACACCGCTATTAAATGTCAGGTGAAAAAATACATAAAAGTAAGTTTTCATCATAATAATATCTTTATGCCTAAGTGTATTATGTTATTTGCCAGCTTATGAATCTAAGATTTAAACTGCAATAAAGATTTTGCATGACTGTGTAGTGTAACAAAGTTATATCAGCTCAAACCTAATGGCAGCCGACTTCTGTATCCTGGGAGAGTTGAAACAGCCTGTTTCAACTCACCTCGTTTGCATTTTGTTATGCATTGGTATTTTGTTTTGGTCGTGCGACCAGCTTTAACAAAACTAACGTAGAATTGTTTTTTAAAAACTATACATCTGTGCTTGATAAACACCACTTGGACGCAAAGGACATCTGGAATGGTGAAGAATCTGGAATAACAACTGTCCAAAAACCAGATCGAGTCATTTCCAAACGCGATTAAAAACAGGTCAGTGCCATGACCTCGACAAAAAGAGGCACTTTGGTCACCATCGCGTTAGCTGGTAATGCAATAGGAAATTGCATTCCACCAATGTTTATAATCCCACGCAAGCGTTTTAATGATCATTGTATTCGTGATGGGCCATCTGGATCTATTGGAGTAGCCAACGGATCTGGATGGATCCAAGAAGATGATTTTTATTTATTTCTTGAACATTTTAAAAATTAAGTCCGGTCATTCTAAAGATATTGTAGTTCCGTTATTGCTGGACAACCATGCCTCACATACTGCTGTAAAGAACATTAATTTCTGTAAGGAAAATGGAATTGTTTTGTTAACATTTCCACCACATTGTACTCACAAACTTCAGCCCATGGATCGAGCTATCTTTGGCCCTATGAAAAAAGCTGTCAACAGGACATGTGATAACTGGATGCACTCACACCCAGAAAAAGTTATGACAATATATAATATTTCAGGGATTATAGAAATAAGCTAAATGAACAATGGATCCAGTGTATGGAGTGTAAGGCATGGGCACACCTGGAATGCACTGAAGGCAAAATATCTTATGTGTGCCATAACTATTTGTTTGACTAAGATTATTTTTTTTTTTTTTTTTTTCTATAAATTTCAGTGTATAATTATTTGCTATTTTTTTGTTTCTAAGATCTCAATATTGTAACTATGAGACTGATAGTACAAATTAAGAATAATTGTAACTTTAATATAACATTTACTTATAAATCTGTGTCTCTTAATAATGGATTGCTTCCAGGTAATAATTGTTTCAACTCTCCTAGACCAGTGTTTCAATTTATCTCAGTAAGAGGGGAGTTGATACAAACTCACTAGTTGTCTTTAAGTCAACTTTTTTTGGGTAAAAAAGAAATAGTAGCAGTTTTTGTCCTAAACATTTATTAGTTAGTTAAACAAGGTTTAATTTAGTATAATACAAGTTAATTTCTATCGCTTAATTAAAAACTTATGGGTCTCAATATAAAAAATGGTTCAACTCTCCTCGGTCTCCCCTACATAAACGTACAGGAATAAATATATCTTATATGGATCTATTCATATGTTTTCTTCCAGTCAATCTTGTATAAATTCAATCTAATGAAGCATAGATACATATGATTTATTATATGTAAAATACATCTCTGTCATTTAGTTCATCAGTTGAGTTTTATCTCATTTGATTATAAGAACGTCACTACTAACAATTTCAAGACTTTATTTTCTATTAAAATATTAACTAATAAAAATACCTCCTTGATAGGATTCTATAGCAATTATTGATTTGGACCTCTGGGCACTTCACTCACTTGCGTTATCGATATACACTGGCGCGGTACCAATGAATGGTCATAGGTGAGGATGAAATCAGGTCAATTAGTCCATCGTGACGAATTCAACAAGAATTAATCAGAATTGTTTCCAGAAATATGCTCTTTTCTTGAAGGTTATGTTACTGCTGCTGGAAGTTGATTCTAAAGAATAGTTGTGCGCGGAAGAAAATGCCTTGAAAAACACACAGTGGAGGTGAAATATTCATCCAGATGATTAGAATGAAACTTTAGTTTGTGGCGAGTTGTACGGTGGTGAAAATCAGTGGCAGGTATCAATCCGAACAATTCCTCAGAGCATTCCCCATGACAAATTTGGTACAAAATACACGGAAGATGCAACATTTATACGCAATTTCAAAGAGTCGAATCAGACAATAAGGCGCTGATCGTCAATAATTCAAGCCACCCAACTTAAAATGCGGTCTAACAAGAGAAGCTAGCCCTATGGCGTTCCTGCTCAAAGATGAGAACAGTGTTCCATATGTTCCGACTTGAGCTTTATACAATTTCAAGCGGTCTTCCGGCGTGAAATACCGCCTTACTCTAATGAACACTCCTAACTTTTTGAAAGCCACTTAACCTTTTCGTGCAGATGACCGCAAAACTGGACGTCGCTAGATATATCAACTCCAAGGACCCTACCCTCGACTTATTATTAAGGGAAGTGCCCTGAAAGTGAGGAGATACGACAAACAGCGTCTTTTTTGCGGTGAACGCACAGACTTGTGTCTTCTTAGAGTTGAATTAAACAAGATTCACCCTAGATCGAAACTTGATCGAGTGCAGTTTCGATTTTAGGCACAAATCTGTTCCGGCACTAATCGGTATATGTCCGCGAGATGTTTGCATGACCGATATATAATGCAGCTCCTGTACTGTCGTCCACATAGCAATGAATATTACTGATCTGTAACATTTTATTTATTTTTATTTATTTATTCATTAAATTCTTCTGCATATCATTGATACGCAGAAGAATTTAGGGATTGAGAAAAAGAAACAGGGTCAGAGATAGTACATAGCCTTACGGGATACCAGCATTCACAGGTTTTAAATCAGAGCATGCTCTGTCGACTACGACCTCAACGCTACGTTACTTGAGAAAATTGGCGACCCAACAGCACAATCTTGCAGACAACCCAAACGAAAGTAGTTTGCAAATCAGTGCTTTATGTCACACCCGATGAAAGACTTTCGCAATATCCAAACTAACAGCTAAGGCCCTTATTCTCGATTGCCACTACCCATCGGCGTGTTAAATAAACTAAAAGATCACCGGCCGAGCGTCCCTGTCGAATGCCGTACTGATCACAGATCAGCTGGTGATCTTCTAGATACCGGAGCAGTTGACGGTTAATGATAGATTCGATGACTTTCGAGAATAAGGAAATGATAGCTATGGACCTATAGTTATCTAGATCTGATGGATCTCCCTTTTTAGGAATCGGATATAACAGAGCAGTCTCCCAAAACTTTGGAAATATACCTGATGAGTAAAAGAGCCGAAAAAGACGTGTAAGAACCGGAGCAAGCTAATATTGCAAAAGCTCACATTAAGCGAAGGAGATGCCGTAGAAATCTTGCCCTATTTGCCCTTGATTTTATTGAGCGAAATTTTGCGTAGATCTAGCACAGTAACCCTGAAAATATAGGGTCTCTAAACATACAGGGATTAAAGGTAATGAAATGGCCAATGAGTTAGCGAGAAGATCAGAATAAAAAATTATAGGTCCTGAACCATATGTCGCAATTGCATCATGTGTCATAAACTATACATTTGAGAAGTTTGCGAAAATAAAACAACAAAAAAAATGAAGAAAATTAAAGGATCTCAGGTATTCTAAAAAAATTCTTATACAGCAAAGCTGAGGAGGATCCCTCCCGGGAATCCGATCCTTATTTTATTAGCCCTATTATATTATTCTATTAATATCATAAATGCGCAAGTTTGTAAAGATGTGTGGCGTATATATATTGTATATGTAACAAACCTTTATAAATATCTAAACCTTTTGAATTTCTGTAGAAAAATAAATTATGAATAACAGCGCATGCGAGGTTGCGCGCGCAGTATAAATTGAAAATTGTCATTCTTTTTAAAAATATATAGATGTTTAAACATTGGATTAAATATTTTTCTTACTCATTTCCCATAGATGAATGGTTACTCTTTCACACAAAATCTACACGACGGATTTGAATAAAATCAAACACAGGCAGATTATGTCTTAACTTAGTACGAAGGATATTGTATGTACTGATTCACGCGGGAGAATTCACGGGATACAGCTAAACAAAAATAAAAATATTTAGTGACGACTATCCCTGCAGCGCAGTTGAGAAAATAAATTTGATTGTATATTATCTCTTAACACCCTAACGACTTAACCAATCACTATAAAATTTGATATACAAGTACTATACGGAATAGAAAAAGACAGGCTCTTATATATTCTGATCACGCGAAGGCGCGAGTAAAACTAGTGTTTTATATTTTCATGTATTATATAATTATCAATTCATTTTATTTTATCAATTACTCAAGTTATGTGTCGTATGGGTGAAGAGACTCGCTGAAAATCGTAGTGAGTGGCAAGAGCTCCACCAACAACAACACAATTCTTAAATAGGATTGAATAAATGTGTCAGTCAAACTCGGGCACTTCACAGCCGCTCATGAATAAGGATCACAAATTAATCCTGAAACTAGTCGAGAACATGTAAGATAAACCGGTAGTATTACATTAAAATACAAATTATATATGTAAGTATATAATAATGACTTAAATGAACGTACCCATTGTCTCTGGTGAAAATTGGGAAATAACATACAACGGCCCAAGTGAGAAAGTAAACGCGGAAAAGAGAGTTCGACTTACATTACATTAATTGGGAAATAATTAAACGATTATCACACCTGCGCGAGTGCTGTGAGTTGTACAAAGATTACATTACAATCACATTATAACATTCATATTTACTTAATAAGTTTGTATAGAAATGCGAAGATATCCGAAACCATCCGCAGATGTGCAGTTAAGTTTCAGTACAAGGTAGATTCTTAGTTTTACGTATAGTTAACAACTTCGATTTCATCTTGTATACTGCACCATATCCACCATATAGGTCATCAAATATACCCCCGATACATCGAATGATTATCGATTTTTAAAATAAGATAATTAAAGATTGTGTCCCACAAAAAAAAAATAGAATTCAATTGTGGCACAACCAGTTATTTTAATTTAAAAACTAAACAACTGAATCAATTTTGATAAAATTTTTATAGAACCAATCTAAAATCCTTTTAGATAAAAGAATTTTTCATATTCAGTTGTAAACCACAGCTGACGAAGTTATGAAGTCAAAAATAAAAGAAAATAAAACTGAATTGAGAACCTCCACCTTTTTGAAGTTCGTTTCAAATGATTTTTATACATAACTTCCTCTTTGAATATAGAAAATTATTTAGATGACAGATAGGTGGCGTTGGTATTCGGTTATCTCCAAGTTTTCTCTGCTTACACCTGTGACGCCGATGTGATTATACAAATACGTTAGATTAAAGGAAGCAAATTACAATAGCTTATAGTACGCTATTAATAATAAAATACTTATTTGCCACCTTAGTGCTATAAAAAAAAAAGATAGTAACTAATGGCAACAGTTTTATTTATTTCACTATTAAATAAATATTAGATATTACAATGTAATTACTTATATTTAAAATTTTATCTAGTTAAAGTTTTCCTATCCTACTCTTCTTGTGTTGTATTTTGATTTTCTTTATAATCTCGCAATCTTTCTTCAAAGTATTGTTTTCGATGCACTAAAGCCAAACGAGGTTGCCTTAAACCAAAATTTTCATTACCTAATTTGCTATATTTCTTTTCTCCCTCTTTTCCCATAAGCTCCCTTAAAGCCTGATTTCTTTGTAATAATTTATCATAGAATATTACTCCGTTTTCTATAAACTCTGGTCCTAAATCACACAATTTTTTATCTACTTCAGTTTCATAATATACCTCTGTTACATCTTTCATAAGAAAATAAGATCCTAATCCAAAAACACCTAGGATGCTGTATAATGTAGCTCTAATAATTGTAGGAGCGGCATAAAGGTTATATCTACGATTAATAAACTGAGACATATTATACATAAAGAACACACATGTAAACGGATAAGCAGACTCATAAAACACTTTTTTATTCTGAGTCATCAATATTTCCCTACATATTGCAAACTCCTTAACTTTGTCTGATAATATAAGTGCATCTGCTAATTTTTTACCAGCTGGAGAAGACCAGTCTACTTTCTTTAGATTTACCTGTAACAACATGTTTCTTATTATAAATAGATACTTGAGAATGTTCATCTGATGAGGCTCTGAGCAGTCTAATAGCTTGGATTAAGACAAGGTTAAACATAGTGAAAGACCATGAGAAAAGAGGAAAGACCCTTACTGCTTTACTATTCTATCTGCACTGATTTATCATCTCTATCATCTTTGCTGCATGCTTTGGCTACTTGTCGATCACAAATAGCTTTTTGAACTCAATAAATTATCAACCTTTCTTAGTGAGTACATTAGCCACTGCATGATAACAGTATACAATGACAATGAATACCAAAAATCTCTCATATTGCTTGGTTGGCTACTTAATTTAAATGGTTTATGATTTTTAAGCAACAGCTACTTTTTTTAATATAAATATACAATAAACTGACATATCATAGAAAAGGAACATCAGAGGGAGACCTTGCACAAAAGTCATCAGCATGAATACCTCTGTGCTCATGCAGATGCACTTTTGTCCTACCTATTTCTGCCATAAACCAGCTACGCTTACATAGCTGTGTTTTGGTTAAAAGGTGGGATACAGCAACGATTGTAATATCATTGCCATATCCCACCGACTATGGGAGCATAATATCATGGTCTTCAGGAATGGCAATGCATGAAGGGTACTACAGGCATCACGGTGCATTCTATGATGTTCACATCTATAGGTGACAGTTATTACTTTCATTCATGTAGGCCAGCAGTTTGTTGCCGTTCTAAACATCATAAAAAAAGATTACCACATTAATACTACAAACATGGATTTCGTTGGCACAGAGGTTTCCAAAAATTTACTATTAAGGATAAATAAAAATTACTCTATTTTATCTTTTCTGGAAATGGTTAGATGTTCCTTTTATTATTTCTAGTGTTTTGAAAATACATTTCTATTACCATTTCTGTTATTGTGCACATATTTTGACTTGAATTTAGGATGCCTTTACCTGTAAGTGTGTAGGGTGCTGCAAATTAGAATAGTTTGGGAATCTTTGGACTAATGAAAAAAAAAATACTAAAAAGCCTCACACCAAAACATATTTACTTGCCTGAATATCATGATTTTCTAAATCATTTAGAGATTTATATGAAAAATTTACAGGTATTCCTACAGCACCACCAAATTTTGAGCTTGTACTACCTGCAATAAAATAATGTAATATGAAAGAAAATTGTAATTTCTTCTAACATGAAAAAAATTAAAGAAAAAAAAACATTCAGACCGGTAAGATCAAATATAGATTATAAAAAATCATCAAAATCTCTTTAGAACTAATTATATTTATTATTACTGTTACAATTAAATTCTCATCCTTATATTGTAATTTTTGAAAGGCAAAGCGAATTTAGTGAAATTTTTCATGCTGTATTCAACACAAAGCCATTAGTTACAGCTGGTATTACAGTATTACTTTAAGCTTCTCTTTTCTTGACAAAACATAAATAATAAACAAGTTAGATAATCTTTTATCTAACTTCAGATAGTGAAAGATAAATACATCTATCCTGATGTTACATTGTAATATTTTTCAATTAAATCTTCATCATCATATCAGCCTTAAACCATCCACTGCTGAACATAAGCCTCCCCCTTGGGGGGTTTTGCCAGTAGTTGCCACGCTTGGCAGGTGGGTTGGCTTTAAGAGGGTTTTAAGAGGAATGCTGCTGCCCATCCCTCATCTTCCTGATTCATTTCTTACAACACCTACGGGAAAGAAAGGGATGACCTATTTTATGCCGGGACCTACAGCAATTTAAATCTTACCAGCATGAAATAGATCATATCCAAAAACACTAAAAGGTGAGACGAATTTTCTGTGCACCTCTGGAACTTTCAATATATCAAGGCATTTTTGATACTGTTCATTTAAATCCTTTGGTAAATCTACAGGCTTCCCATTACTGAAACAATATATCACGTAATTGAAATTTATTTTATTTACATTTAAAATTATAATTGCATAACTCCATAAATTCAATATTTTTTCAGTTACAGACATTTCACTACTAATTGCTGAGATTGTATATGAAATCTCTCATCTCAGAAATTTCCAAAGACGTATTATAAAAAATAATCTGACCTGCATGCATTCATCTAATGAATAATTAGTATAAATTGGAATAATTCAGTAACCTGTAATTGTGAACAAATTCTTTATATTTATCCAAAAGTAGGGTATGCGGTGTAAATTTTGCAGCAGTCAATGCTAAGCCAGTTCCAGTGATGAATGCGAAAGAAAATTTTCGACCTGCATCAGTCAAAAACCATGACATTGGACGTTTTGTAACCATCTCGCATTTAATAAATTTTATATAATTAATAATTTATAAAATGATAAAATATAGAAAGGTTATAAGATTTTTAATGATTTAACGGACGTCAAAATGAGTCAGTCAAATGTCAATTAGCTGAGTAAATGTTGACATATTTTTGACACATTTATACTGTATGACTGTATTTATAAAATCAAAACTGTGTTCAAAATTTGGTTATTTACATAGAAGGAATGATAAAATGTTATACAGCCGTATAACTCTACCAAATTCAGACACAACCTACTTGCATACTTTCTACATAAACTATGTCGAATATTGATGAAATTAAAATAAAGGGAGAAATCTATATAGTATATTATATTTTATTTAACTTTAGATTGAGAGTAACAGTAAAAGGTAACCTAGCAACGCGTGAGCTCCATAGACTAACATAACACATAAAACCTACTTCAACACCCCCACTGGAGTCCCATGCGTTGCACACAATAACTGTGTTTAATAGCACCAAGGGATTTAGTCAGAACATCAGCAGGCATAGAGCCTGTATCGCAATATTCAACTTTAATGTCCTTACCTTCGGCTAACTCTCTAACATAATGAAACTTAATATTTATGTGTTTAGACCGTTTACCAATTACTGGGGAATATGTCAATGATCTGGCACTTTGACTGTCACTAAAAATAGTTATACATCCTACATGACCAGTTAACTCTCCATATAGACCTTTAATAAACATAACGTCTTTAGCTGCTTCACAGATCGCAATGTATTCAGCCTCTGCAGTACTTAGTGCTACACACCGTTGTTTACAAGCCTGCCATAAAATTGTCCCACCTGCATAAATTAACGTGTAGCCAGTAAACGAATGTCCATCAGCATTAGCACCCCAGTCAGCATCTGCATAGGCAACTAACTCGCTTTTGCTTTTCTTGAAAGTGAGCCTCGCATCTATGGTACCCTTAAGATACTTTAATAGTCTCTTTACGGCAGACATGTGTGATGATCCAGCACAAGAACAAAATTTACTTAAGTAGCTCACCGCAAAACTAATATCTGGTCTTGTAGCACATGACAGATACATTAAAGAACCTATAATTTCTTGATAGTTGGGAATCTCGTTGGTTTCCCCTTTTTCCAACTTACAGACACAGGGTCAGCACCGTCAGACATATAAAAGTTATAGACCATATCTGGATCTCTAATCAAACGTCTATCTCTTAATGGATACCTTCTTTCTTGAGTCACTAGCTCCTGTATACCATTTCGATCATTTATACCTCTTTCAGCTGATTCTGTAGAGTCAACCATAATTTCACCTGGTTCAGTACAAATAGAATCATGAAATACTTCATCCACGTCTGTTGTGCTTGAAACATCTTGGCGTACAGGTTCTGTGTGTATTTGTTGTGTGACCTTCGTAATATCAATAGGCACATTTATATTCTCAAGATTTCGAAGTCTTTTACTTTCACATGGAACCGCCACTACATCTGATGTTATTGGACCAAATTTAAAAGGATTATTATTTTCTCGATCTATATAACTCTCTGTTATCTTTTCATTAAAAATCGCATCACGAGCAACTATAAATCGCTTTGGGTTAGCCAAGTTTACGAATTTATAACCCATATCACTGTATCCAATTATTGTCATCTCTACTGTCTTTGAATCCATCTTCTTTCTACTACCATCTTTTATAAGGACTTGTGCAGATGATCCAAATACTCTAAGATGAGAGAGATCTACTTTCTTACCTGTCCAAACTTCTTCAGGAACTTTATTTGAAAGAGCCATAGTAGGTGATCTGTTCTTTAAATATATAGCACAATTCAAAGCTTCACCCCAAAATCTCTGATCATGATTATTATCATGTAACATGCACCTAGCCTTTTCAACTATCGTCCTATTGGTTCGTTCCGCTACACCGTTCTGTTCTGGTGTGTGAGGTACAGTTCTCTCGTGTTTAATACCGCGACGTTCTAAATAATTTTGAAATTCTTTATTCGTATATTCTGTACCATTGTCGCTACGAAGTCGCTTTATTTTCTTACCAGTCTGATTCTCGACAAAAGCAACAAATGAACAAAATTTAGAAAATACTTCAGTCTTAGACGATAACAGATACCCGAATACCTTTCTACTAAAATCATCTACTAGAACTAGACAATATTTCGCTCCTCCCCAGGATGGATCAAGAGGACCGATTAAATCAGTATGTACTAATTCTAAAATATCACGTGCACGCTTATGTTTCCTTTTATTAAACTTCTTTCTCTGTCCCTTTCCTTGACAACAAGCTACACAAAAATGCTTTGATGGTTTTCCCTTTAGAGATAAGCCCGTTACCATCTTTTGTTGCATTTTCATTTGAGGATATGACAGGTGGCCTAACCTCCTATGCCACAATACTAAATTATTATCATTTATATCAGCTTCACCAAAACTAACAAAATTGCTAGCTGCAGCCGTAAATGATGTTGAAATATCACAATCCTTACGTGTCTTTATTTGCTCAGGTCCTAGAATATATAACCCCTTCTTTAAACTCGCTTGAATCAAAGGAACTCCTGATATGGAAACACTATTATTATCATAAAACGTGCAATAATTTTTGTCAAATACTACCGTATAATTATTCTCTGTCATTTTACTTACCGACAATATATTAGTAACGAGGTAGTAATATGGAGTATATTGGGTACGCATAAAACGTTTTCAAAATCTACCTTAGTGTTACGATTTTCATGATTCAATTTTACCTTGATCTTTCCTTGACTTTCGGAAATTATTTTATGATCATCAGCAGTTGTTATAACCTTCGAAATATGTTTCGGTTGGTCAAGGAGAGATTTAATTGAGGTCATGTGAGATGTAGCACCAGAATCGACAACCCACATATTACTAGATTTGTTAGCTGAAAATAAGGATATCTCATTATTACCCATAACAATATCAGTAACTAAACCTACTTTGTTACTATCTACGTTACATTTGTTGATAAATTTTTTACATTGCCATTTAAAATGACCTTTTTTCTTACAAAAATGACAGTTAATTTGTTTTTTAAGAGGTTGATTACTACTATAATTATTAGAGCTTGCACTACTATTAGACACTAGCACTGAGTTCTCCAAATTGTCGCCAGATGACTTCGACTGCTGCCGCTGTCCTTCTTTAAAAAGAGCAGAAATAACCGCTTCCGTAGTTATAGAACTAGCAGAATGTTCTAGTGCCATCACCAGTCCATTGTAAGATTCTGGTAACCCTGCTAGCATAATTATAGCGACGAATTCATCATCAAGTTTCTGGTTTATAGATTGTAGCGCCTGTTGGGTTGCTTGCACTTCATTGACGTATACCTCTATTCCCGAAAAGTCATTCAACTTCATATTGAAAAGTTTCTTTAATAGCGTGAGGCGTCGTAATAAACCACTATCAGCGTATGCCTTCTTCAAAGTAAGCCAGGTCTCCCTTGCCGTTTTAGCATTTTTCACAAGTGGATATAGATATTCAGCTATCATTAAACAAATTTTTGACCTTGCTTTACCATCCATCTTGCTTTTCTCTGCGTTATCCGGTATAAAATCTTCATTATTAACGCACTCCCACAAATCTAAGTCAATCAAAAACATTTGCATTGCGAATGCCCACGATCCATAATTGGATTGGCCGATTAACTTACTTATAGTTGGAGCCTGCATTATTTTACTATTTTAGGTTTGCTGGCCCATAACCTGATGAAATTAAAATAAAGGGAGAAATCTATATAGTATATTATATTTTATTTAACTTTAGATTGAGAGTAACAGTAAAAGGTAACCTAGCAATGCGTGAGCTCCATAGACTAACATAACACATAAAACCTACTTCAACAAATATATAATCTAGTATGTAAAATTTGGTATATATAAATAATGGATATATCATTATGAACAAAAATTTTACGTACACATTTTCTATACACTAGCCTGCTATGAACTAAGAACAAGGAATTACATAGAAAGAATGATAAAATAAAAACTGTAAATCATATAATTGCTTTCTTTCTTATACAAATATAATAATAATATAACAATTTATTTAGAAAGTATGCAAGCAGATTGTATCTGAATTTGGGAGGGTTATATGGCCGTAAACATTTTCTTTACACTAGACTGCTACTAAGAACAAGGGATTATAAAGAAATAGTGATAAAATTGCCAATTTATAGCTAGGCTATTCATAGCATAATTTCATAGACTAGTGTATAGAAAATGTTATACGGCTGTATAACCCTACCAAATTCAGATAAATCCTGCTTGCATACTTTCAACATAAATTGCGTCAAATATATAATCTAGTAATGTAAAATTTGTCATTGGAATATCAAATATTTTCTATACACTAGCCTGCAATAAATTGACAAAAATAGCAACAGATGGTGTATCATTCATCCTCTTTTCACTAATTACGTTTGCATAAGAAGAAAGGAGATAACCATATGATTTACAATTTTTATTTCATCATTTCTTCTATGTAATTTCTTATTACTTATCTATAAATGTTTTTGTTTATTGTTTATTATTTTATGATACTATTTTACATGAATTGGTCCATTATATTAGGTATATAATAAATAAATAAATTACCAAAAATGTTCAAAGTTATCGATGAATTGAATACATTACATTTAGATTCTCTAAGTGATGAATGGGTGCAGGCAAGTTATTATTCAGAATTTTTAGAATTTGGTGATATCCCTTCAGAATATGAGAGTATATTAGAGTCTGTCGATATTAAAACTTTATTTCAAAGCATAATAAAGTCATTTGACGATTGGCTTAATACAACAAATAGCGAAGATGAAAAATCATGGGCTACTCTCTCTAACCATGTCATACATGAAAAGTTACTTGCTATTATAGCTTATTATATTGATTATGGTGGAAAAAATATACTAACTAAAGAATACAGAAATAATGCATTATTAGCATCTCGTTTATATTACAAACTCTTATTAGTACCCGGATATAAAGCATACCATATTTATCATTCTCAATTATTTGCTCATTCTCTTGTTTGCCTTGGATTTCCAAAAACTATGTGTGAAAATGAAGATAGTTATTATAACTCAAAAGAGCTTACAAGAGAAGTAAATTCGGTCATAAGAGAACTACGGCACTTTGTTTTTGATCTACAAGCTATCATTAAAACGCTACAATTAAGCCCAAATGATATGAACTTCGAGGATATACTGAGTAATTTGGTTGATATAACTGGAGGTGCAATTGTTAACAAACTTAATGTGGGTAAGTGGCAATAGGAAATTCAATTGTGTAATAGGTTTTTGAAAACTGAAACCCTACACTTAGAAAATTTTACCTTTTGATCATATGGCTTCATAATAATTATTAGCCCTACCCTATGTCATTGGCTCAAACCGGCAACTTTATATAGTTGAATAATTAGAAAAAGCAACAAATACCAGAGGGAGACTGTACAAAAGTCATTTGCTTGGGCACCTTCTCCCATTCATGTTTCTACTGTGAAGCAGTTGTTTTTGCATGGCTGTGTTTCGGTTTGAAGTGTGGGGTATTGCAGTGAATTTACAGGATACAGAAAAATAACACCCAAGTCCTCAGGAATGGCAACACATGGGGGGTATCATGGGCGAAACGGTATACTCTGTTACACTTTCCAACAGGTAGACTTTCAGCTTGTTTCCCATTCTAAGTTGCATAAAAAAAGTATTTAATAAAAAATAACTGTGACTGTAAAACTATTAATATGCTGCTTAAAGGGGATATAAATGCTGCTGTGGAGGAAGAAGAATTGTTTTTTAAAATCTACAGCTGGCTCTTATTTTTATACCTATTTAACATTTTTTAATAATAAATTATTTAAATAAAATATAAAAAAAATCTGATCATTATATTTAAAATTTTCTAGATTGAAAAAATCAGAAAGTCACTTTTTTGGCCACCACGGTGACTATTTTTCTTAATGTTATAATAATTACAAAGTACAGAGGTATACTTAATGGTCTAGGGATAGGCAACAATGTCTCTTTTAAAACATCACCAAAAACTGAGGTTGCTAACCTGCCCACCAAGCATGGTAAATTCTAGCAAAACCCCCTTTATGGGGAAGGCCTATGTTCAGCAGTGGATGGTTAACAGTTGATATGATGATGTTGATGACAGAGATATAACACCTTAATACAAAGGGAAAGGAATTGTTAGTAATGGGATCTAACAGCCTTATTGCTAACAATATATCTCATCAGGTTGATCTCCATGCAGTAATCCTGGAAACTGTTTTGATTCATTCTTTATGAATTCGTCATTATGGGCCAACTGACCTGTTTCATCCTTATATATCTCATCTATCACTGGTACCCCTCCAGCATATACTGATACTTAGGAGGGGTTATCAATCCATTATCACCCACTTAGTCCTCAAGAATGGCAACACATGAAAGCTATCATTGATGACATAGTATACTCAGTTATGCCTATGCTACAGTTCATGTCCATAAGAGACAGTTTCCACTTTCCATGATGTGGCCTATTAGCTTAATTTCCATTCTAATCTAATTTATATATAAAAAAAAAATATTCAAAATATTATTATTATATACAACATTATTATTATATAATGTTTTTCTTAAATAGTTGGCTTTTTAATGCCACTAAAAATTTTTAATTAATTTATCATAACCTTTGTTTTCAATATTTGCATGCTTGATCTAAGTAGATTTTGTAAAGTAAGTAGGTAACCTACCTTTAATTTATAAGATCAAATGTTTTATAACCAAAATCATAACAAATAAAAATATAATTATACTAAAATTTACTTATCAAGTTGTCATACTGACTTATGAGAGAACTGTATTGAAAGTAAACTGCTCTCTTTGTTACTTAGTATAGAAACCAGCAAATGCAATTTTTATTTAAATTTAAAACATATTTCAAATCTCAGGAATGTAGAGAACCTACACTTACAAAATATTAATATGTTTGGTATACTAAATTCCTCTTATACATGGACTATGGTACTTTTTGAATTCTTAATATTTTGAATTTAAAAATATTTTCAGATAAAATAGAACTAGCTAATATATCTAGAGTAATTTATGAGATGATTGATGTATTAATATGTGAAGTCAATGGTGACCCTAACAAAAATGCAATACAATTGCTGTTCAAATGTATACTTCCAAAACTTATTGCAGCATCAGTGGACTGCAAGAATGCTAATGTAAGATTACATGTTTTTCTTCTTATGTTCTTATGGATATATCCACATACAACAATTTTTTTTATTCTTTCTATTATATTTGTAATGTTAATATTGTTGTTATACCCAATAATAATTGTTAGCAACTTTTGTGTATATATATTGCTGTATATATATTGCAGTATATTTATGTAGTTAAAATTATTACTTTTTTTTTGTTTTTAATATTTTTTATATCAGTTAACTAACAGGCAAACCTATACAAGTTTAATCTTGCAACTACATTGAAACAATAATGTTCATCATCATTTTATTGTATACACTATTATATAGTTGTTGTTGTTTCAGAATCTTGTAAGGGCATCATATGTTACATATTCTGGATTACTTCTTAGTAAATATGGAAAATCAGCATTATCAGGATACACTATACTACTACAACACCTATGCTATACTTTAGATGGATTAGTGAGTATTAATTATGATTAAGAAAATTATATTTCTTACCAAAAAAGTACCTAACCAAAAAAGGTGTCAAAAAACCATATCAATAAGAAATATTTTTATATATACATATATATAAATAAAAAATCTACCTACCTATCTCAGTAACAGGCATAACAGATATGTATGTATGATATTTTTTTTATATGAATGAATGAATGGTTTATTTTTTCTCTTCACAAAAGGTAGTATAAAGTGACAACTTGAGGTACAATTTCATATGTAGGTATATATATGTATGTACGTGCGTGCGTGCGTGCGTGCGTGCGAGCGTGCGTACGTGCGTGCGTGCGTGCTTGCGTGCGTGCGTGCGTGCGTACGTGCGTGCGTGCGTGCGTGCGTGCGTGCGTGTGTGCGTGCGTGCACGCGACGCAGCTCTATATAGGTTCTTATGTGAAAACTGTTCTGTAGAGTCGATGAATGGGTAGTATGTATGTTATGTATATACATATACACATACATACATATACACAGACATACATATATACATACATACATATATAGACATGTAATACAGACAATACATACATTATCATAACCTATATAATATACATAATTATACTATTATATATATATATATATATATAATTATATATATATATTATATACAATTTTTCCCAATTATGCAGTTATGCACCTATCTTGCATACTTACTGAAAATTTGATCTCTAAAAAACAAAAATATATCTTATCTGCAATATTTATAATGTAATTGCAGGAGCGTGCAGAAGTTCGTTCAGCTCGTGTTTCTTTAGTAATTGGCCTGATGAGCTTACTTCCACAGAAATCATATCGTAACATTGTTAAGTGGTTGATAAAACTGTCTACTACCGCAAAGGTTTCCCATCGCCATATTGCAATGGTATGTTGCTAGTTCTGATTTTGTAGTTATTATTAATAAACAGTTCTAGGTACTAATGACACTATTATATATTTCCTTCTTTTGAAAATTGGTAACTATCACCTGTTAGATAAAAATGACATTATGATCATTACACTACATGATATCACTCTTGAAATTCCACCCTTCTGGACTAAGGTATACTTGTCTTTTCTATCAGAGACGGGTATGGGGACTGGTCTGTCTCTAGACTTCTGATCCCCCCCCGAAATGTCGACCTGACAGGACATATTACTAACATAGAGATCAACAGAACTCATTTCTTACAATCATACCTCTTCCAATGCATTATGTTGTTAACTATGACATGACAGTGTAATAGAAGTCTTAATACTATTTGGTAACTTCAAAAGCAAATTATTACTATAAGTTTTCTTATGAATAGAATAATTAAGACTGCTAGTTTTACGTGATCATGCTCTCTTAATTAGTTTAATTTTGTTAGGAAATGCTGTCAAAACTATTAAGTAATGAACCTGAAGAAAACAAATCAAAAGAAACTACATCAGAAAAAGAAATATCAGGTAAGTAAATAATCCTTTTTTAATAGTCTAGGGTGCGCAACAGCATCCCCCATTGCCAACCCGTAACAATTACTGGCAAAACCCCTACGGTGAAGGCCTATGTTCAACAATAAACAGTTGATGAATGACGATGAAATAATCCTATATATAAACAGCAAAGAGGCTCTTTATATGTAAGGCGAGAAAACAATATTTTATACAACTATACTTAGATATAACGATGAATTTCCTTTTTATATTAATTTTTTCACTCCTTTATCCACAACTTTGTCCACGTGACTAACATGTTTGCTGACTAGGCTAAAAGTATAATATATATATATATATATATATATATATATATATATATATATATATATATATATATATATATATATATATATATATATATATATATACTTTTTAGCCTAGCCTCCTAGAAGCACAGCATAGAAAATTCCATCTAATATAATTTTATTGTTTTTTTCTTTTTAAGATAATGCTTCACCACCTACCACTGAACAACAATCTCAAACTGTGGCAACTGATGTTGAAACACAGGATAAACTCGAAGATAATACTGAGAACCAACATGCAGCCTCTATGTCGACTGATGATGAAAGTAGTCAAGAATTACCAATTACACAGAAAGGAATTGTAAGAGCATACATAATAACTTATAAATGCTAATTAATGAAATTTCTTTAATATTACAATCGATAAAATAATTCATTGTATATATTTTTGCAAATCTATATAACAAAAACATATAGCTTTACAGTACTATAGAAATTATTTTTATTATTTATAATAATAATTGATGTTGCAGGAATATTAACCAAATTAAATGTAAAAAACATTTTGTTGTTTAAGTAAACTTCACCAAAATGATGAAATTTTCAAAATAAATTTGATGATATAAGTTAATTAATTAAGAAACTAAAATACCATAAAAGCCATGATTTGCTAGAAATCATGGCATTAATGGTATTTTCATTATTGGTTGATTCTAATCTGACCTCGCATAATATCAAATTTATTGACAAATCATCTAATTAGTCTATGTTTAATGCATATTAAAAATGCCTGCATATTCGTATATATACTTATACATAATATGATGTAAATCTAGAGCGTCTATTAAAATAGATAACCTAATTTCTATATGTTATACAGTTTTCAATGTTTATATTTTAGAAATACCTCATAAAGAGTATTAAGTATACTTGTCATGTTATATACAAATAATAATGATTATTTTCTTTTTGCAATGCTATAGATATTTCATTTTATCAAAATAGCCTATATTTCAGTTTATCAAAGAAGTTAAAGTAGCTCTATTCAATTAAATTCTTAAGAGATGTTTATTGAACTCAGCTACTTTAACGGCGTGAGGGCGTCATATTAACTGACTTTGTAGGTTGTACAACATTTATAGTATTGTTATTACTATAAATCAGCAGTTTTAACACCTCAGATATTTAAAACCAAACATTTCAAATAAATACATCATTTAGTACATAATAAAATACTGAATAACTGTTAATATGCCACTATGGATTTAGGATGACCATGAGATGACGGAGGAGGAGGTGGAGGGGCTATTGCATGCCCGGGCGCATACAGTTCCGCTGACAGAAGTACTGCGCGCTGTGTACGAGCGCGTCACCGACGTCTCCGGTACGCTGCGGACGCGAGCACTCGTGTTGCTCGCCGAATGCATCGCTAGCGACCGCCTTGCCATACACCAAGCAGTCGAAGTACGCTCACCGTTAAATTTGTATATGTATAGGGCGCGAGGGCTTATTATATATAGCCAAATGGTCCCCCCCCCCTCTTTACCCTTTATATTATCCATGCTTAGCTAACTTTTTGCTTTACCAGCTGTGCTATACATTACTAACCATTTATCACTGGGGGAAGGGATTGTTAGTAATGCGGACTACCAGTCCCATTGCTAGTAATATACCCTGTCAGATTGACCTCCACTTGGTCCCCCCTGGAAACCATCGTGCCTAATTCCAGGTGTATTCATCACGATGAGCTAACTGACCTGTATTTTTATTATCCTATCATCTCTCACTGGTACCTCTCCAGCGTATACCGTTAGGTCGGGCAGAGTTACCATGCCATTATCATCCATAAAAAAAAAAAAACATTTACCACCTCCATTCCAAGCGTGTAATGATTGGCGACCACTGTTCGATAGCTAAAGAGCTATGCTCTTGTCTTCAATTTTTTATTAATATTAACAAAAAAGTCAACCAAGACTATATGTTAGATGTAACTATAGTAGTTTTACTTTACTTTATTGGTTAGCTTCATATAATTGTTTAATAATATCTGCATAAAAAACTAATCAATGTCGACGAAAAGATCACTAATAATAAAATTTAGGTAATGAAGATGGTAATAACAAAAAATCAAGTTGGTACTCGTGGGCCGTAGACGGTGATACGCCCTACATTCCGCCAGTGCTTGATCTATATTCACGACAGTATACACGTGTCAGGAGCTGAACGGTAATGGTGCTGTGTCGCGGCTGATGGCGGCCGGCGCTCGCTGCGTGTCGGACGAGCGCGCGGCAGTGCGTCGCGCTGCCGTCACGCTGCTGCAACGCCTGCTTGCGCGATATCCCAACCCGCCACCTACCGATCTCGGGGTACGTTGAAGCCGGCGAGTATCTTGAACAGGTTTATAGTACAATGTGACATAGGAAATAACCATATTTTTTATTTATTTTTTTGTTACATTCAAAATTATATTCAGACGACCAGATCTGTAATAGGTATGTTTTTTTGATAATCATATTATTATGTATGTCTGTATTCTAATTAAAAATTTTTAGAATTAGAATTATTTTAATTTCCTTGATCAAAAAACATTTAACAAGCTTAGAGTATATCCAACTTTATTTCAATTTGTTCAATGAATAGCATAAAGTTTATATAATTCCATATGAACCTAAGATTGATGAAAACAAATCGTATTCATCCAAATTTATTCGCGCAGATGCAATCGTAAATTGACTTATTACACATTTATTTTGCACACTTAAAAATTAATGTGAATGCCACAGCATCAGGATTCTGGATATTCGCTAACGATTAAACAAAAACAAATATGGAATCAAGGAATTCTATATTGTGTATATACATATATTTGTTTTTCAAGATTCTTGTGAGTTTGTGCCGAGACGCAAGTATCCTGGTGCGATCGGCAGCAATCACCGCCCTCGGAGAACTTGTCATACAATCTCCTAGCGACACTATGATTGATGCATTCCTCTCTGGACCCATGCATCAACTTTCAGACCCTGAAAATAAGGTGAATGTTGTTTCGGTTCGAAGGACCATTTTTGTTTTATGCGAAAATATGTAATTTTTTTTAGAAACTATTATGGATCGAATCCTCTTAATTCTAATGTTTCATTATAATTAAAATAATAAACTGTTGAATAAGTTACATGTCAGTCTATATAACATGAATAGATCCACGACATTACGAATGTTCCAAGAAATAATAGATGACATTTAACGATACAGCTTTTAAAATGATTACAGACTAAAAATAGAATAGAATCTAATAAAATCTTTACTGTAGTTCTTTATTAAATCATCAAAATTTTATATAGTTTAAATAAGTGTAAACATAATTTTTTGAACATGTTTTTGCAAAATTATATATATATATATATATATATATATATATATATATATATATATATATATATATATATATATATATATATATATATATATATATATATATTGTTAAATAGGTTCAAGAACAAGTGGTAACTTTACTTCAACAAATACTACTTGATCGTCTGCAAAAATATGAGACCACAGACGTGGAGGACCCGCTGCCTTGGATGTTCCTCGCGGGGATCACTCGCCACAACATGCGGAGACATCTTCAGAAGGCTTGCACACTGTTGGCCAAGAATTCTAATTCCATCAAGTATATTTTTCCTTTTTATATTTTGTTAGTACAATATTCATATATATATATATATATATATATATATATATATATATATATATATATATATATATATATATATATATATATATATATATATATATATATATATATATATATATATATATTTAAAACATTTTAGTATAGATATTAATTATTTCAAAATGATAGTTAGTGCAATTTAAGGTATGAGGTATAACTAACAACTTTGTCATCAAGACTGGCAATGATTACAGCCTATTTTGCTCGCTTATAAAGCAATTTTTTAGATGAAAGTATTTTTAAAATAGGTTTAGTATTTTTCGAGTTTATACATTATAAACAAAACATTTAATTTTCTCTTTATAATATTAGTCTAAACGAATACCGCTGTAGTAACACTATTGTATCTATCTAGGCGAATAATATAAAACTACCACTATATGGCATTAAAAAAACAATTCTATTGAACGTATAATCTGATATATTCGAAGTAGTCCCTATTGATTTTTAAAAATTCGATCAAATTTGATTCAGAATTAGCAAAGATGTCGCGTAACATACACACCAAAAATTCAAGCGGCAGCCTTTTTAAAGTTGTTTAAAAATAAAATTGTAATGACACAGTCATCGCCTGGTAGACATGTTGAGCACACACCTGGGCGCAGCGTGCGACGACCGCGACCTGCAGTGTCTGGTGCTGCTCACGAGCATCGCGCGCTTGGTTGACTACTCCGACATCAGCTTTGTGCTCGACTACTATTACAAACTAGCTGATGACACGAAGGTAGCTTTCTTACATACATTTTTTTTATATCTAATTGCATGCTTTTTATTTGAATTTTGTCCTCTTCGTCTGTCATTTTAGTTCGTTATCGGAACATTTTTATATCAATCGGAAATATTGGCAATTGTTCGATTGCTATTAAAATTTGATAAACAATTGTGAACTTGCTACTCCTCGGTAAGAATTAGTATGAACAATAATAAAATTGAGTAAAACGTTGTGGAGCCGTTATTGCCGTGTGGTCCCGACATAAAATGAGCCACCACTTCCTTTCCCGTGGATGCCGTAAAAGGCGATTAAAGGAATTTAATAGTTAATAAATGGGCAGTAGCATCCTTCTTAAAACACCACTGAAGCCAAATTGCGGTTTTTTTATGGGTGAAAATGGCATGGTAACCCCGCCTGTGCTATCGGTATACACTAGCGGGGTACCAGTGAAAGGTGAGAGATGAAGATGAAAAGGCAGGTCAGTTAGCCCATCGTGACGAATTCAACGATAAATTAGTCACAATAGTCTCCAGGGGGAACCACGTGGAGGTCGACCTAATAAGATATATTGATAGCAATAGGGACTAACCTCCCTGTTACTAACAATCCCCCCCCCCCCCGCCAAACTGCTGTTGTCAACCCGCCTGCTGAACATGGCAACTACTGACAAAACCATGAGGGAGTTTTATGTTCAATAGTTGACATTTAACGGCTGATATGGTATAGTATGGAGCCGTCATAAATGCAAATGCAATTTACAGGGTACAGAGGAATAACACCTGAGTTCTCAGGAATGGCAACGTATGGGGGATATCATGGGCGAAACAGTATACTCTGTTATGTCCATGGTACTGCTCATGTCTATAGGCGACGCTTACCACTTTGCATCAGTTAGGCCGTCAGCTTGTTTACCATTTTATGTTGCATAAAAAAAAGTGCATATCTATATGGATGTGTAACAGAGTCGCGACGCGCGGCTGCTGCCGCTAGCGCTGGAGTTGGCAAGCGTGTGGGCACGCTGGGCCGCGGCCGCCGCCCGCGTCGCGCTGCGCCACCACCTGGTGCAGCGGCTCGCCAGCGGCGACGGCGAGGGTCAGTACCACACTACAGGTACAGTTCCAGTCGCACACTCTTTGATCGCCGATCATTCGCGACCAAATGACAATACATCAAGTTGCAATCTACTCTTGGCCACACTACGCAAAAGTTAAAGGCCTTGAAGATCCAGCAGCTTAACACATCGCCTTATCTTCTAATAGTTATGGGTTGGATCCCCGCACAGTACAAACATTTGCATTAGTGAGTATGACTATTGGTCTGGGTGTTTCCTATGTATAATATGTATATATTAAAAAAAAGTATTTCTATCAGTTATCTAGCACTCAAAATACAAGTTCTACTTAGTTGAGGACTAAATATTATGTCCAGTATACAGTACGCTGTATATTATGTCCAGAGCTATACTGAATGTCGCGCTAGTTTTATGCTCATTAAGTCGAATACATTTAACATGCCTACATTTCGCTAATATTTTAAATTTAAAACTAGTCAGAATATAATTTCTTAATATGATGTGTTGGGGGGAAGGGATTGTTAGTAATGGGGACTACCAGTCCCATTGCTAGCAGTATACCCTGTCAGGTCGACCTCCCCGTGGTCCCCCCTGGAAACCATCGTGCTGAATGCCAGGTGTAACCATCACGATGGAGAAACTGACCTGCCTTTTCATTCTCACCTATCATCCATCACTGGTGCGCCGCCAGTGTATACCGTTAGCGCAGGCGGGATTACCATTTCATTATCATCCATAAAAAAAAAAATATGTGTTAGCAATCAATCAATTAATTCTAAGACTGAGATAATATTGTAATTTAGTTAAATAATACACAAAAAATAACACTAAGTAACACAAGGTATAGTTTATTATATAAAAAATACTTTACATTTGGTTTAAGAACAAAACTGAAGCGAAAAAAAATTGGAGTATTCATCAAGACTTTAATACGCCTTATTATTAAATAAACATAATAGTTATTCCTACTATTTTCACTGTAAATATATCTGTATAAATAAATATTACATTAATTATAAAATACCACAGGATGCCGCATCGCGTGTGCCGCATTAGCCGCGCAATTAGATCCTGACAATTTACAGTGGGCTACTGAACTGATGCAATTATGTGAGTTATTATATTATTATATTTAAAAGCGAAAGATAAACTGATAATAGACTTTTAATTTAAATAATAAAATTTGTTTGAACTCGGTGCCACACCCAAAGAGAACAAGAACAATAACTGATATACCTATACCACTTCAATTAATAACAGAACATAACTGTAATGAAATATTTAAATGTTAATAGTTAAAGTCCAACCATTTAATAACTATTAAGTTATAAATCTATCAACAATAATAGAAAGCATCAATTGGCACCAACTTCAAACACATTTTATCCTATAAATTATGTCTAATATGAGATTATTTTTCGCTTTTTGGTTTATGTTTTATTTTTTGAAGCCAGATTGACTTTTTTTTAATAGTTTGTGTTTGTTCTCAAATTTAATTTTCAACTGTAGCTAGGATATCGTGTGTTATAAAAAACCAAGTAACAAACATCTTCACTACTATGAACACTTCAGCCAAATTAGAACAGTTCGTTTCATAATTCACTAATGTTATATTTCTTAATGCTCTTATTTATATTTATAAAAATAAAAAAAACGTCTCTACGCCTTTTAAATAATGACATGCAAATACAGCTACTTCACGATAGAAACACGTGTGGATGTCCCATACTTAGATATCGAATGCGTTTTATCTACCTTGTTAGCGGAACAACGTGCTCTAAGCGGTACGGGGGGCGGCGAATTGGAGGAATGGATGCGGGCGGCGGACTTATCGCTAGTTGCGCCGGTGCCGCCGTCGCCTGGCCTGCTGAAGCTCTTCCTTGATGCCCTCACTGATCCTCCACCAGGTAATCACTTAAAGAGAATTTCCTCACGACTGTAATCTTTGAAGTGGTGATAATAGAAAGCTGTCTCTGGCCGTTATGATGTATGTAACTAAAACGTAACTTTTTTTTGTTTTCATATAATATGTTTTTCTTTCTATCTGGATGGATACTTTAAAAAAATGTATGAAAAAAAGTGTAACATTACTGAACGTATTTTCAAAGAGAAATTTGTGATAATTTGTTTGCTATACATGAATTTACAAAAACTGTAATAAACAAACAGCAAATAGTTTACTAAACAATAAAATAAGGGAGAATTAAACATTTTCACCTTCATAAACTATGCCTACGCAGATATTATATTACCTCATATCTATAGGCGACGGTTACCACTTTCCATAAGGTGGGTCGTCAGCTTATTTACCATTATAAGTTGCATTAAAAATCCTTGACAAATCTTCATAAATTAGTACATAAACACATTCATTGTCTAGATCTACTGAAAAAACTTGAATAAAATGTACCTACTAAAGTGCCACGGTATCCTTGCAATCTGTTTAAAAGAGCAACTTGCAGAACAACCGCAACTCGCTTCAGCCTCGCACTGATGTAATCTGCGATGTATATTGTGTATCTAAATTAAATACAAAATATCTAAATTACTCCCAAATCTGTAGGGAAGAAGTAAGGGGAGAAACAGGCAGATGCAGACAATTTCTTTTTTTCTACTGTTTAGGGAAAATATGACAAAAATGTTAATAAATTGTCTTTCACTATATATAGGTAAATTAGTCGAAAAACATTACCTTTTCTTAGACATTCGGTAAAAATATAATTGAAACCTTTTATATATAAAAATTGCAGGGAATAAGTGGATGCAGATGGCTCAGGACCGTACTTTATGGCAGTCTATGGGGGAGGCTTATCCTGTCCAGTCCAGCAGTGGATGGATAATAGCTGAAATGATGATATATAAAAATATAATTAAAATTTTTTAGAGGATTTTCTGCAATATCTGTTAGAGCGAACAATAAAATGAATGGCAATTACCAATGCGTCGAGAATCAAACAGACACCGGCTGCGAATTGTCCACGGTGCTCCGTCGATGTAACGTCTTCTTCGGCGCAGTGTGACCGTGAATAGTGGATTGTATGCAATTTGAGGTATTAGTGTTCCGTCACTGAAGCTACGCGACCTAATACGGGCGTAACTCAGTGGTGGACCGAGGCGATGTTATCCTATGTATATACGGGCATGTAACATGCTGTGTAGAGTGGTGCGAGGCGCAGCGCGGCGCGTGCGTGGCGGGCGCGGGGCGGCTGTGCGTGCGGTCGCGCGAGGCCGCCGCCGCCGCCGCGCCGCGCCTGGCCGCGCTGCTGCACCACCCCGCCGCGCCGCTCGCCGCCAGGCTCAACGCGCTGCACGCGCTCACAGACATATGCACCAGGTACTGCGCACACACCACACACAACTACAGCGCTCATGTGACGCTCTTCACCACTGGGACAATATACAATTATCGTTTATATGAGTGCCTCTTATGCCACTCGTTTTGATGCTCCCGAAACTGTATAGTATGACTGTATTTTGGTTTTTGGAATGGGACACAATAATGTCATCTTTAGTCCTCAGAAACGGCAACACTAAGTTCATATTTTATCATTATATTATTATTCACTTTCCATTAAATCAACTATTTGTTATTTAGCTATTTGTCATAACAAATAACGACTCGAAATAAATAAAAAATTTTTTTTTTTGCTGATTTATTTTGTACAAAAAGAAACAACATTAGTATATCTATCATACTGCCAACATTCACATTACGACACATGTACGCAGTATTCGTACAGAAGAGATTTGTATTACTGTGTGGTCAGATTACATAAAACTGCTGAGCGATAGCCGACCGTATGCGACCTTGCGCCAGGTACACGTGCATCGTGGAGCCGCTGCTGGGCGCGGTGTGCGGCTGCGTGGAGGCGAGTGCGCCCGCGCCGCTGCGCCGCGCCGCCGCGCGCGCCCTCACGCGGCTGCTGCTCGCCGGCTTCCTGCGCCTGCGCACCCCGCTCTACTACCGGTAACCGCGTCATCTGTCTCTATACGAGTATATCTCGTATATCTCCGCCGCGCTCACTCTCATGCACTTATTAAATTTAATTCTTCGACATTACAATAAATCTTTTTATTGGTTAGAGCTTAGGGTTAGTGCTATGCTGACATTATAATACTATAGTGAATTATTAGAATTCATGCCAAATGGTGAACTTGTAGAAATTAACATTGATGCTTGTGTTCAATACACATGTTTGTATGTAATATTTTTTTGCGCAGATCAAATATTTGTAAAATAATATTTACGTTATTTGCCGATATCTTCACCTAAACTTGTATCATACTTTTTTATTGAAGGGCTGTTAGATTCTTTTTAAAAAATATAATTAAACAAATGTGTCTTATTTTGTAACTTCATATAAATATGTCACATAATATTTTTGTGAAATTAAAAAATAAGCCACAGTGGCGCCATTGTCCACATGTGCACAGATACTGCGCGTTGCTCGCGGACGAGGACCACGACGTCCGCGAGCCGGCCGAATACTACGTCACCAGTTGCCTCACCGCCGACGCTATCTACCACCACTTCGTCGACTGCGTGTTACATTATAACAAAGAAGACAGTGGTAATTAGCATTTGATTTTTACCTGATTGTCAGAGCAACAGGGATAAGGGTCTATGCAAATCGAAGGTCTGGTGGCAGCATAATTAATTTTACTATAATAGTATTTATAAATAGTTGTAATTCGAAAAGAAACAAATTTAAATAAACAAGCAGGGATAACATAACAATAGCAATTATTAAGGTGTTTTTGTGTTTATTTAATATTGTATTAAAATTAGTTTGTTACCTTTCGGCACTTTACCGACTTGACAAATTGTCAAGAATTTAATGCACACATAGTGTTTGACCTGAAGGTCATGGACTATTTTTTATACCTTTTAATTAACCTATCTCGAGGTAAAGCCCGAAATGTTTTGTAATCAGTTATTTATATGAGAGACATGGTACCCGTAAAAATATATTCGTAGTCAGAAAGATAGGTTAGGTTTGGTTTGGTGAAAGCCTGAATCTTTTTTTTTATATAATAATCTTATATTTACCAACTCACGTTGCTAAAATTTAAGATTTACCATAGGCTTTTACAATAACAGCAATGGCAGCAACAATATAGTATGTAAACATTTCCATCAGTTTTCTAGTCCCCGTCACAGATAATATTATATAATAATACTTGTCTCTGTAGTACAAGTACTGGTAACTAAATAATGCTATATAAAATGTCTATGGTTATTATTATATTATTCCATGATGACCAATGAAAAAAGGTCATACCGAAGCGTGCTGAGGACTTGCCACTTGCCAACAGCGGGCATCTCGTTCGACGCGCGGCAACTCATCTACGACGTGATGCTGCAACGGCTGTCGCTGGTGCAGAAACTGAACGTGCAGTGCCGGCTGGCGCGCGAGGTGCTACAGCACGCGGCTGACTCGCTGGACGAGCACGACGACCTGCCGCCCGCGCTGCACGCCGCGCTGCTCGACGCCATCACGCTGCTCTGCGGACCCAGGATGAAGCTACCCAGTCAGTCAACATGCCTTTGCCTTTTCCCGTTTATATAGATTCGAACAAGGCTGGCCTTAGTCTATCTGTGACCCCTTGACACAGGTTATTATATTAACCTATTTTGGAGCCCAGTTCTAAAACCGCAACTACTGTATCCTTATAAAACTGTAATATTCATATTAGTTAAGACACTATAATACTACAGTTATGTTTTTTACAAATTGTCAGCAAATTTTTTATTTCCAAAATTAACTTCACCGGGAGTGCCGAGTAAGCCGACAATTCTACCAGCAGACTGATTGACCATTGGTCTGTTTGTTTTAGACGTACGGTTTTGGGATCAATCTATGTCAATAGGGAGGACTCAATATTTGGAGGACACATGTGTTGTATCTACAGTTATTTGGCTACAGAATTCAATATTCGCCGCCGTCTGTATTGTATACTTATTCGTATATGTGTGATTACCTTGTAGTTTTATTTTCAACTGAATATAAAAGAAGATTTAATCAGTTTAATTATATTTTCTTTAACTTCTTTTTGAACAAAATATTATGTGAATACAGTTATTCATAAAAACTAGAACCTTCTATACTAAAACTTTTACTTTGTTTTGTCACTCTCTTTCATAGTCGAAATTTGGCGTAAAAAGAGATAAAACACTTCAATATCTAAAATAGGTGTATGAGAGGCTTGATGTTTTTATGAATAAGGGCAGTTAGATCAAACATCGCAACGATTAAAAGCCGCTTTATGTGAATTGTAATACATTTCATATAACCCACAGATTTTAATCAGTATCTTGCGTTGAGACTACATTAACGAACTAGTACGCGTACATGAATCAATGGTTTATATAACACATATTGTGTTATAGATTATGAAAGGCGGATTTATAACTGCCCTGTCATGGTTAATACCAAAAAATTAATATTACTACTGTTTAAGTATTTTTCATTTAAATTAGATTAAATAGTGTGCCTATATTTATCACCTACTTATTTATTTTACAGAGAAACCACAAAACACGGGGGATGCTGATATTGAAGACCTCCATGAACGAGTCACTACTAATATTGTTTCTCATGTAAGTTTAAGTAAAGCGTTCTTAAATTTGGCTAACCGAATTATGGCAATGCTGCAATTAACTGTCATTTTCATAAATAATTTAACATTTTTCAAATATTATCATCATATCAGCCTTTAACTGTCCAGTATCTTCTCTTTGGAAGGTTTTGCCAGCAGTTACTACGCTTGGCAGATGGATTAGCAACCGCAGTTAGGCTTTAGAGATGTTTTAAAAGGGACGCTGCTGACCATTCCTCGCCCTTACGACACCCACAGGAAAGGAAGGGGTGGCTTATTCTATGTCGGAACCTACACGGCAGAAACGATTTTCAATGTTATTGACTAATAATAATTGCTTTAGTAGTGAACTAAAATGTCAATCATTGAATATATTGCATATAAATCTATCATTAAAAACTTTACACCTACTTATATAGGTTTTGGAATTTTTCAAATACATTTTTTCCATAATTTTTTTTATTTTTAGTGATAAGTTAATAAGAATATTACTGCGTGATTAACGTTTTAGTTCGCTCTCAGAGTACTTATTAAATAATAAATTAAAAATAGTGAAAAATGTTAGTTTGTTTTTGTAAATTCACAAATAATTGCGATGTTGTCATACTTTGTTATAAAGCTCATAAAACATTTCCTTTTTTAAATTTAGAATTCTCGTATTATATTTTAATTCGTAACATATGTTAGTATTTCATATGTGAAATTTTACTAGTTTATTTTAAATTTATAATATTTTGTACTCATGTTTCTGTTGTGAAGCAATTGTGTTGTCATGATTTCATGATTGTGTACAGAGTACGTCATAATACCATTGCCAACTCATGAGGGTATCAGTGTGTATTCTGGGATGTCAATGGTTCGATGATGTTCATAGGCCGTCAGCTCGTTCACCATTATAAGTATTAGAAAAATAGTATATTATTTTGAGAATTTATCGATTGTTAAATATGAACACAAGTACGTACGACACGCAGAAAATGAAGCGCACGGTAGCGGAGGTGGTGGTGCCGGCGGTGCTGCAGCTGTACGCGCGCATGGGGCCGCGCGGCGGACAGCTCGCCGTCTACCTCGTGCGCATCGCCACCGACCTGCTCAACGACTACCGCCACGAGGTATCCACCCCGCAACCACGTACAAACATACGATCGGCTCGATTCTGAGATGTTATTTCTCTAAACCAGTGTTTTTCAATCTTTTTCATGACGCGACCCCCTTATTATGTAAAGATATCTTGTGACCCCCTTAGTATGTAAAAATATCTTGAAACCCCCTACCCTTCACGGTTTACAATGTTTATGAATTTTAAAAATTGTTCTGAATCAATTAACGAGAAATGGGCACCAAACTTTATTTACGCAAGTACTATTTATTGTTGGCAGGAACATTTTTATGGCTCTTTAAAAACTTTGAAATTTTGTCAATTGTAATTTTTGACTCTTCCGACTCGAAAGGTTGTCAACCCCTGGCCTAGTGGATAGACCGCAAACCCGTGAACTTATAATCCTAAATTAAAAACAAAAAATAAACCCCACACAACCTGAAGACGGCTAACAACGCGCTAAAAGCAATGTATGCTGTCTTGCTAATTTGTTTACTTGTCAATTGGTATTAAAAAGCTTTTAGGATATTGGGTTAAAAATAATAAATTATTGATTTAGCGAGTAATAAAAGATCAGTAATATTTTGTGGAGAGGGGACTCTCGGTTCGTAGCTACACCATTAGTTTATATTACCGACAAACGTACTTTTTACTGCTTTTTTGCAATCTAAATATTTTTTTATTGGTTTATAGTTTAATGTAAATTAAGTAAATTTAATGTATGTAGAAATAAAAAATAATTGACCCTAAGAAAAATAAAATATTAAACTGATTTTTAACTTTTCATAGAAACTGGATCGTGACCGTGTTTCTATAAAAGGTTAAAAAATATTAAAACAATCATAAGAAGATCATTAAACCCTATTGAGAAAATGAAACGTTTGCCAGATCGAGGAGTTAATAGAAAACGACGAGGAATTGGTGGAACGCGTGCAGCAATTCCAGGAGACGATCGGGCTGGCACCGCCCTTCGGGAATACACGCAATCTGGTGACGGCCTCGGCGCCGCCCGAGCCGGACACGCCGCGCGCGCCGCGCCGACGCCCACGCGTACCCGACGGCGGCGCCGCGCCGCGCTCTTACAAGAAACGAGCGTTGCGTATCTAACGACCCTTGAGATCTCGCTAAACCTTGTATCATCTGCCTAGGTGGATAACGCAACAAATTCATTTTATGTAGTTTTAAGATATACAATTTATCTCTTCGTTTTTTTTTTTTTGTAATAAAAACATAAGTAATTAATTTTTTGGTCCTCTTGATTCGGTTCAGATGGGCTGCAAGAATTTCCGACGATCCTGGTCATCATCATCGCACCGCTCGCTATCGATAGGGAATTCATCCTCACAGGTTAAAACATAATTGAGTTTTAAAATCACGGTGCGTCAATTTTTTAAAATGACTTCGAATAGACAAGTATTGGGTTATATATTTTTTATAGTTTAATTTCGTTTACTTAATTTTTATAAGTATAGACTCCAAAACTATATATAACATGTAAATATAATTTAACATTTCTGTTTTTTTTTTGTGATAAACTATTAGAGGTGTTATAACAGCTAGTGTTAAGTAGTAGTAGTAGTATAAGCAACTAGCTGTGATAACAGCTATTAGGCTTATGCACTACTGTCACACGTAGTGTGGAAGGGGGTATAAATAATATAATAAGATTTTAACCTATTTTATCATTTTTTTATATATTTATTACTTTATCATTGTTTTAGTATAATATTTATGCTATTGTACGGTATTCAGGAAGCAAAAGTTATATATTTCATAGAAATAATGTTTTTCATATAGAATTTACAGAATTCAAATCGATAGGGTCCTTTTACATCGAATTACTAATTATATTATAGAGAGATGTTTCTTTGTGGTTGCAAGGGGTGCAAAAGATTTCGGTCTTGTAAATTTATAACAGTAGCTTTTCTCTACTCTATAAAAAGGACCTTTGGTGCACTTATACAATTTAAAAACGATATACTTCACCACAATGTGGCGATATTAGCTAATGATACATATCAGAGACAAATATCATATATCTCCTCATATCGTATTCGTTTTATAAAAGACATAAATCTATTAGCAGTTATGCAATAGAGCGATAATACTGTATAAGTAAAAAATGCTGTTTCTGATGTGTACGACACTGAACCCTTGGATAGTTATACGCTTAGAACTAAATTTAAAAAATGTTAGAGTATGAGCAAGTGGGCTAATCTTAACCGAGTATTGAACTAAATTGCGCTTTCATAAAATAACAAAAAGGTAAAAATCTTCCGTAATTAAAATTATAAGATACAGCAATGAACATCGCATGGTAGTAGTCTAATCTTACATAGGCGAGCAGGAAGAAATTATCAGTTTGTAAGAAAAAATGTACACCCATCTAGAAAAACTGTCATAAAGAAACTCTTTCCTATGATAAAATTGGTAGATAATTTGAATAAGTGAAGTGTCGCAGTCGACATGTGCTCTGTATGAATTTAATATCGTTTGTAAGTGTACGTTAACATAAAAAAATCTTTAAAAAATATTTTTATAGAAGTAAACGTAAATTTAAATATTTTTGAGTAGTAATTATCTGTTTCTACAGCCCATTCAAAACGCAATTTCAGGCAAGAAACTTCAAAAAGTTTAATTATATAATTTATGATATTTTTTTAAGAAGCGAAAGAGGTTTGTTTGAATCGAAGCATTTGGCGTTCCATTGTTTCTGCCTACCCTAATGGGAGACAGGCGTGACAGATATGTATATGTATGTATGTATGTATGATATTTTTTAATGGATGATAATGGAATGGTAACCCCGCCTGCGCTAGCGGTATACGCTGGCGGGGTGCCAATGAAAGATGATCGGTGAGGATGAAAAGGTGGGTCAGCCCATCGGACGAATTCAACAATAAATTAGTCATGATAGTTGCTAAGGGGAACTGCGTGGAGATCGACCTGAGAGGATATAATAATATCAATGGGAACTTACTTCTCCATTGATAACAATCCTTTCCCCCAATTTATAACTTTGTGTCAATACAAACTACTAAACTGTATCAGAATAAAAAATATACATTTATCTGAGATATAAAATAGTTTAAGGCATATCTGGGTTAAGAAATTTTTTTTTTGTCGATCTTTACAAAAATATCTTCCAGTATCTTTAATGTCACAAAGATGACAAATAAATAGCACGGCGCCCCTGTAGTGTCACATACGTATTGCAGTTCATAGTAAAATCTTGGCAGGAAACTCATTCTACAGCTTATGCATTACGACATACAAATGAAGAAAAAAAATTATTCACCACCTACGCCAATACACGGTGCTATTCTCATATTGGTACCCCTTGATCTCATACGGTGACAATATCGTATCTAACTTTGTATAGAAAGATGGAGCGTTTAGATTGATCGGAGTGATAAATCGTTCCATACCTATATACGGGCATACGACTAAGTATAATATGTCAATGATCAATATGTAATATGAGTACAACGTAATAGATTGAATAGCATATTTTTATTATAAAATTCTATTAATGTTGACTATACCGTTTTAATTAGTTCGACATCGAATAACACGTGATTGATTGATTATTTTTATTATTGATTGGTTCATTTTCTCTTCACAAAAGGTAGTATAAAATTACAACTTGAGGTACAATTAAATATGTAAGACCAATTTTGTGAGAGACTGGTGCTTGCAGTAGGTTTCGAAGAATTTGTGGTACAAGTCACCAGTATATGTAATATGTATATAAAATAATTGTTTTCCAAGAAATTTTACTAGACTACCTCACACGAAGTTCAATTCAAATATGCTCGACGAAATGTGAGCATTCAAAGGGTTACATTTATCGCAACGATGAACCAATCGACAAACGCCTTTGACTATCCCCTTTAGGGATCACAATTGTGAGTATATTCTTTAACACGAGTACAATTGATTTTAAGTTCAACAATTATACCATATTTCATATTTGCAAGTATGCCGAAATAATTTATCTGTCTGCAACCATTTTTATTTTAATGTATAGCTTAAGTTTGTGATATTTTATTAATAATGTAAAAAAAAAACCTTAAGCGGAAATAAGTGTTAATTTTATAGGTTCATATCTATCTGCTGAGTTATATATAACAAAGAAAACAAAGTGATATTTAAACATAACATTCAATTTAATAGACCAAACTTCAAAATGGGAAAAGTGACATCATATAAATACACTTACAGTTAATAAATCATATAAATAAACTAATTAAATAGAAGTTTAGGCATTTAAAACATGCCATTAATAAATAATTAAAAATCAGTATCACTTGCTTAAATCTAATTTAATTGCTAAATCATTTTCATTCTCTATTTTAAAATCTTTGCTGAATGCTTTTTTCAGTAACATATCAATAGCAGCTTCTTCTGAAAGAAATAATTAATTATTATTTTAGTTTACAAATTCGGTTTAATCATAATATGTATTTTATTTTTAAAATGTTTTTATATATTTTAATAGTTTGGAACTTATACCAAGTTTATTGTAAAATTACACAGGATATGGTAAATAAATAAGTTTGTTTGCCACCTTTGTAGTAAAGTATAATGTATTCTAAGCAGGAATATTGGGGTTTTTCTCATTTTTAACTAAATACACTTACCAGTCACTTGTATAGCCAATAATTGATGGACTATATGACGAGCTGTGATTTTAAAAAGATCCCTACTATTTATCTTTTTCTTCTTATAATATGGCATAAGAAGTTTCACTACTAGTTCTGCGAGATCTACTTTTTCTGCTTTATTTATTGTTGCATCTTTTTTCAGTTTTAAAGTTCTGTGTGTGAGTTTAGTTTTAGCACTAGAACTTTCAAGTTTTTTTGAAATATGTCTTTCACTATTACTTTTATTTAAACTACTTCTATGTTTAGATGCTTTATGTTCTTTAAGGATATATGATGATTTAATAGTATCACATTTTATAACTTCAGTGTTATTCTCGGAAATGCTCTTAGCTTCAGAGAATTCTTTTTGTTTCTGCGATACATCATCTGTCTCTTTGCTTAGTGCTGTGTTTTGTATTACGTTATTTACATCCAAAGCTAAATTGCCGTTATTAGCAATAATCGAAGTTATATTATTACATTGATCAGTTTTAGGAATTTCAGAAAACTGCTTTAATGTTTCTAGTACTTTATCAGCTTCTACACTTAATTTATAATCTTCCTCTATTTTTTCATCATTCAATTCAGTTACTTTTATATGGGATTCATCGTCTGTCTTGACCTTCATAACATCATCACTTTGGACTGTACATTCATCAATTATTAATTGATCGTCAGAGTCACTTCCCGATAAATCACCAAATACCAAGGAAGCCTCCTTTTGCTTTAGATCTTTTGTGTCCTTTTCGGTCTGAATGCTCTCATTTTTTCTTTTATCGTATTTATCACTTTTATGTCGCTTGTGATGTGAACGTTTATTTTTACTCAAATGTTCATAGTTTACTTCGTGATTTTTATTTTCACTGTTTTTCGATATTTTTTGTTCTGTTTCTATATCACTTTCAGATGAATCGCCAAAAAGTGCTTTGATTTTTCTTTTTGCTGTGGAATTTATGTTTTTAGACGATTTCAATATTTTTGTTTTATCAAATAGCTTATTATGTATGTTATTATTATTATTAACTTTATTATTTTCGGTGCTAGGTACACCTTGTAAAGTAATATTTATAACATATGTTTTCACTTCACTCTTCCTTACAGTATTCGTGTCAATATCATTTATTTTTAACGTCGTATTGTTGTGATTATTTTCTGAATCCATTGATTCTTCCAATTTTAATGTAGTGTTATCATGTTCATTTTCATTACACAAGTCTATAATAAGATTACTGTCTTCCTCACTTTCCTCTGTACTAGACATTGTACACTCATTAGGTTTCTTTTTAAAAAAACTTTGAAGTTTAGTCTGTTGTAAGGGATCTCTTTTAAAAGAGTTAGCTTTCCGTTTTGTTTCTTTATCAGCTTTTGACAACGGTCTTGCCTCGTTTTTACCGTCAAGGTTTGCTGTAATATTAGAACTTCATTAAAATTCGTTGTGTTATAAATCTATTAATCTTCAACGCGGAAAAGCAATATACATACCATTTTCAAGTTGTGATGCTGTCACAAAACCCCGGTGTTTTGACTGCGATTTTTGTGATTCGAATTCTTTTACAAATTCACTAAGCGTATTGTGTTTATTAGGCACAAACATTTTTAACTGCGGAAAGATATGGTCCTTGCATGTCTTTATCGACGAAATCTAAATATTAAAACAAATTTGATAATGTGTTAATTTGATATTATAGTTAAATTGTATATAAATATAAATTAAAGGAACCAACAATCAAATGTATGCTAAGAGCAATCTTTTTGTCGATAAATCGTCAAATCTTTTAGTATACCAATATTCGGCTTGTAGGCAACTATGGATTTTAATAATGGTTTCATGTTTGATATTTTCTCATCTTCATTGAAGATTACAATACAGAATATTAATATATAATTGTAATCGAATAAGCAAGCTAGACTAAAGGTTTTCTGTTCTTCACTTTTTTTTTTAAATTCAATAATTAAAACAGTGCATTTTCTTACCAATTTGGACATTGACCGTCTGTAGAGACTAATAACTGTAGTGGTAGAAAATATCTCATATTCCAATTCTACTGCACACTGCTCCACATCGCGTCGCGATAACGGTTTGTTGGGAACATCAATATTTTCCATATTTTGTAAATTATTATTTAAAGCATCAGTAAGAAGAGAGAGATAGCCTTCGCGTCCTGCCACAGTTAATCCATTTACCTGAAAAAGACCCAATATTATTGTTAGCTCAAACAAAGACTGAAGACAATTGCCGGTAAAATAGACTGTCCCACCCAATATTTTAGGTTGGGACAGGTTATCAATGCAAGAGCGACATGACTGCTCATTTACTAACATAGTTTAAATAAATTTATAACTAACAAAATGGGCCTTATGTTGTCTCAATAAATAAATATTATTATTATTACACTGCTATATACACTCATATATAAAAGGAGTTTACACTTTTCTTCATATTGCCTTGTGTTTTAGAATAAAATTGATGTTCTGTTAGTTAGGTTGTTTGTACCACTAGATGTTTGTTGTCTGATTTTTCATATCTTAGTTACTTAGGGAAATAGAAAAAGAAAACAGTTCAATTGTCTTAGGTCCTATTATAACTATGATCAAAGCAAGAGATAAATGTATATAAAGATAGATGACTTATACTCGGTTCTCTCTATTTATTCGCATGAGAAATACTTACTTTTGTCCCTGTACTACTGGCTGCTTTACACTTAGAATATTTGGCCGATTCTGCATCATCATGATGTCGTTTATCCTTGTCTTTTTCTATATTCTTTTTTCTATTGGCAAATTCCTTCAATATAAGCGATTTAGTTTCTTCCGCTACTCGACGCCTACTATTTTCTCCATCTGAATCGCCGCTATCAACACTATAGTATGATTCTGTCTCCCTGTAGTATAAAATTTTACCATTATATTATATCGCACACATTAATAAAAAAAAACTAAGCTAAGTCAAACTTTGCAAAATATTATCTAATATTTTTCTAGGCTATGGCTGTAGGCTTTTCAATTCCATTAAATTGTCTAAGGAAATGGGATGTCGTGCTGAGTTGCTTCCGCAACTCTAGCACAAGTGAAGATGACCTTGACACCGCCTTCTTATTACAATTAGTACAATTTATAATTTATGTAATGGACGGGTAGTATAAGCGTGTATTATTAATAATAAAAACACGTGCGACAAATAGAACGAGCAAAGTTTTTTTATTTTTGTTTCATATTACACTGATATAGCGAAAATTTAGAAAATAACTCAAAAATTGGGCTAAAAATGTAACGTTTTCCAACAATATGTGTATTCCTACAAAATATATTCACATATAATACAAACTTTTCTTTTACTCGTGGGTATTTCTAAAGTAACCAAATACTTAGTTAAATTGTTTAAATTTTTGTGTAGTCTCGACATAGGGCAACCCTTTCCTTTCCCGTGAGTATCATAAGCGGACTAAGGGATTTTAATGGTCGAGGGATGGACAGCAGCGTCCCTTTTAAAAAATCGCCAAAGCCTAACTGCAAATGCCAACCCGTCTATCAAGGATGCCTATGTTCAGCAGTGAACAGTAACCGACTGATATGATAAACCAATAAGTTCTTGAGTTTAGATGTTTCGGTAAACGGTCACCAGAAACCGTGAACGTCGTCTTGTGATGGTTTTAAAAAATAATTCTAATTTAGCTTGAAAAATTTAATCTAAACAAATAAAATAACTAACATATATTGAAATTTCAATAAGCTTCTAGAAGTATACTTTTACTTGCATATTTAGTTGTGTGATTTTTGTTTTAAATTATCAATAAACGAAAACCATCTCCAAATGTTGTTCCAACTCATTACTCACATAATTTAAGAAACCATAGACAATATAACGTACTTGAAAACTTATTAATAAATCGCATAATAAATAGTCTTTACAACGTCGGTAGCAAAGTGAGATACGTACGAGTAACTAAAACGCATAGTGTCATTGTGATGTCATTGTCTTCACTAGCAAGCAAAAGCTGTGCCGTGTTGCAACCTGTAAGGTATGTGTGAAAGATGTTACCTCTGCTGGCCGCAGCGGCCCCCGCCGTAGAGATCGTCGGTGTCGGGGGGCAAGGCGAAGCCGCCGCGCGCCAGCTGCGCGGTCATGGCGCGGCGCTGGTGCTGCTGGAGCGCGCGCCGCACGCCGCGCTCGTCCGCGCACGCGTCGCAGCGCCCGCGGCACGCCGGCGCCTCCTCGCCGAAGTACTCCGCGAACATCTTGTGACGGCATCTGCCGAATACACGACTGTGCTGCGATATCCACCCATATCATTCTTCATTTCGTACACTATTTATCCACTATATACAAGAGAAAAAAATGTAAAGCTAAGAAGTATAAATAAAGCCCAAGAGTAGATAACATGACTATAACAACTCTATGTAGTTACAGAAATTTTGTCATTGCCTCTATGTGAGGATAATAATTTCTTCCATATTCTTGCCTATTGTAATCATTATATTAGGTGAACTGAAAAGTACTCGGCCTAACTAAGAAAATAAACACATAAAAAATTAATTATATTTTTATTTTGCTACGTTCTCACCATCATACCGATATATCATCATACCACTATAATATCGACTATTTTTAAATGTTGACATAATTAACTAATTCAATGTAACAATTAATATGTATTTAGAATAATTATTTGGACATACATAATTGATAAATTTTTACTTAACATGTGCTAAGACAAAATTTGCATGCCTTTAGATAAGGCGAAATGTGTAGCTCAGTTACCATTTTAAGACCTTTGTACCACATTTCGAGCAAATAAATTATTCTTATTCTTATTCTTCAAGATGTACTTTTGTCACCACCCAGAAACATAGGAATAACACTCGAGTCCTCAGGAATGGCGACGCATGGGAGGTATCATGGGCGAAACAGTATACTCTGTTATACTCATGGTACTGTTCATGTCTATAGGCGATGGTTATCACTTTCCATCAGGTAGGCCGTCAGCTTGTTTGCCATTCTAATTTGTAAAAAAAAACCCTTCAAAGTATTTAGACTGTTGAATTAGGCGTATGCGGTAACAATTTAAAGCCACAGTTGTGAATTTCAGTAATTGATTTTTTGGATGTGTGAACACAGGCATTATCTTTATGAAACAGGACTTTTCTTCTGAACATTTCTAAACGTTTTTCTTTTACTTTCTCACGTATACAACGTAGTAAGGTGTATAGTAGTATTTGGAAGTTCTCGGATACCTTCAGGCAGTGTATTCCAGAGTCATGAAGCTTGGATGGAAAAGGGTATGACATAAAACCAGATTTGTGAAGTAGTGTGAGAAGTGAAAGGGAGTTATGAGAACGAAGATTCAGATTATGAGAGTTTTGAAGATACTGAAATTTACATTTCAGATATTCCGGTAAGGAAAGGGAGAAAAGAACAGAGTAGAGAGTGGGCCGTCAGCTTGTTTGCCATTCTAAGTTGTATAAAAAAAATGCGGATTTATAAAATCATAACTAATTATCAAACTTTCTGTACTAATATAACTATAATTATATATATATATATACTATAAAATTTTAATTAGTCTTAACAAATAATGTGAATAGTTTTGATTTTAAGAATTGAATGGATCTGTGTCGAGCAGAGTACTTTTCAATCCACCCTCATATATTAAACATTTAGCAACAACATTGGTTTAGGATTATTATCTTTTTGATTTCTAAGAGAAATGTCTATTGACTATAAATTAAGTAATCATGTATTCAACTGACATGGTATAATAAATATTATAAAAAAATCACATCTTACTTAACATCCTCGCAGTACTTGACCATAATTTCGAAACTTTTATATGCATTTTGACATCTTTTTTTCTGTTCTGGTGTTTTCGCACGCCCCAATTCAGTTTTAAGCAAGAAATCAACAGCATTGCGTTCTCTGAGGCAATAATAGATGCGACAAAATGCTGGTTTTCCATCTCGTCCAGCTCTTCCAGACTCCTATAAAACAATATTAATTCATTACACCAAAAAATATTTTAAATAATGTTTATTTTTGAAGGGAGATTAAAGGCCAGTTTTTAAAAAGTTCTTAAAATGCTTATTCTCCACCTTGAGAAATTTTGATATTAAATTGAAAAAATTACATCTTCAAATCCATACATTTCAAGTGTCGAGACTGAACACTTTCCTTAATGTAAATAATTCTAAGATTTTTTCAATTTTGACTTAGCACCATGCATATCTGCCAAATATAAATTATTAAACTGTTATCAATTATTATTGTGTATGACAATTGAGAGCAGGTAAAGGTTTATACTTATACTAATACTATTCTCTTTTCCTTTTTAGATTAGATCTGTTTGATTTACGTTTGAATTGTAACTTAAGACTATATACAGATAAAAACCAAAATTTTAAAAAATAATACGTTAATAACTTTTATTATATAGATCAGTCAGTCCATTAGCATCTTCTTTTAAATAATATTAGAATTTACATACAGTAAGATCCAGCTTAACGCGTAGGATACGTTCCATCAAAGTAAAGCGTAATGCGAAACACCGCTAAACGAGGCTATCTTAACATGTAAATAATGGGGTTAGCGGAAGATGGATAGACAATTGATTAGGTATTAAATTTAACAATTATGTTTTTTAATATAAATAAAACCAAACATTTATTTCTTACACAAATAAAAAAAAATATAAACGATTATATACCATACATATAAAAACAAATAAAATTTCAAGTCGAATCAGATCATTCAGTCTATTCTGTTTCCAATTTTCTGCCTTTTTGTCATGAAGTTAATCTAATGTTCTATCTAATGTAGTTAGTTTTCCTTTAGCGTTCTGTTAGTTGTTAAGTGGGTAAAGCATCTACAACACCCCGTCTTGCTTTTGAACTCCTGTCAAAATTTGGATCATTTTCAACAAATTGGTCCATAATTTCAATTATAGTGGTCAAACTCCTTTTTAACGCTAGGTTTTCAAACATATTTGGCCGAACATAGCCCGAAGGATAAGCAAGCTAAAGTGACAATAGATTAGTCACATAGCTAGAAGAATCAACAACCGATGGGGAAGAAAGGTTATTGTAAAGGCAAACACAGTGTAGGAAGACAGACTAGATGAAGTCAGTGCATGTAGGTGGCTTAGGACTGTTCTTTATGGCAGTCTATGGGGAAAGCTCTTCTTCAACAGTGGACGGATAATAGCCGAGATGATGATGATTCGTCGTAGTGCAATACGACTGAGGGCGTTTCTCAGGGTAGCGTATTATCTCTTCCTTTTTTTTGCATAATCAAGTCCATCATATTTAATCTTTGATTACTTAATATTCGATTATTCGACGGGAACTACCTAGAAGCCAACAACGCCGCGGAAAACGGCTAGTTTTTACATTGATCGAATATATCATATTGATCCTTACAATAAAGATATCGCTATGATTTTCAATCAAATTAAAATTTTAAGTTTGGATATATGTTTATATATAGGACTAGCAGTTTCACGTGGCGTTGCCCGCTTCTAGCTATGTAGTTCCCGTATATCATTCCCATTGAATATCTTTATGAATCCGATCTTATATTTAAATGAAATATAAGACTTATATACTTAAATGAAAATTACGTACCTAATATCTTTATAAAGTTTCAACCAATTTAACTGACCGGTTAATTTAGAGCATTTTATATGTGATTATTTAGGTTGATATAACTTTTTTATTTATGAACCGATTTGAAATAAAACAAAAATTAAATTTTATGTAAAGTAAACCGCAACGCATTAATGCAAAGACGCCCTCAAATCGGTCAAGCTATTTCTGAGATTATCATGCACAAACGTATAAACAAACAAACAAAAATTCTAAAATCAATGTTTTGGGTTCTATTGCGTTTATAAGGCTCCCCTCCCTATATAATAGTTTTTCTTATATATCTTCCATGTACGGCGACCAGTTACAATTTTAATATATGTATAGTAATGGCGACTCAGAAACGACTGTTAACGGTGTCGGTGTACATTTCGATTAAACACTAGCCTGTTCTGGTAACATCAAATTTCTTAGTTGAGCTCTATAATATTTGTGTCCATAGATAGTCTTAATCGGCTACGAAACTTTCTTCCAGTAGGTACAAAAACAAAATTAGTACATTCTCTATTCTACTACTACTTCCTATTCTAGATTACGCCGATTTCTGATATGTTGATATCACAGAAGATCAATCAAACACACTTGCATATATCTATATATAATATCTGTATACGCTTTATTTATAATCCTTACAAATACAACCATATCTCTGATTACCGCAATCAACTCGAGTGTCTTCCAATTTGCTTTCGCAGGAACTGGTATATACCTATTTTTTCTTTACATTATTCTTTTCCATCATTCAACTCTTGATAAACTAAAATGTATTTTGAGTTTCATGGTGATTCTCAGGGTCGTATATTAAAGTACGAGGGTAATACACATTAGAGTACAGGGTAGTATAGTACGAGATCGTTTAATAATTCCCACTAATTCTTCGAAATTCTATTCTTTCACTGTCCAAGCAGTCCGGATCGGGTACCATGGACGTCACAGAATAAATTGTGTTTTCTATGTTACTCCTCATGAGTATTATCTCTTATTATCTTGTTTACTGCTATATCTTACCCTTCAAACTGATGTGAACACTGCTACTTACGTACAGCCGAAATACGAGTGGATCACAAGTACCGGGTTAAAATGATAGTATCTGTCATCAAAGAATACTTCGGCATGATGATTACTATGTCTACATATTTAAACTTTCATTCAATCAAAACTTACCTGATAATATGCTGCAACATTTTGGGCAATGCCCCAATGTGCGACAGCCCTAACGCTCGCTTTATCCACTCCCATACCAAATGATATAGTTGCACATACACATGCATACTCGCCACGCGACCACTGCTCTTGAACGGATATACGATCTGACGACTTCATACCTGTAATAACAATAAGTACCTAAGACTCGCGTAAGCATAGCGTTAAATCATTTTGGTACATTTAAGCACATTTAGCATTTGTAAAATGCAATAATAAATACAACTTCAATCGTAGCAAAACCCATAAAAAGGATAGAACATAGGTATTTCAATTGTTTTTGTGCGTGAAAATAACTAACGCAGACTGTGATATCGGTATATGTTGGCGGGGTACTAGTGAGGAATAGGTAAGGATGAAAGCAGGCCAGTAGGCGCATTCCGAAGATTTATTAGGAATTAACGAGGATGACTTCCAAAGGGAATCACATGGAGGTCGACTTGATAGGGCGTTTTAATAACAATGGGAACTAACTTTATAGTAGATATCAGATATAGAAGTATGTAATTAATAAATAAGTAATATTTAGTTATCAAAAAGGTGGCTAATTTAGCACACTAAATAATTAAGATTGTGTTCCATAAAAATAAAACGACTTCAATTGTGATATAACCAGTTATTTTGATTTAAAAATACCAATTTTGATAAAATTTTATGAGACCAATCCAAAAGTATATTAAAAATCAAAACAAAAATTCCCAAATCGATATATAAAGAACGGATTTATAAGATAACAAACAGAAAAAAATACAACCGAATTGAGAACCTCGTTTTTGAAGTTGCTTGAAGACTGAATTAACGCGATATAAATAAATACTATATTATTAACATATGAGAATGGTGTAGGCATTATCGAAATATCCTTTTTTTCGCCATCAAAGTATAGGAGTTGAAAAGGTGATCTTTTTTTCGTTAGAACAGGAGCAGACAATAAGCCTAAGAGGTACACTTAAAGCTGACCCTTCAAAAAATGATATGAGCAAGTTTAGTATTAATTATTAGTCTCAGAGGTAAAATGCCGGAAAAAAAATTCAAATTTTTATTATATTTTTTACTTTTTTGGGGCCATTCAACTATTTATAACAAGCAACTCACCTCCATGATAAGCAAACGATTTTAATCCCTTTTTCGTTAGCATGTTCGCTATATCTTCAGTTTGATCTCTTGTTCGACAATATACTATAGCTGCATTTTTATCTTTCTGTAACATCCATAAACAATTTATATTTTATTTACTACAAAAAGAAATTTTATGATAGAATTTTATTTATAAAAATAAAATATCTTACAGGTTTAACATTTCCATCTTCTCCCAAACATTTCTTTAAAAATTCCAACAAATGATCAATTTCATCTTCTATACAATTCTGATATATAACATCATAAAAAAGATTCTTTCTAAAACTGGGCGTTTTGTATTTTGCCACAGGCTGCAACAATTTGAGGTTCGACAATATGTCATTAGCAACTTCTGCACTTGCAGTAGCTGTGAGTGCTACCCAAGGTATGCTTTTATATTGCTCACGTAGAACTCCAAGTTTTAAATAATCAGGACGAAAATCATGACCCCATTCGCTTACACAATGAGCTTCATCAACAACTACATATGAAATCTTCTTATATTTGACTAGATGTTCAATAAGAGATTTAAAAGTTCCAGTTGCAGCTTGTTCGGGTGTCACATAAAGGAATCTTGTATTTGGTTTCATACTTCTCAAATCATTTAATACACGTTCTCTGTCTTTTGAAGACATTTTAGAATTTATAGATTCAGCTGAAATCTTGAGTTTTGTTAAATGATCTATTTGATCTTTTATTAAGGCCAGTAATGGTGAGAAGACAATTGCAACTTTGTTATCTTGCAACATTGCTGGTAATTGGAAACATAAGGATTTACCTGAACCCGTAGGCATTGATACATACACATCATGGACACCTGCACAAAAAACAATTCATAAGTAAGAAAAAAAATATAATTTACTATCAGCTTCCACTACATGCTAATCAGATAAATTATAAATGTTCGTACATATAATAATATTGTTGTAGATTTGATTTGTAAAATAATCAGGTTTGAATTAGAATGCACACTTGGTGGATATAAGTTCTTATAAAATTTACTTTGCCTTAAATCTCAGCAAAGCACATTGAAAAAAAATTTGAATTTTGATAATCAATGCTCTATTGCTACTAACATAACAATACCACATAGACTGCCGTAAGGACTATGAATGGGGCAGAGCATAAAAAATATATCATATTTGGCCATATAACCAAAGTTGATCCTTTCAAAGAGCCCTATCCTATATGTGCATGAAATTGGAGTGATTACAACAAAAAATCATCAAAATTTTTCTAAGTCTAATGGTATATTCTAACCCTATTTATAGACATTTTTTTTTCAATGGGTGAAAATGGCATGGTAACCCCGCCTGAGCTATCGGTATACCCTGGCGGAGCACCAGTGAGAGGTGATAGGTGATAATGAAAAGGCAGGTCAATTAGCCCATCGTGACAAATTCAATGACAAATTAGTCACAATAGTTTTCAGTGGGAACCACGTGGAGGTCGACCTGATAGGACATATTGATAGTAAGACTTCGTCATGATAGGCTAACCTGCTTTCATTCTCACCTATGATCCCTCACTGGTGCCCCGACAGTGTATATCATTAGCACAGGCGGGGTTACCATTTCATTATCATACATAAAAAAAAAACAATATGTAGGGGGAAAAAGATTGTTAGTAATGGGGTCTAACTGATAGCCAGCAATACACCCTATTAGGTCAACCACTATGCGGTTTCCCCTGGAAACCATCAAGGTTAATTCTAGTGAAATTCGTCACAATGGGCTAACTGACCTGCTTTTATTGTCACCTATCATCCCTTACTGCTTTCCTGCCAGCATATACCGATAACACAGGTAAGATTACCATTCAATTATCACTCATTAAAAAACCCTAGCCATCGCAATTGCTGTGCCACTAATGCCGACACAGTCAGTTATCAAATCTACAGATTGCAATACACATGTACTCACTCATACCCGCATCTAGTTAGGCCTCCACTACACTATCATTAGTAATTATGTTCATGTGTATCATTTTACTGCCAAACATGCCACAACCCACACTCAGTACAGCCCCAAGATTTGTGAAGTAGCCTAACTAGTAAGTACCCCATCCAGAATTGGATACAGTGTATATTTTCATTAAGTGCTTTTTAAACAGACCATTACTTATTCTATGTAGGCATATGCACAATATACATTGTGTGGAAATTACTATATGTTTTTGATGACACTGACATACATATTTATACTAACTTAGCAACAATTATGATACCTGTATGTATTTCATGTTAATACAAACCGATCTTAGTTTAATATAAAATTAAACAATACTAGATGTTTATAAGTTGACCCGCAATATTTAGGTGCTTACTATTTATATTTATAGGATGTGAGACGTAAATCAATATAATATGAATAGTAAAAATATAAAATGAATAAAAAAATAAAACTTTTAGTTGCTTCTAATTTATATCATGTAAATGGAAAATTAGATTTAGTAACATGAAGCAATAATTATATATAGCTGAAATTAATATGATTGTGCAAATAATAAAACGTTTTACCTCTTGCAATTGCCCTAACAGCTTGTTCTTGAAGTTCACTTTTAAACTTTCGGTGGCCAAAATAATGATTTAGTTTCTCGCTTATGTTATCCATTTTTACACTTCTTTTTATTTAATTATCATTTACAGAAGAAATCATGTGATAATTATATATCGGCTTTTTATTAGTTATTGTTGTTGTATCAATATTAGAATGTAAAATTATAAATATTAATTTACAACCTCAAAATTTGTCGTTTTCAATTTCCATAGATACCTTACAAGCCTGCGACAGTTGGAATGACGTTTTTGTATGAATCTATGTTACCAAACTGTATTCTATAATGGACTCTGTAAGTATGACAACGTAGATTAAAATAACTTGTAGGTATTTCTAAGATTTTTCTTATTCCTTTTTAATATTTATCTCGTTTTCTGTTCTGTTTGTTAGTGATATAATGGGCAACATTAACACCTCGACAAAAGACCTGCAACAGTTGGAACATCGTTGTTAGAATAATTTTCTATGAAAGTATGTTACCACGGATTTAAAAATTCTATCAAGTTGGAGCATGACAATCTTGAACAGATACCATGACAGTCAGAGTTATGGCACTATTTCAAAATAGCGCTTCACATGTGTTTTTAATAAATTACGTAGTAATAAATAAAAATAAGTAAATTTGTGCTCAGTATGATATAAAATAAAGAATTAATGACGTTATTAGCTTAATTTTTCGAAGATTTAAACCGGTGAGTGCATGTATTACCTATATGATTAATATGTTTATTCATATTCTAACCGAGCTGATTTCTATGCAATATTACAAATTTTGCTGAACTTGTAAAATTAACTAAATATTGTTCCGACCACGGTTTCTACTATTTATTCATATGAACTGAATTATATGTAATTATATATCACGAAGACAAATAGTACTTAAAATTATGTACGATTACTTTTTTGGGAATTGTTTTTTAGTTAAGGATAATGGTAGAATTCACTGTTTCAGTTTATGCCAACATATCCCTTATACCTTTTATGATTGAAATAATGTTATAACTACAAATAGAACTATTCCTTTTATATACATAATATAATATGTATATATTCTTCAGAATTGAATACTTGTTTTTTTTTCAGATGCCGTTTGCTTCGGCATAACGCTTATGACTATTTTTAATGCGCCAAAAAAATTGCATTACTAGTTTGTCAAAAAAAATTAGATAAAAATTATAGTAGAATAAAATAAAGCAACTAAATATAGATATTTATTTTATTGTCCATGTTTTTCATATAATTTGAAAATTTGATTTGTGAACTATGCAAGTTTTTTTTAATATAGGAACTTGGCAGTAGTACTCACCAGTATTAAGCAACGCCGGGATCAGGATCAGTGTTAAGGAAAACCACGACTAGGATTTTGGTTACCTACACTAGTTAATATTAGTCAGTTAGCAAGTACCGCCTATTAATATGTCAGTTAGCAAGTTCAGTCAATGTTCATAGTATATAAGACAAAAGGGTAATCTGTCATTTTTATTCTATTATTATTTTTCTTTATTTTACATTGATAAGCGCTGCTAGAATACATATCGCCTGCCAATGAACCAAGGAGGTTCTTAACATTTTTATGGTAACGTCGACATCGATATATTACATGAAGGCATAAAAAGATAATGGTACTACACTTTTTTTAATTGTTATTGTATTGTTTGGAAAGGTAACATGCATTGCAATTTTTTTTTTTCTCTCCAGGTTTCGTTGTATAGGGCTAGTGCCAATTCTTATAACGTAGTGATTACATACTCTGTGTTTGCCAATATTAAATAAAGGATGGCAGATAACCCGTAGATAGGCTCCAATCTTATGCAATCTAATGTAAAGTGTAAATCTTGATTAATCAAATGTCATTTTGACAATGAATTTTCTGTTTACATTATTTTTCTGAATGCTAATAATTTCATTTAAATGGGCACCTAATAATTTATTTTTGTAACTATCTAGCAACTTTATTGAAATCAGTTATTTTTATAATGTTTCTTTGAAGTTAAAGAGAGTGCAGTCATTTCTGCTCTGATCATTGATATAAAAGTAACGGTAAAGGTGAATATCTCAGGAAGGAAAAGTCCTTCTTCCTATTGTAATGCCTGTATTCTGAAGAATTGACATTACGATCACTATACTACCGTACTACTCTTTATCGGAAGATTTCTTACGCTCAAAGTTAAATTTGTCGCTGAACGACATGTTCCCGGAAAAATCACTGCATGTATATTGTAAACCGACCCTACTGCCATATATCCAAAATACGTTAAAGAGCTTCATTTCCATGGCAAATAGTGGTAAAATAATGAAAAAGAGGCAATACTTCTAGAGGGCTGAATCCCTCTATCATTAATTCAATTCAATTCAATCATTTATTGCTATTACATGTTGTAACAATATGGGTCTTAAGTTATTAAAAGTATAGAATCAACATGAACCCTGGAAGAGCACAGCAATCACATTAATAAATATTTCATAAAGTATATAAATAAATTTTTACATTATATATATGTATCGTCGATTAACATAAATAAGACATTATTACATTAAAACAAATAGGTACAAATACAATTAAATTTTTTTATTGAAAAATTCCTGTAGCATATAATAACTTTTTGTAATTAAATATTTTTTTAGAGTTATTTTAAATTTTTTAGAATTAGAGGCAATAGTACAGGATTGAATGGATTATACATATCAAATCCACTTGGATTTGATATTATGGTGCCTACCTTAATATTAGACACAAATTTAAAATTCTACCATTGCCATTGGTTCTCTAGATGTGGTTTTATATCAGGAGTCCTATATTTTGCTTTTGGCACTTGGCTTTTTTAAAAATACATTTTTTGTTTGTATCAGATATGCATGTTTGTCACAACATTTACTATTTATATAATTATGCTTATTACATCATCATCTTATAGTCTGCACCCATTAATAATGGGTTGCCAAACCAATCATTGCATACTAAAATGTTCATTTTAGAGATTTATACAATCTCTCTATTAAAGAACTATAGACCAATATCTCTTTTGAATATCATCTACATACTGTTTTCGAGAGTCCAGACCAATCATCTTTTGTGCAAACTGAAAGACTTCTAACCCCCCAACCTTGTAATGTACAAGCCAAGTAAGCTGGCTTCTAAAAGGGCTTCAGCACCATGGACTACATACGTTCACTATAGCAGTAGCAAAAGTGTAATTTGCCACTTTTTTTTATACTACTGAGGTGACAACCAAACATACAGCCCACCTGATGGTAAGCGGTTATCATAGTCTCCAAAACTCTTCATGTCTGCAATGAAAGATGTTTTAAAAATCTTGGTCTGAAAAATGATGCTATAAATATCACTGGCGAAAACGTCACCTACATTCGATTTGCCAATGATATAGTCAACATTACATCATGGCGGAACCCCAAGGGACTTGAATACTGCTTGAATACTCAATGACCTCAACAGATTCTCAAATTTTTTTTGATGGATGGTAATGGAATGGTAACTGCCTATGCTAATGGTATTTACTGGCAGGGCACCAGTAAGGGATGATAGATGAATATGAAAAGGCAGGTCAGTTAGCCCATTGACTAACTACACCTGACTACACTTGATTACACTACACTTAATGACTACACTTGTATGTGAATACAATGATTTCCAGGGGGATCATGTGGAGGTCGTTCTGACGGTATATTGCTAGGGATGGGATTGGTAGACTGCATTACTAACAATCCTCCCCCTCCCTAACAAACATATGGACATGTACAGAATGTGGTCTAAATAGGGTTCCCAGGTGCCACTAATAGTCTATTTATTTTGGGGTGTTTATGTATTTCATTATAAGTAATAAACCATGGTGTGTTTATTATGTTTCAGACATATAATCTTGGTTTGCTATGGTACTGACCTAAAGTAATTACTGTAATGCCATCATGAGTAAACGTAAGAATCCATCTAACAACAGTAATGTAAATGCAGATTTTTGTGACTTTTTAATAGAATTATCAGAATATGAAAAAAATGTTAGTCGTAATATACATAAATACAATGCATATAAAAAAGCAGCAAGTGTTTTAGCTGCACACCATAAAAGAATTGAATCTGGAGAAGAAGCTAAAAAATTAAATGGTATTGGGGATAAGATATCAAAGAAGATTGATGAATTTCTGCAGACTGGTAAACTTAAAAAATTAGAAAATATCCATCAAAATGAGGAGGTACAAGCTGTGAACTTGCTAACGCGAGTGTCGGGGATAGGGCCCGTAAAGGCAGCACAATTTGTTAGAGATGGTCTCAGAACAATAGAAGATCTAAGGAAAAACCAGGACAAATTAAACCATCATCAAAACATTGGTTTAAAGTAAGATCGTTTTAATTATTTTAGCTACAAATCAATAATCTAAAAAATTTATAACAAATAAAATTGCAGATACTTTGAAGATTTCGAAAAAAGTATCCCGCGATCAGAAATTGAAGAAATAGAAGAGATTCTAAAAAAAAATATTAACTCTATAGGTGCCGAGTTTAGTGTAACTGTTTGCGGTAGCTACAGGTAAATATAACCTGACATTAATTAATACGAGTAATAAACAAGTTTCTAATAATTCTATAAAAATACCAAATATATTATTTTTAGGTATAATTTAAATAGTTAAACCTATAAGTACATCTATATTTTTATTTTTTGTAGAAGAGGAAAAGCTTATAGCGGAGATATTGATGTTTTGATTACACATCCCTCAGTCAAGGTATCTGATGGAAAAAAGAAGCGTGGCGGTGAAGTTTTAAAAAAACTAATCAATAAACTAAATGAAAGCCTTATCACTGACACTATATCAATAGGTGCTACTAAATTCATGGTAGTATTAATTTTTATAACATTTCTAATTTATACACAAAAATAGAATAATAATAGCCAAGTTATATCTATATTAATTAAAACCAATAAATAATAATTAGTCAAGAGTTACATTCATAATGGTAATGCTTGACAAATTACTGTCTATTAATCTCGAATGAAGTCCTGAGTATATTATTTCTACTACTAATAATTATTTATTAACTGCAAATTCGTGATAAAATTTGTAGCAGTCTAGCCTTTTAGGATATACTTTAGTGAATAAGTGTCTTTTCATATTTATAGATTAGATATTATTGCAGGGCGTTTGTCGGCTGTCAAAGGAATTACCGTACCGCCGCCTAGATATAAGACTGATACCATGTGAGCAGTATTATTGCGCAGTTCTATACTTTACTGGGAGCGATGTGTTTAACAAGAGTATGAGGGCACACGCACTGGAACAGGGATTTACACTGAATGAGTATTCCCTGCGTCCTATAGGTATTACTGGTAAGTCAATACAAATTTCATGTATACTCATATAGTAGACAAAACTGAGGGCAAGACCGTTAATTAGTTCGTTAATGAAGTTAACATTTCTAATAATGCATTTTACAACAACTTTTAAAGTTAATAAAACAATTTTTAAAGTTATTACAAATTGTTAAAGAATTTATTAACTTCCATTAACTTTCGAGTCCGTAGGGTATTTACCGAAGTTTTATATTTCGATTTGAATCATAATCATCATATTATCTCTTAATGGTCCACTGCTGAACATAAGGCTCAGTTTTGCCAGTAGTTGCCACGCTTTGCAGGTGGATTGGCAACCGTAGTTATGCTTTAGAGAGTTTTAAAAGTGACGCTGCTGCCCATTCCTAGCCTTTCCTTAGTAGTCTCTTACGAAACTCACGGGAAAGGAAGGGGGTGGCCTATTCTATGCCGAGACCACAGGGACGTTTGATTTGAATATGATTTCTAAATAAGTTATTATTAATAAATAAATTTTGAGTTTGTATGTAGATATATCCTTATTTTATTAATATTTCATACACTGTGTAAACCTCCATAGTCTTCCTATTTTTTTTAATAGTAATCTCTAATACAACAACAAATTAAATATCTATTATGGGCACGATTAAATTTAACTTACATTAAATCTTTCAAATCATAGTAACTACTTTTAGAAACGTTTAATGAAATTCGTTAGAAATTATGCCCTGATATGGTTGTAGATATATATACTTGAATTATTTGAATTAACAATATGGTAGCAAAACATCCGTGTTATTATATTAAATATCAATTTAATAAATTACAATGGAATCGATTCTAAAACGTTTAAAGATGATTTTAGATGGAAATTTTAATTTTATAGTTTAATGAAACTATTGTATTAAATTTAACATCTTAACTGAAATCTTTATTAAGATTATAGTTGTAAAACAAAATTTGTTACCTATTAAAGTCTTATAATCACTATGAAATTTAGTATAAATGTATAATGGGATAGACTACGAAGAAATTGGCTAGGTTTTATCCCAATCAATGAGCATATCCTGATGACGCAGACGAAGTCGCGAATATGTGCTAGTTAAATATAAAGTTAACTCAAACTGGACTATGGAATAAAGATTTATCTGTTGTATTGGACTGAAATTTTAATTTATCGACATATTCTCAAATCTGTTTGATGTTGAGTTGTGCCATTCAATTTAATATAATGATGTAATTAACTTCTCTTTCCAGGCGTTCCAGGAGAGCCGATCCACATTACCTCAGAAGAAGAAATTTTTGAATATATTAATTACCCATATAAGAAGCCTGAAGAACGCAATTAATAAATATTAAAATGCATTGTCTCAAGTTCTTTATTATAATTACTATATAATCAAAATCTGTTATGTCTTATATCACAAGTTTCGATTTATTTTTAAAGATTAATCCATAAAAAAATAAACTTATCATAAAGAGTAATTTACATGCAATAACAATACTTTGGGAAACGATTTTTAAATTAATATAATCTTACACAGACTAGTTTTTCTGATCAGTCTAAAGTTCACAATCTAATTTACACCTACATGTAAAAAATTACTATTTTGTCGTCACTTTACACTTATACACTTTACTCCACCACGCTGCGGCGGCAGCAGCGATTTGTAATATAGATCTGTTGTTCACTTACGTAGTTGCTATAGAGCAAGCTGTTGTATAAAGCTCCTAGGCGAGACGCAACCGCCACCGTGGTGTCGTATAAGGCCTTATTTACAGTTTACGGAAAGGAGTTACATTTACGATAAGTACCTGGCTCAGCCAACTATATTTTGCTTTCTATCGCCACCTACCGGTCCCATTTTTGCATTAAGATTAAAAATGATACTATCTCTAAAGTTGGAAGAAAAACAATACTCAATTACAAAAAAATTATAAAAATTTGTTGGGCGGTTTCAGAAATCATTATGTACAAATATTTACTATGTCCCTTCATGTTATTTTTATATATTAACATGTATAAAAACGTTTAGACATGCATCTCCGTGTTTATAATTCGAGTTTGGGTGGGTCTCATATGTGATCAAAGTGCTTCAAAATAAACTAAAGATTTGTACGCGCCGCTGTTCGAGAAATACGGTAAAAGATAACTACGAGACAGCTGATGTTGCGTTTCCTGCGAATAATATATTATTATGGTGAAATTGTTTGTGAACTGCATGTGAAACTATATCAAGGGTATCGCGTCCGTGTTACTCGTCGTTATCTACATGAACAGGTATAACCCACCCGAAGATTTACGCAACACCTAATTCAAAGTTCCGTCTCACCGTAAACGTGGCCTAAAATACGAAAATTAATAGTAAACTTGGAAGCTACAGTTATCGAATGTAGTCTAATCATAATTTGCACAAAATGGAATCGAATATATTAAAGCGAAAGCACAGGAGGCCCGCAGCGGTTCAAGTGCCATAGTAGAGCGCGTACAGGTAGGAGGAGGAGTCTGCGAGTGCGTCGTCGGGCGCGCGCAGCTCCAGCAGGCGGCCGGCGCGCAGCGCCAGCACGCGCGCGCTCGCCAGCACGCCCGCCAGCCGGTGCGCCACGAACACCACCGTGCACCCGCCGAACGCGCACCTGATCGTCTCCAGGATCAGCCGCTCCGTCTCCTGGTCCAGGTTCGCCGTCGCCTCGTCCACTAGTAGGATCTGCGCACCACACCGACCGACCGTCAACACTCGAGAAATCGTTACCAACCATCACGTACTCGCGTAACACAAAGCTCTAGTACTTTTAAAAAACTTGCAGATACAGGAAAGACTGAATTAGGCCAAAAGCCAATGATCGTCCATGGACGCAAAGATAAAGAGGAGGCAATCTGGGGAGATGTGACCATACCTTACACAAATCATCTTAACCCTTTCTTCTGGAGAGCTCAGGTGGGCGTTTCGAGACGAACTCTTTACCTTGGAATCATCATAGGAGCGAGTACCCCCAGGTCACTAGCCTCATGCCAGCCACATCATACCTTTGTCTGGTTAGTTTCTTCTTGTTACAGGTTTTAATAAGGAACTGTTTTTTTTTAATATATATAATGATACTATGCGGGCTATTAAGTAAAATAATGAAATGACAGTATTGAGCGCGCGTACCTTGGGCCGCTGCAGCAGCGCGCGCGCGAGGCACAGCAGCTGCGCGTGTCCGCGCGACAGATGGCGCGCGGGCGCGGCGAGCCCGGCGGGCGCGGCGGCCAGCGCGCGCGCGCCGCACGCGTCCAGCGCGCGCCACACGTCCGCGTCCGCGTGCGCGCGCAGCGGGTCCACGTTGTCGCGCACGCTGCCCGCGAATATGAACGGCTCCTGGGGGATCACGCCGATGCGCGACCTGCACCAAGGTGCAACTTTGTCAATGAAGTATGTTTATCGATTATATTGATAGAGGATCCAGTGTCAAAACCAGGTTAAATACAGTCAGTTAAACATCACTTTGGCTGACTGAATTTTAATAAAAAAAAATTTTAACTTTTTTTTTTATACAAATTAGAATGGCAAACAAGCTGACGGCCCACCTGATGGAAAGTGGTAACCGTCGTCTATAGACATGAGCAGTACCATGGACATAACAGAGTATACTGTTTCGCCCATGATACCCCCCATGCGTTGCCATTACTGAGGACTCAGGTGTTATTCCTCTGTACCCAGTAAATTCACGCCATATCCCACCCTTCAAACCAAACTAACCTAAACCTTCAAACTAAATCTACCACCAAGTATTATGTTGTAAGCAATTTGAAGACAATTTGATGAAACTGGTGATCACTGGGAAAGTAGAAGAAAAACGACTGACGGGCAGAAATGCAGTACGATGATCTGATCAAATAACAAATTGACTGAATATGAAGATAGCCGACGTCTTTCAATATACCAAAGATAGCAGAAAATGAAAAGAAATTGCTCAAAAGTTGAGATGGACATCATGATGCTCAGTAGTGAGCTAATGACTAGACGAGGAGGAGTCCTTTTGGATTTATAGAAAACATTGATGTTAATTTACGTAGTAGTTCCGAGCAGTTGACCATACCAGCCTTCATTGGATATATAATTTTTTGCTGTTTCTCTTGAATTTATAGATATTTTCAAATCACTATTGATAAATTTTATTTCTAGGATTTTAAATCTATGAAGCGTTTTCAAATAAATTAAGTCGTTAGTGCTCATATCATAGATGCGCGATGCAATGTGTGCCTTACCTGAGTGCGTGCAGATGCAGCGTGGTGACGTCGACGCCGTCTACGAGCACGCGGCCGCCGGCGAGCGGCACCAGCCTTAGTATGGCGTGCAGCAGCGAGCTCTTGCCGGCGCCGGTGCGTCCTATCACGGCTAACTTCTCGCCTGGCCATGTGCTGAATGATAAGTCGTCTAGAGCAGCTGGCCCGTTCTCGCGACCACTGAAAACAGTGCACACTTTTTTGTCTCATTTTTGTGATTGTATTGTCAGCCTGGCAGCAAGTAGTACGTCACACTACGTCTATGATGTAACATTACTCCCATATAAAAACAGATTGCAGCCAACTACATATCCAAGTCAGCACTGACTATTAAACAATTTTCGTTATACGTAGATTTAACTATACTGAAGAATCATCATTATTTTTCCGCCCTTATCCAAATTATATAATTTTAGCTTCTAGTTTTACGATCGACCGCCTTTCTGACGTTAACCTTTTTTGGCAATACATTTGTTGATGGTATCCGCCACATATGGGATGGAGGATTTTTTTTTTATAAAACTTAGAATGGCAAACAAACTGATGGCCACCTGATGAAAAGTGGTAACCGTCTCCTATAAACATGAGCAGTACCATGGACATAACAGAGTATACTGTTTCGCCCATGATACATCCCATGCGTTGCCATTCCTGAGGACTCTTCTATACCCTGTAAATTCACGCCATATCCCACCCTTCAAACCGAAACACAGCCATGCAAACACAACTGCTTCACGGTTGAAACACGAATGGGACAGAGGTACCCAAGCAATCGACTTTTGTACAAAGTCTCTCTATAGTAATTTAATTATACTTAAAAATATACAAGTATATTACATAATATTCCAATAAGCAACATTAGTTATTAAAATGAACTCCTTTACTATTAGCCAGATGCGTTGCAAGATATTCGTTAGTCTCTGTAGGGTAGTTTATTTAAATATCAGATTATATACTAGGAGACAATTCGAAGGGCGATGGTTACATACCTTAAATAAGTGTGCGATGGTTACTAATTTACATCAAATTATTAATATTCTAAGTTGTATAAAAAATGTTAGCGGATAGCACACTATAACTATTTAGGCTCCAGAATTTTTCTTACTTATATTTTAAGTAGACATTTTCAAATTCAATTACGCCTTGCGATGGCCATCCGTAAGGAGGTGATTCACCGTCAACCTTCTCGCTTTCAACCTGCAATATATTAAATTAATTTTAACGAATGTAACATTTCATAAAAGAATTGATGCACCTCCCGACTTTTTAAATGGGAGTCATTTCAATGATATTAAAAGAAAATAAACAATTCATTGTATCTAGACATTTAATATGAGCACAAACATCTCTATTAACACAAACCTGCTTAATGTATTCACCAATGCGTTCAACAGCTATCATCTCTCGCTCCGTTTCCGTGAATGAATTGAGGACATTGCTTAACATCGAAGTCATAGACAACGCGTATGAAATAGCGAGACCCACTAATCCTGTATATAAAAAAAAAATCTGAAATTATGTTATATATTGTAAATCGATGTATTATTATGTACTACGTTACTAGATTGTAATATTCACAATTCGTATCGTCCAGTAGTTACTGAACATGTCATATCAAAATTTGATAGCTGTGGTAACATAACCGTGAAGTCATTATTTTATTGCGATTAAGTATTGACACCCTTCTGAGAATTGCGTAAAGTGGTCAAAACGTGGGCAACCGCTGGAGCCGACTGGGAAACACCACGTACCCGGGTCGGCGGCGTGCGCGGCTCGCTGCAGCACGGCCAGCAGCGCGGCGGCCGCCGCCACGGCGCCGGCGGCGGCCTGCAGGCGCAGCGCCAGCCACTGCGACGCGGCGGCGCCGCACAGCGCCGCGCGCTGCCACGCCTCCACTAGCTCCTCGCCGCGCTCCGCCCACCGCCCGCTCACATCCATAGCTCTCAGTGTCGTCAGCCCTACCAGGGAACCAGGGCCATGCATGGGAACAAAAAGGTTCTTATGTGATCACTGCTCATTGGCATTTAGTAAAAGTGAGTGTTTATGAATAATTTGTAAAGTTGTGCGCGAGCGAAATATAAGATAAATGAAACTTATTAAATGTGAACGAAAATAAAAAAACCGAAAATATAAAACTTTATTTAAAGTACATAGAGAATAAGAAAAAAATTGCATTACTACCTATTTTTTCTTTTTTTTTTTATAATTATCAAAAGGACTATGCTTATAATTTTTAGAAATGTTTGCAGTGAAGAATTCTAAGTATGGCATGAATAAAATGCGTGATTACTTCAGAACAGCGAGAATATTTAAATATGATGAAAGTATGAAAAAACAAATAGAGAATGAACGAATAACTAACTATATTTAACAACAAATATGATTCTGTATCTGTATATTTTTAAATTAATAATAAACCCTAAATAAATTAGTATCAGGTTTTAAGATTCTTTATTCTAAATTCTGAATGCAGGTATACTTTGAAAACATAAATAAATGAATATATATATATATTATATATATATATATATATATATATATATATATATATATATATATATATATATATATATATATATATATATATATATATATATATATATATATATATATATATATATAACAAAATACGAATATAGATTCTATAACACTTAACCTACCTTCCAGGGTATCATTAAAGTGCGTATAAACAGGTGAGAGTGTAACACTCTGGAGCCGCTTGAGTTGCCGCGATGTGGGTCGGTAGCGGTACTGCAGCCGGTAGTACACAACCGCCAGCGGAATCACTCCCACTAGCAGCCACGGAAGACCATAGATTGTAACCGCCACCGCACCTGATTTATCCAAAACAGGCAACCAATATACTCGCACTATTTGTAGAGAAGGGCCATACAAATTGTTATCTAGTATCTATTAAATAATCACTAAGAAGTTCAAAAAATTGTGGAATAATAATGTATTTGTTACTTACTTGTTTAATTATATAAGGGATTTTATCAATAATTAATGCTTTCTTTATATACAAAAATTAAAATTACATAAGAAAAGAGTGACTTACCAATTAAAGAAAAAAATTGAGCAAGCAATATATTTAAAATAAATGGCAATGTGTCGTCAATTGTGTAGGTATCCGATGAAAACCTATTTAGAATTCGTCCTAAAGGTGTTATATCGAAAAATTTCACTTTGGCCTGAAATATAAAAATAAACATTTCATTAAATACAAATACAAGTAGCTTTACTTTGTTTGGAAAGTGGTATAAAAGATGTTATATAATATTTAAATATTGTTCATACTTTTCACCAGAATCTATCTGGCATACAAAATTTATTTAATTGTGCTACTATGCTATTATTTTTTTACTTACTCGTATGTCGTCATATTATATAAATGTCAACATATTTACGTATACATTGTCTCACATAAATGTATTCAACTTAAATAAAATAGTTATTAAAACATTTACCTTTACTATAACTTTTAATAACATCTTATGTATCCTTGTAGCGGCTTCAACGCCACCATATGCAAACAAAAATGCTCGCATTATAGTAAATATCAAGTTTAAGCCAGCTAGTGCAAAATATATCTCCAGATAGTAATTATCGTTGACAGTTGTATCATTTAGAAACTGTGGTTCTAATATTCCCTCAGGGCTAACAATCTTGTTGGTAGGGTTAGTACCTGTCTCATGTCCGTCTAGGTTATGAATCCACGATATTGAAGAGTTAACCATAGTATGCACTATATTATCAAAAATACTAAATCCATGATCCAATACAGTTTTATTTTCATGAATGTCTGGATTAAAATCCACATTATTTGATACACTAGTGGTATTTTTTGAATTATTTCTAACCCAAAATGCGAGCCATAAGAATGTGAAATTCTGTGAAAGTTGCATGAGAATCAGAGAAAGGATAATCATAATTGTTAGAAACGGTCCCACTGAGCGCAGATACAGGTTAATAACCCACCACCCAACAGTTCCTTCTGACATTGCCTCCTGCAACAAAAAATCATGTTCAAAGTTACTTGTATATAAAAAAGACAAGTGTGAGCATAATTCGTCCCTAGAATTCTGTAGCTAAAGTGTTTACTACCATATCTAAACAAAAAAAGAATGATCAATATCGGTTCATAATTAGCAAAGATATTGCTAAAAATATATGCAAAAAAAAATTGAGACCGAATTGAGAAACTACATCCTTTAAGGCGATTAAACCGTCGCAAGTATGTTTAATTATACAATATACGCACCTCATTATCTAAACTATCTCTACTAACGTTGTCCTGGTCATCAGTAGGTTTTTCATTTTCCTTCTGACTACTCGTAGAAGGACGTGGAGGTTCATCGCCCATCGATTCTGTTTCGCTCGGTAAAAACTCTTCAATTTCATGTAATACACTTTCAGGAGGACCTAAATAAGTGAACTCATGTAAAAACAGCGTCTTTATTATAATTGCAGTTAATTTACAAATGTTCAGAACTCATTTAAGTTCTGAACATTTGTTTCAAACTTGGCCTGTGCATCCAGGATTTAGTGCCATTAAAGAATCAGCGACTTAAATCATTATAAAATTAATATGGGACTAACATACTCGTATAACGAAGTAATCTCTGTATGATGCAGAAAAGATTATTATAACCAGCGTTGACAAATTGCGTATTTTTTTAGCAATTTGTGGTAAAAATTTACGTGTAAGCGAAATTTTGGAAAAATGAAATTGTTAGAGAAAAATAAAACGGGCATAGAAAAATATGTGTATTTTTTCACACTTTTGATATTTATAGCAGTACGAGTATATAGATTCATGAAATATACCAACGAAAGTAAACCAATAATATAGTAACATGAGGCGAAGAAATTATCGTAGTAGTGTTTTTTCGTGGTTCGCGTTGTAAAAACACTTGAAAAAAGCATTGTGAAAACGGATACATGTTTCTAATTGGGCAAAAGTAAGGAAAATTGTATCAATTTGAAGAAAACATATTTCATACTAGATGACCTGATGAACTTTGTATCACATAAAATGCCACTATGTCACAAAATGTTCTGCTAAACTATTTACTATTGTTTTTCTTTTATACCATATAAAATATACAATAAAAAAAAAAGATATTCAAATCGGTCAAATCGTTTTTGCGTATTTCACTAAAACTCAAAAACGACTTGAACGAAAGAAGAACAATTGATTTATATTGTACATATATAAATTTGGATTGAAATAAAAAAAAACGCATCTAAGAACGCTAAAATCAAATCGTATAAACAAAACGTGCGAAACACGTACCGAGATGTGTGTTTAAAGTTAACAAACGATGAAACGGCTAATGAGCGCGTGCGTGGCGTGCGCGGTACGGCGGCGGTTACCTGCGCGGACGAGGCGGCCGGCGCGCAGCAGCAGCAGGCGGTGTGCGCGCGCCAGGTGCGCGGGCGCGTGCGCGACCAGCAGGCGCGTGGCGCGGCGCAGCAGCCCCGCCACGCAGCGCTGCGCCACGTGCGCGCCCACCGCGCCGTCCAGCCCCGCCAGCACGTCGTCCAGCAGGTACACTGCATGCACCACATACCTCACCCTCATATCGGAATCATACCTACTATTTTTAATTTATTATTATATACCTCCCCTTTTCCACTAAAATACTTTCTAAAATACCTAAATAATATATCGGTTCTGAAATACTGCTGCTAGAAGTTGATTCCAAAGAGTGGTTGTGTGTGGATGAAAGTGCCTTGAAAAATGCACGGTGGAGGACCGCCACTTATCCAGATGGTTGGAATGGAACTTTAGTTTGTTGCGGGTTGTACGGTGGTGAAAATCATCAATAGGTATCAATCCGAACAATTTCTCAGAGCACTCCCCATAATAAATTCGATAAAAGATGCACAGACATGCAACACCTCTACGCAATTTCAGTGGGTCGAGGCAGACAGTTACATGTAAAATAATCCTGTTATCTTTACATTAGAATATAATGTGCAATTAAGAATTTTGGACAATAAGATATTATAATCATTACAAAGTAATGCCAAATAAGAAAAAAACACATCGTATTTTACTAGACCTATCAAGTATAATTTACCTTCTTTCTCCTGATAGGCAGCTCGTGCTAGAGATATTCGAGCCTTTTGTCCGCCGCTCAGCGTGCATCCGCCTTCCCCCACATATGCATTCCATCCTAGTATGTTCAAGTCCTCTGAAATATTGAAATAAACTGGCTAATAAGACTAAAACAGAATATTAATTTTGTTCATAATTATTATATAAATATTTAAAAAAAAAAATGTAAAATGAATAAACAAATACATAATTATTTCTTCTTCTAGTCTGTCCAGTACGATTGAGATATTATTTATATTTTACAATTTTTTTTAATAAAATTTTAAATGAATAGAAATAAAAAATTAATGATATTGCATTTGCAAGTATACGTTAGACAATTTAATTCCCACACTGCCAACTTTATAAAAAATCACACACTCATCTACGCATATTATAATGGGAGAACACGGTACCAGTGAGAGCGCATGCATCGACCACTGCGCGAAATTTAGCTTCGTCGTATGGTTTTCCAAATAATATATTGTCTCGAATAGTACCACGAACTAGCCACGGCTTTTGAGGTACGTAGCCAAAACCTGTAAAGAATTCAAGTAATTACACGTCAACATAGATAATTATCTGATAATTATAGTGAACATCATTATTTCACAATTGTTTTGTTTGAAAATATCGAAGCCAGCAGGATTATAGTTAATACATATAGTCTTAGCGATGCTAGTAGTATTGCCATTAAATTGATTCTTTTTAACATGATCTGATTTGAATTTATCAATCACTATTTTATTTATTTCTATACTCCGGACTCGAGAATGAGTCACATCTGTTAGTAATCATGAAATATTTTAACTTCCCATACTGATTAATATAAAATTTTCTAATATTAATTATAATATTATTACTCTTGACTAACTTAACAACTAGTGCTTTATCATTTCTAAGTGTTTAATTACTTACCATTTATACCATCTAATATCTCTATGTTACCACTCGTTTTTACCATCTCTCCAATAATAGCGTTCAACAAGGACGTCTTTCCACTTCCCACATTGCCAACTATTCCTATAAACTCTCCTCTGCCAATTTCCAAAGAAATATCCTTGAGCATGAAAGGTTCCTCCTGTGTTACTGACCCGGATGACGATATCGAGTCATGTCTTTGAATATTCCCTTTAGACGTTTTTCTTTTCGGCATATTTTTACTTTTTGATTTTTGTTTAGGTTTCTTCCGTTTAGAAGGCTTAACCCATGAGAAATTTGCATTTTTAATTACTATAATATTGTCTTCATCTCTGTTCGTATTAAGCTTATCATAATATATTTCAGAATTCATATCTGGAAGCTAAAATCCACATTCATGATCAAATTATTTTGTAACATGACAAATGTAAGTGAAACGTATGTAAGAATTTTATAAGTATTAGATTTTATATATATAAAAAAATAAGTACATACGTCTAATAACTTTTGTATTCGTTTAACTGACACCCAGGCTTCTGTGAGTCCATTAAGCACCCATGGGAAAGCATTTAAAGGAGCTATTAGCATGTTAATCAATGCCACTGTTGTAAATACCTGCGAAATTCAAAGTTCCAATCATAATCATCTTATAAATCATTACTTTAAGATTTTTTTTTTTATTTACCAGAGGAAGACTTTGTACAAAAGTAGTTTGCTTGGGTACCTCTGTCCCATTCGTGTTTCAACCGTAAAGCAGTTGTGTTTGCATGGCTGTGTTTCGGTTTGAAGGGTGGGATATGGCGTGAATTTACTGGGTACAGAGGAATAACATCTGAGTCCTCAGGAATGGCAAAACATGGGGGTATCATGAGCGAAACAGTATACTCTGTTATGTCCATGGTACTGCTCATGTCTATAGGCGACGGTTACCACTTTTTATCAGGTGGGCCGTCAGCTTGTTTACCATTCTAAGTTGTATAAAATACAATAAAAAATTAGATGAAGTTAACTAGAATTACTACAAAATCGTTTATACAAATACTACAATGTCAATTAATACAACAACAATCGAAGTCCTCTTCCAAAATATAAATACAATTTAACAATTTTATTTATTTAAGAAAGTCGGTTAATACATTTAGTAAATATTATCGTCAAGAAAAAACTAATTTATTCCCGCTTCTGGACTACGCTATTGTTACGCTTTCCAAGTAGCTTGATATTTTGTTTTACTTCAAGTTTTCTTGTTCTTGCTCTAATATATTGTATTTGGCTCGATCCTTAGTAGCCTTGTACATTACTTATTGTACTCTGGGAGTGAAAAGGAATGCTGATACATGGTATTACTCCGTTACAACATTATTTACGTATTTATATTATCTACTAAGGCAACCAAATATGAAAACGAGTAAAAGGTATGCGTACGGTGGGCGCGTCAAGATCGCGGTGCCGTATCGCGTGAGTGCCAAGCGTGAGTGCTGCAACCAGTACCGGCGTGGTCGCCCATAACACCACGCATATCGCATCCAACAGCTTCCGTGACCGCAAATAATGCAACTCTGCCTTTCGTGCCTCTGTACATAACGTATACAATACCTGAGATATATTTTTATATAGCACATAAGAAATATAAATAGTTCTCTATAAAGAATCTAGATTTCAACAAAGACGAAATATGAATCAAATTTCTGAACTGCATGATATGTGATTTTTTTATTTATTTTATTACAACAAGTTACAATCAATAACATTAAAAATATTTATAGAAAAACAAGAGTAAGAACTAGATTGAGACCCAGACAGGGGTACACATAGCATAGTTAAAGCAGTTGGCAAACTGTGTTAAATTATTAAATATGCTACAAAAAAAAAAATACTCGAACTGAGGTAAGTAAATTTATAAAAAACAGTTTAGAAAAGTATTAAAACTTACCTGTAACTTTACTTATAAAATAATCTTCCCATACATGCACTTTCACTGTTCTAATACCTCTGAGCAAGTCACTCATCAAACTGACACGAGTATCTTTATACTTCATCAACTCTGTACTCAATTGGCCTATTTTGTTTGCTATAAGTTTATTGATAGGTATCAATATAACAGAAAACGCGACTCCAGCAAGAAATGAAATACCCACTTGTTGATACAACAGAAATAATGTGATGATTAGCTACAAGAAAAAATATAAACACCAATTATTATATTCATTGAAATTGTTATTTCAAATAACTAGACCGAAATGTACTCACTTGTAAAGGTATACTCCATACAGCATGAAAACTTGGGCATGCATTGATAATTCTGTCAGTGTCTGTTGACATAAAATTTGTTATTTCCCCAATTGTAAATGATGTAGATAGTTCTGTTGAAGTCACACTCAAAGTTTTCCTGAGAATAGTTGCAACGATTGCACCTCGCATCTTGAGTCCGATTAAGGACATCAGCCAATTAAAATGTACATTGAATAACGCACCCACTATTGTCGAAGCCAAAAACCCAGCTGCATATATGTATCTATAAAAATACACAAATATGTATCTATAAACAAAAATACAATGCTTCACAAATTTTACACAAAGTAACAATTATTGTGTCTATCTTAGGGGTCATGACTGTCATATATGTCAATATATATATATATATATATATATATATATATATATATATATATATATATATATATATATTACCGTAAGATCAGACCCTCTCTCCATTTTTAAAGGACGTAACTTGTGGATGGCCTCTTTGGATATTATATGAAACAATTCACCACATGTGGATTAAGATATGTGTAGTTGTAGGCTACTTACATTTATCAAAGCATGAAATTCAGTCTAAAGATTAAAATATAAAACTACTTTTACCAATTCATTTAATTATTATTACAATAATTACAATTTTGTCCAGAATAGTCTTAATTAAACAAAATTAACAAGCTTTAAAAAATATTGAATTACTTACCCTAAATGCTGGTCAATACTTTCATCATCAACAAATATAACAAGCTTATTAAGAAGCATTGGCCCAGCAAACCCTGCCATATCCGACACAAACTTCAATATACCAATGCTATAGAACTGTAATGCAAAGCAGGTATGTAATGCACGTAACAGTGTTACATTTTGCCTACGTCGTGGACGTACTAAAACACGTGATGTTGGAGTTACAGGCGTGGAGGCTTGTGGTAATGACTCCCCAACGGCTCCATATCCTAAAAATTGGAAACTCGTTGCTAATAGTATGTCTAATATAAAATTTATAGTATTGTTAAATAGTCTGAAATAGTGACAATTACAGTACAAAGTAATAAGTTTTTAAGTGAGTACAAAACTAACAAATTTGTTTATAAATTTGAAAAATAAAAACAATTATATACCTGATGTTATAAAAGGTTCATGTGGTACTTCAGCATATTGATAATTATCAATGTTTCCAACAAGGGCCCGATCCATTCTTGCACCCACGTAAGAACATCGATATTTTCCTGGTATATCAAAAAGCTCCTCTGGGTCATTTAGTTTATTTTCTTGACCTAAAAAGTTAATATATTAATATATATATATATATTATTATACTGTCACAGAGAGTTGAAGTACGCAAAATATATTTTCTACTAGCTGTTTCTTTACGCTATGCCAGTCTGAATCTGTATTCAAAAAATTCTGTTTATCATTTCATTTTCACACTTTAAAAAAATAGTAGTTGATGGGGGAAACTTATACCTATTCAGCAGTGGATATTTAATGGCTGATATGATGATGATTATAATTATTATTATATAGTGCCGTTGGTTTGTTTTTTTCTAGCTAAAAAATAATTTTATGAAACCCAATTAATGAATACTAGTTTTAAGCGATAAGCCCTTTATAAAAGCACATTTATTTCTCATCTATCACCTATCAGACCCCCTCTTAAATTCATCCAGGTGATAAATACAATATATACACTGTAATGACATTTATTATACAGGTGATATACAGTATACCACACACACATAATGCACTTTAACTGTACATGATTTATATTTGTTTACCTTTGAAGTGCCAAATAAGAAGATTATAAGGAGTTTGTAAAACTGACAAAAGGAAGCCTACACCATGCTATACAGGCAAATTTTTTATATATTTATTAAAACTTAAAATAATATGAGGGAGGATAGAAAAATATCAGTTTCAGTCTAACCAAGAATTTTGTATGTGTTTATACAAAATTAAGTATATTTTTATTTTCTATGTAATCACCATCAGGATGCACTTCTGTCGTCACTATTTCAAAGCATTTAGTCTGTTGAAAACAATTTTTCCTTATAGTGAAAATATGCATCTACTGCTGTTTTTACTCGTAGTTAAGAGAACATTTCTGATCTCTCAAGTGCTTTTTGGGTTAGGTAATAGAAAGAAGTTAGATGGTGCCAGATCAAATAAATAATGTGGATGCAGTAACAGTTCAAAGCCACAGATGTGTATTTCAGTTAGACTGTACAGATGTGTGAACATGGACATTATCTTGATGAGCATTCTTGGGCATTGCTCATTTATTTCCTCACATAAATAACATAGTAAGTGCAATCATAATCGGAATTAATTGTCTGACCTTTTTCAAGCTAATCAACCATAATCACATCTCTTCAGTCTCAGAATATTGAAGTCAATACCTTATTTACCAAAAAAAATTTACTTAGCATTTTTAAAAGGTGTTTAACTAGCTTCACTGTCTTAATTGTTGTTTTGTTTCCAGTATATTGTAATGAATCCACATTTCATCCATAGTAAAGAGATTTAAAAAATTATGTATATTATGTATAACTCCAACAGTCACTTAGAATAGTCAACCACATTCTTTTTTGTTCTAAGGAAAGTAACAAAGAAACCAAACTCACTGACAACTTGTGGAAACCCAATTCATAGATTATGTTTTGGATTTGTTCATAAGAGATGTCTTTAATCTCAGCTTTCTCTCTAATTTTTAATATGCAGTCTTCCATTATTAGATTATGTACCTTTCCAATATTTTTATCAGTAGTGGATGACAGCCCTCAAAAGTGAAGTTCATTTTTCACATTCTCACTACCACATTTGAATTTCTCTATTTTTTAATAAATAATACATAGTGGAATCCCCTAATGTACTGACCATATCATTATGGTTGGCCTTTAATAATAACCTCTTCTTATGGAGATACTTAAGGACAGGATGCTGTCCAATTAGTTCCATTTCCAGAATTTAGATTGGTTTACTTGATAAATAAATTTATAAAACCACAACTAATTACAACACATATTTCAAACTTCACAATGTTAATACAGTCTGAACGGAACTAAATAATGTTGGTAATTTTGATTTTAAGAATAAAATTCATCTATATCAGGATGAATACTATTCAATCCATCCTCATACATCCGCTTTCTCCATAAGGAATATAGTGTAAAAAAAACAATGCATCATTATTTCTTCTAAATTCACATTGATAAGTATAACAATTAACTTTAAATAGGTATATATTTGTTGTACAGAGATAATTATGTAAATATTTTATGAAAATAAATTATTACCTTTCCGCAGTAGTAGATCCACCCAAGAAAATGTCAATTTTGAAAAGTAGTTAGTACCTTGCATTGCTGTTCCTAAAACTCCTTCATCCATATGTGGAAGGAGAGGTGTATATTCACTCTGTGGATTACAAAATAAAACATAAACTTTTACACCAGTATTATTTACTTTTAATACTTTATTTCAAATACCAAATAGTTCACAATCAATATTTTAATTATTTTTCAAGCATTGTATATGAATAAAATTTCATAATATGCTATGCTAATATTTAGTATAATATATAATATGTTAATATAATATGCTAATTTTTAGTAAGCAGTTATTGTCTATGTAAGAGGTCTAAATTTTTTTTAATGTAATATAAAAAAAAATTTAATAAAAATATCTCACATGTGAATGTTGACTTCCCACTAGACATGGAGAATAGAATGTTGGTCTAGACCCACTTGATGGTAAAAGTGTCAAAAAATAAATTACATGGCAGCACAATGTTGCAATGTTATAACCCAATGGTGTGTTTGTGAGGATACTACTTCTGAGTGCGAATACATTGAGTACTACAGCACAGCTCCATAAAATCAGCTGTAATGAGGGTCCTCTAGAACTTAAGCCAAGTCTTTGTTTTAATGCCAAAACATATCCAAAGTGCACCAGCCAAGACAAACATGATGCCCCCGCAGTAAAATAATCAACAGGATATATCACAAAATCAACTTTAGTTATAAAAGCATACATCTCTATTATTGGAATGAAAACCAATACTAGAATAACAAAACTGCGGAGTATAATAGCACGCTCTTGTGTTTTATCCCGAATCACCCAATCTTTTCTGTACCCCACATAAAACCCTGAAACAATGGCTATTAAGAAGAAGAGTGGAATTTGCAAGAACAGTTCTTGAAAACATTGTCCAATGTCTTTTGAGTCTTCTATCCATGGTTGTAATCCTAGTGGACCGCACATATCTTCCCATTTCCAATTAATATTCATATTGGAAGAATTCAATATGTACACAAAACATTAATTTACTGTACCATAAGCAGGCAGCATTAATTATGTAGGTAAAGCAAAAACTAGGAGGATATCATTTATCCTCTTCTGCGAATATAAACATATTTAAGTAGTGTATGCTAGAAAATCTTTTATAAATATTCTTATTCAAAAACTTCAATCAAAACCGACGGAATAAATAAACATTAGTCAGTCAAAAATTCTAAAGTCAACTGTCAATGTCAATTGGATAAAAAAAACAAACACAAATAGAGAGAGAGAGAGAGAGAGAGACGGTTTGTACCTATAGATTAAGGATAGTACTTTTTTTTTTTGATAGATGAAAATGGTATGGTAACCCCGCCTGCGCTAACGGGATACGCTGGCGGAGCACCAGTGAAGGATGATAGATGAGAATGAAAACAGGCCAGTTAGCCCATCATGATGAATTCATCAGGAATTAACCATGATAGTTTCCAGGGAGAACCGCGAGTATGTCGACCTGGTTGAATATATTGCTAGCAATGGGATTCTCAGTCTCCATTACTAACAATCCCTTTCCCCCCTAAGGATAGTACTTGCAATCTTAATAGATATGACACGCAATGAAATTATCATCTTTCTACCTCTTTTTCTCAAATCAGGTTTTAATAATAGCCAGATCAAAGGCGGATGCAGAGTGCAGTAGTGTTTCACCATTTTCATTTCGACACCCATATGCCACGTTCCATAATTTTTTTCATAATCTTCATTTCTTTCTCCAACATGCCCATTAAAATCGCTGCCTACATATGTGTATCTTTCCTTCTCTAGAATTCCCATTATTAAAACATCAAAATCCTTCTAAAAATTTACTTTCACTCCATCGTCACTTTCTATTTGGGGTGCATAAACATTAATAACATTCAAAATCACATTTTCTATTATTACTTTCACACGTATTGTTCTACCACTAACCCTTTTAATATCTAACACACACTTTTTAAGTTCGTTGCATTTTCTATCACTCCCATAACTTATGTTCTTTCTCAATATCTCTAACTTTCGCTCCTTTACTTCCTCTATTGTAAACATGCTACTTTTATTCTTCACTTTTTCAAAACATTTGCTAGCTCTTTACCTCTTCCAATTATAAAACGTGCATACGTTTATATTTTTGAACCTCATACATATTTATCATACTTTCTGGGTTCGTGTCTTACGCTGTTCCCGCCCTTGTTGGTGCAACAATCCTTGTTTACTTCCCATTGGTGTTGGCTGCTACACCTGCGCTATCCATATTACAAAAAGATTTGGCTTATGGTTTTATATTCGGCTGCTTGCCTGATGTCACCTCTCATTGGAAACATATTTGTTAGTGGTTTCTACCACCTATGGTGTGGAAGAAAGGATTAAAGGAAAAATAAAGGAACTTTGGAAATGAGTAAAAGAAGTTGGCAAAGGTAAAAAAAGAAATAAAGGATTGATGTGAAAAAAAAAAGGGGGGACATTGAAGTTGCGGGAGGGACTAAGACACTGCATCGGCTCGGAAGGCTGGAGTCACATACCCATATGCCCTTATACTAGAATCAGACAGATTCATAGAGAATGACACTCCTCATAATATATGATATACTAAGATTAGTAATAGTTAAAATGGTATACCACTATAAGCAAAACACGAAAGTGTGAGCTAAATTGAAAAACTTTTTTTATTTTATTCTGTGTACGCTTTTATTTTTAGTAGTCGGCAATTACAAGTATTTACAATTGCAAGCCAAACAACTCTTATATGCTAGTAAATATTGGTTTATATTTTTAATTATTATGTTGCAAGTGTAATGCAATTCTTAAGTATATATTAAACGTGAATAACACATCATTTTATCGATTTAAAATAAGACAGCAATTTTTTTATTAAAAACTATAATGTGACTACAAAATTCTAAGAACAAGGAATTACATAGAAGGAATGATAAAATAAAAACTGTAAATCGTATGGTTGTCTCCTTACTTCTTATGCAAATATAATTAGTAAAAAAAGGACGAAAGATACACATCAGTTGCTATTTTTCTCGATTCATAGCAGGTTAGTGTATAGAAAATGTTTGATATGCCAATTATTTTTCAATGACAAATTTTACATTACTAGATTATATATTCGACACAATTTATGTAGAAAGTATGCAAGCAGGTTGTATCTGAATTTAGTAAGGTTATACGGCTACAATATTTTCTATACATTAGCCTGCTATGAATAGGCAAATTTATCACTCCTATCTATTCTTTGTTCTTAAATAGATGAACAGCATAATTCATATAGTGTGTTGCTCGTTGTATTTATGATATCGTCAGCGCCTTAGAGAGGGATAGACGTATAGTGCTGTCGGAGTCTTCCTAATAATTATCTATAATCTATCTAATCTGTCCAATAATTACCCAATCTTTGAACGTGTCGAGTAGTCTGTGTCTTTGAAAAACATAATTAGATTTTTAATATTATTGTTTTTTTTTTATTTTTTTTAATTAGATAAATAGAAATAACTTTATTATCTCTACAGCTATTTGTTAATACTGTAATAGTAATTTCCTATAATAAAAATGGAGAACAATTGTCTCACAGACAATTCTGATATGGAAAGTAATTTCGATCCTATTCATGATATAATTGATTATTTAGTTCGATGCGCAAAAATCTCCTTTAAAAATGCTCGAATCGATGAAACAGAGGTAAGAACTACTGATAAAGTACGTATGGCTTACGATTTATATCAGAGATCACCTACTGATTTTTTGATACAATTTGGAAAATACTTGGCGCCTTACCACATTGGTTATTTTGAAACATTGAATCCTGTAAGTGAAAAGGAAAGATTTCAAGAGTGCGTGACACAGTTAAAACATTATCATTCAGAAGAAAGTAGACATAAAAGAATAAGAAACAGAAGGTATAAAGCATTACAGAAGTTACAAGATGAATCGGATTATTTTAGTGAAAAGCAAATGATGTATCGTAATCCCTTGTTATATGAACAGCTTATAGGGCAATATTTAACTGATGAAGAAATACAAGAGCGAGATGGTGTTGACAATGAAAACCTGACTTTTTTGAATATGATTCTTGAAACTGTGGACCGAAATCAAATGAGGGAAACCAAAAATGAACAGATGCTCACAGAAATTATCCATGATGGATCAAATCTTGGTAAATCTGATAAAAAGGATAATAATATAAAGCAAAAAGGTCAAAAGAAGTGGGGAGATTTTGATACACCTGACACAAAGCCTAGTTTCGTTCCAGAAACTAGAAAACAAGCTATGATAAGTTCTCCCGAAAGGAATCTTTTGCGTGAAGAGTTTTTTCAAGAAATGTATAGTAGTTTTATAGAGGGTTCAGATACTGACATTGATTATAGCACTATAGACAATGATGAGCAATATGATGATTTGCAACAATTATCTCAGGATGCAGAGGACAGATATTTTGACTCGGAACTAAATGATGTTGAAAATTTAGAAGAACATATGAAACTTGTTGAACAATATGGGAAAAAATCAAACAAAACAAATGAATGTGCTTTAGATGATTCATTAGATATTTTTATGAAACATATTTCTAATAAATTGAATGTCAGTTAATATTCTTTTTCGTATCTGTTGGTATTGTCAAGTCCCTTGTTGAATGGGCAGAGAGAACTGAATACCAAATTCCTATACCTTATATTTACCTCTTGCTTTATCTACTATCATAACTCATGTCTGAAACCTATTCTGGAGTTATTGACTCATCAGGTAGAACATGACACAGATTTACTTAAATGTTATAAAGTATATATGATTATTTTCTGGTAACAAACACCATAAATACCCACAAACACTGATCAATAAAGTATAAATTAATTTAGCTTTCCCCACAATTTTGTCTGTAAAAGAATACTTATTAAATTTGAAATATCTAAAAATAATACTTAATATTTTTTTTTATACAACTTAGAATGGCAAACAAGCTGATGGCCCACCTGATGGAAAGTGGTAACCGTCGCCTATAGACATGAGCAGTACCATGGACATAAAGTATACTGTTTCGCCCATGATACCCCCCATGCGTTACCATTCCTGAGGACTCAGATGTTATTCCTCTGTACCCAGTAAATTCACGGTTGAAACACGAATGGGACAGAGGTACCCAAGCAATCGACTTTTGTACAAAGTCTCCCTCTCTGTTGCTGTCTGCTCTGTACCAAATGCCATGTGTTTTTCATGACAATTACTCAAGCCATTGAATAGTAACAAACATTCTCATATATAACATTAGATGGCACTAGATGGCGCTTTCTTTTATCTACTACAGCAAACTGTAGACAGCATATAGTGACAGCAAATATTTGGCGAACAATTGCTTATTGTAAAAGAATGATAATACATATCAAGATTACTACCTAATCACAAGATGGATTCAATGCACTTTTCTGTGCATTGATGCATCTTCGTCCCCTTAACTTCCCGTTTTTTTTTTATCTGACAATCACTATTTGCATATGTTTGTACCATTTGCTACCAAGTGTCAAAAGATAAAACTAATTCATAATAGTAAATAGTAATATTTGACCCTAAATCCACAGTAGAACTAACCATCACTCGTTAGTCACTTCAGGTAATACTAATTTGTTACTCGTAATTTGGTAATACAAAACATGTCAAAAAAGAAGATTGCTATGCTAAGAAAGCTAATAGTACTAGAAGAAACCGAAAATTAAAATCGAACGCAATTATTGTTCTTTTCAACCGACTTCAAAAATAAGGAAGTTTCCAATTTGGTTGTATTTTTTATGTTTATTGCCTCATGGCTCGTCAGTTGTAAACCGATTTGCAAAGTTATTTTTTATCTGAACGGATATACTTATAGATCGGTTCAATAGTTTAATTTTTAAATCAAAATAACTAGTTTTGTTACAAATGTATCGGTTTTTTTTAGTTTCCAACCGAATTTTCTGTTTCGGTTTCGGCTAGTTTATGTCCGAAATTCTTTCGGCCTTAGTTTCGGTTTCGGCCAAAAATTTGCCGAAACTTTCGCCCGCGCCGAAATTTTGTGTGTGTGTTTGTGTTGTGTGTGTATCTAACTGAAAGTTGTTTTTTTTTTAACTTCTAAGTGTAAGTCATAATTTTAACATGATTTTACATATAAATATATATGACATATTTGTTACATACTTTAATTAGTGTTTATTATTATCCTTTAACTATCTGTGTGTTTGTGTAAAAAATACACTAGATTTCAGTATAGAAGAGAAATTTTAAATATGTTTCAGTAAGTTTCGGTTTTGTTTTTGGCCGAAACTGAGACCAAGGCCAAAAGTTCGGTTTCGGCTGTAAAATCTGTTTCGGTCAGACACTAGTTTTTTTCATGGAACAGTCTTATTTATTAGGCTTATTTATTATTTATTTTGACAACTATATTTTACTAATTTATTATAGATCTACTTACTGGTATATCTGATATTTACTATGATGTTAGTCCCCATTGCTAACAATCCTCCACACGATACCCCTGGAAACCATCCTGGTTAATTACCTACTAACATGCATTCATCCTTACCTATTCCTTACTGATACCCCGCCAACATATACCGATACCGTTACCATTCAATTTCACTCGTAAAAACTCGGAAGGATTAGGTACCTATATTCTATCCTAAGCGACTTCCAAAACGCGTGAAAGGATTGAATTTCCCTGTATTTTGTTTTGTACTCATACGATATCTGTGCCAATTCTAAAATAAAGTGACATTTTTTTTACAAATAATAAGGTCTACTATCGTCTTGTTCTCAAATTAATTTTGTTACAATTGAAAAAGCTGCCCAGCAAAATTTACTTGCCTACCTGTAGAATTCGAATAGGTACTCGTACAACGGCTCTAACAATTTCGATGAAATTTCTTGGAAATTTAAACTAAAAATTACTTTAGAGGGTTACTTAACGTTACGGATACAGTGTTAGCATTTCTAAAATGATAATCTAGTTTGATAATTCTCTGGAAACAATTTTCAAATGAAACTTTATTGTCGAGTCAAATGGATAATAAGTATGTACCTATTTGAAAATGATGTAACGTAGGTAATACAAGAGTCACAACAGAATTGATCGTTTAGTGCCGACTACATAATCATCGGATAACTAAAGATGGTCTTGTTGCACAATTAAGTGTCGGTACATAACTTGGTCCTTACGGTGTCTAATCGATCGTTAGTAATACAGTAAGCGTTTCACTTTTTGCATTTACACTTCTTTCTCCATTTGTGCTATCACATACGGCTAGTAGGTATGCATACTGATCAGGGTAAGCAAATTTCACGTACGGAGGTAGTTTAATCGACGCTCATGCACTGTAATTTGTACTAGCTTTTTCCTGCGACCTCGTCCGCCTGATCGAGATAAATATAAATTGTCTATGATGAAAAATAGCTTCTCTGTAGTATATCCCCTATTCCAAATACTACATATAAGTATACAAAATTTCATGATAATTCTTTGAGATGTAAAGCCGTTAAGCGATAATAAACAAGACCAAAGGTACTATCCTTAATCTATGTACTTAACTAAAAACGGAGGAGTAGGAGAGGAGGGCAGCGACAATAATAAAATAATAATATTAGAGAGAGGCTTACCATATATTTTCTTAAGACAAGCACACTACATACAATAATAATATGTCAATCAAGAAGAAAAACAAAATAGGTATCAAAAAGACGTATTCATAATTTAAAAATATAAATCTAAAAAAGTAAACTTATATAAAAAGAGGTCTGTCGCCAACAGTAACAGATAGCCTTTCATATTTCAAAAAATTAATAACGATTGGCCAATGGGCGTATGATTGTAAGAGTTTTAAACTCACTTCCACATTTACAATTCTCAAGAATTGTAAATGTGAAAGGTTTTTTTATACATTTTAGGATGGCAAATAAGCTGATAGCCCAGCTGGCAAAAGTGGAAAACCGTCGTCTATAATCTTGAATACATTACTGAATACATTGTGATTGCCTATGACTAAGATGTTATGTCTCCATACCCAATAATTTAATTTCCATATGTTTTCCATAACTTTCATAAAACTAAAACACATTACAACATAGTATAAAATAAACTCACAGTCGCTGTCTGTCCGTCCCTATGTATGCTTAAATCTTTAAAATTACTCAACGGATTTTGAAGCGATTTTTTTTTAATAGACAGAGTGATTCAAGAAGAAGATTTATATGTATAATATAGTAGAGAAACACTGATAATTTTAGAGATTTCTAATGTGATGAGATGTAGTGTGCACCCGTGCGAAGCTGGGCGGGTCGCTAGTTAATTATAAAATTATTTTTTAAAAAAAATAGATAAATATTACTAACTAGAAACAAGTACATTTTGTTTTACAAAACAATAAACATCTTCAATCGTTGCAAAACCAGTTATTTAAATACCAAATTACTAAACCAATTTTAACAAAATTTCTGTGAGTCCAATCTAAAAGTCCTTTCAAATAAAAAGAGAATTTTCTAAATCGATTTATGAATTCTGATGAAGTTCTAAGGTAACAAACATAAAAAAGTACAACCGAATTGAGAACTTCTTGTTTTTTTTCATGTCAATTAAAAAGTATTAAGGAGTGGGGGTGACATCTGCTGCGTTATCTTTTGTTTCGCAGTCTCATCTATATAATTAATAATCTATGGTCCCATCACTTTCTTAGTCAAATATTTCTATAATACGAAGTCGAGTAAAAGCCGCGCAGTAACAATTATAATTTACATACAATGCCAGGTGGAACTGTCGCTCCGCTGTATCATAATGTCCAAAAGTATAAATTAGGAAAATGAAACGACAATATAATGAGAAACCAAAACAGGTAACCATCCAGCACCTACATTAAACGCCAATTAATTTTACATCTAATGTTTCTTCTCAATGTGTATAGCGATATTGTGTTGAAGAGAAGAAGTTGAGAAGATGTATTGAATTGATTTGTATATTTTAATAAAAAGCCGTTATTTCTTTGTTGGATTTTGGCAGACTTATTTTGAATTATTATCTACTTTGTTGGTTGTTGTCTACCTCGGCTTTGCACAGATTAGGTCTTTCACTTTTCCATTCAATTTTAAACATATTTATATAAACCTTGTCACAATAAGAAACACAACACGGGCTTACATACATTCGGAAATTGATTTTTATTTATATAAATTACTAGTAATTGATCATGTCTAGTTCGTGCGGTAACTTTAATTTCTTTTATATTTAATTTATACTTATATAATTATATTTAATTTAATTTACCATACTAATAAAAAAAAATGCTCTGACACCTTATCGGATCGTTCAATCACGGCAATCAATCAATGTGTTCCTAATTGAGAATGAACTATGAATACTACGTTTACATATTTTTTTTATTTTTAAGTGAATATTAAATTTTGTAAATCCACATATACCTACTTTTAGAGTTTAATCTTATGGTTTATGAATTTTACAAAACGTATGTATAGGTACATTGAATGTAATTTTGACAAAATTGTAATAAGTAATTAGTTGTCTAATGTTCCTGTGATGTTAGTTTCTTAAAATGATCTTTCCGATAATCTAACCCGGGATCTTATTTACTCAAAACTTGTCTAAATCCAATAATTAAACCAAAGTATTAATAATTATCATAAGAGTTAATTAATTGTTGTAAGTTCTATTTTATAATTTAAATAAACTCATATAACTTCTTTGTAATAGTGAAATGGAGGAGGTTGACATCAATGGGTGGTAAGTTAATTAGGTATTATGGTGGCAGAACAAGTGGCCCCGTAGTAGGCAGGTTGTGCGGTGCGTTATGAGCTGCCAAACGAACAGCAGACGTGCCGCAGACGCCGCGCTGAAACAGCGTCCTTCTATCTCGTTCCTATTCGATTGCGTTGTATGCGATAAGTGTCCGGAGTTCGTGATTGTGCACCTTCTATTCTGTCAGCTCATGGTACAATAATATAAAAATTATAAAAATGATTTTGGTGAGTAATTCATTATCTGTTTCATAAATAAATTTTCGTGTAAATCTTATATATAATTCGTTGTTCTTAATTTTTTGGTAATTTCTAGTTCCATGAAAAATGTCAATGAATAATTTGAATATATGATCACTACAAAACTACTGGTGATAAAATTTGCATTATTGTATAAATTTTTTATGAAAATTTCATAAATGTGGAAAGCTGACCAATGCGAAGTCGAAACTACTAAATTTAACACAAATATTGGCATAAAACCTTCATGTACAAACTATATTAGATAATCGGTTATTTGATTAGAATTATTTTGTAGTAATCTGTGATATGGATTTTCGTAAAATAATACCAATGGTATGAAATTCCGTAAAGTATGTATTAGATAATGTTGGTGAATTTCCATATATTTTCATGGGAATGATAGATAACAGATTTTTTGCAGATGTACACGCGGAGAAAAGCTAATCTAAAACATCATACATTGTTAAAATCATCTGAAACAGAAATTATAACATATTATACACACTATTAATGTATCTGTATAAAAATGTCCTGTGAAAGTATAAGGTACTTGTATACGTGGCAACTGCCGCATAAATTTGGATAAAACCCGGGTCACTATTTGAGGTATGTCATTAAGCAGTCATATGTATATTTCACTTAGTAATTTTTGAAGATTTTTTATAGATTTAAACATTTTTTACTCCACGTAATTAGGTATACCCATAGATATATATACTTCTACAAAAGTTTTCAATGTATTTACCATTATTTGTATAACCAATCATATTAATTTATTAGGTAGGCTATTAAGTTATTATAATTTAGGTATATAAAAAATAGACGTTACAATTTTTACAATAACGTTCTCTATTGAATTTAATCTTACATATCTGAATCACTTCATCATCATCATATCAGCCGTTATTTGTCTATGGCTGAACATAGGCCTTCCCCATTAATTGGCAGGATTTGCCAATAGTTGCCACGCTTTGCAGGCGAGTTGGTCTTAAATTATGATAATGGTATAATGGTCTTAAATCTTAAACACATGCATTTACATAAATATCCTAACTGGCACGTTTTCGTCGGGCGCATAAAAGTTAGGTTTGACGTGATTAATAGGGGCAATATATTATATCTCTACCTCATCACATAATTTAATCTTAAAACGAACTGTATAATTTTTTTTTTTTCGTTGTTTACACTAACTGTTCTTTTTTAAGAAATTATTAACGAGAGTGTAGTAGCCTTTATTAATTAGAACGATTAAGCAACATTTTGTGCAGACGTTCCCTTCGTGTAGGCACCTAAGGAGAAGTTATAACTATAAAACGGGCGACGTGTTCATAAAAAGATTTCTGGGCAATTGTTTAAAAATTAATTTAAGATATTGAAATTTATTTATATAATATAATAAAATAACATCATAAAATAATTTTTACTATATAATCGGTCAGTTAAATATTGGAATCTGATAAAAAATTTACCAACTGAATATAATTTATATTAAACTTCTATTATAATAATCATTGACGTTTTACTTCAGTAGAATACTACTTTTATCCTTTCTGATCTTATAAATATGTAAGTGGCTTTGTTTGTTACGTCTTAACGCCTTCACGGCTTAACCACATGTACGAAGTCGTGGGTAAAAGTAGTACAGAAATAATTAAATTAAATATCACATATTGCCAAAATTTGATGGGTAAAATAACACACAACTAAAATGAATATTCTTAAGCCATTCATCCAGATTGTTAATAGTAATAAAGAATTAGTATGGTATTATTAATAGCAATTAAGAATTGTAATGGCATCATTCTAATAAGTTTTGTGACTTTATATTACTATCCCTTTCTTTTATATTAGCGTACCCTATCTATACAGTGCCTACATAAGCTAATAGATATAACTATGCTGAGGCTAGTGACTAGAAATCTTCAACAATGTAATAACTTACCGCTAATCACAAATCTCCAATACACAAAGTTTGCATTATAATAAGTTGCAACTGTTATCCTAATAAGAAATGGTCATATTCCACTAGTGGAATAGTATATGGCTAATCTTATGGCTAAAACTATGCTATTGTACTTTTGGTGAACAACCATATTCACGATAATACTATTTCTTGAGTCGTTATTTATAAAACTGTAATCAGACCGTTTTATATGTAGAATATGTTTAAACAGCGTTAAAGAAGAAGGTTTTTAATACATCTATATTTTTTGTAGCTACGCGTACATACTCGTATTATGCTACGCTACAGTAAAGCAGATACATGATATAATTTTTGTTTTACTCTAATCTGTCTACGAAATATTTCGTCGATCATCGGTAAGTTTTGTTTTACAAACGAAGTCGTTATTTATTTCCGGAGCAAGTAAAAATTGCAATTGTCTGTATTGTGACACAGTAAGATCGTTAATTTTGAAGTTGTTATAAGAGTAAAATATAAAGATAGAAAAGAAAAATTTTAAATTTTTAATAACTTTACGCTAATCAATCACGTGCTAACATCCTCCTCTGAAGGAAGGCATTTTTAGTAATGCTAAGGATAATAATCGATATTAAATGGTAAATATATCCCATTAAGTCGTCGCCGCGATAAGTTAATTAACCATACTTCATCCTCATCGTTTTATTTTCCATCAGTGTTTCTACATTGTTTACCATTAACATAAGATGGTGTAACGTGTTTCGTCTCTGTTAAATAAAAAATGTTCTCTTCGTATAGAAAGAAACATTACTAAACATATAGAAATTTATATAGTTAAGTACAAAATTCGCTGATTGAAATTGTGGACAGATTTCAATTAAGGAGTTTTACTTTGTTCACACATATCTTAAACCATTAGAGCTAGAAATTTTGTAATGTAATATGTAAGTCACTTAGACTGCTTATGTATTTTCATACAAAAGATATCAACGCGCTACAATTTTCATCATTACTGTAGCATAATGTATTACATACTGACAGACTGGTAATGTCTGGCAGTATGCGTGTTTTGTAAATGTGTATATGGATCTGAATTTTCTGGCGGGACTACACAGCAAGAATAATATTATGTTGTACCACATTAATTATCGAAATATGGGCAAAACAAGTGTTTACCACAACGGTTTGTTTAAAAATATCCAAATATAAATATTGCATCTAATTTTTTTTAAGTAAATATTATATTATACTTGTACCTGTTCAATATTAACAATATGTAAATAATATATAAAATGTCTATAAGTTGACTCTTTTGTGATGAGTATATGAAATGTGTAGTCGTTTATTGTGTATTGTGACGATTGAAGCTTTTTGCGAAGATAAAGTGTCAATTATTTTTAAATATTAAAATATATAGTTTTAAAAGATAAGTTTATACATTTTTATATACTTACCATATGGGAAATGGACAATTTTAAGAAAGCTATATATGAGTACATGTGTTGAACACATAAAATTTAGAACTCGGGCGAACGAAGTCACGGATAGGTACTGCTTGTTATTTAAAACACGTCACTCCGGTATACATTGTGTTTGGGCTTTGTGTGTTTAAATTGGTCGGTTAATAAGTAACACTTTGTAAGACTTGGAGCTTAATTGATAAGTTTTAATTTTAAATCCAGGGAAATCACGTAACTAGTGTCAGTGGCGCATGGCGACACAGGTGCGTGGGCTCATCTCCAGCTCCGAAGTGCCGACAGGTCATCGACACATAAAACATGTGAAAGTGTTAATAATTCTTTCCTTGCGCACCCACTCGTCCACTGGAAAACACTGATTTGTGATCACATCCTCGGGTTAAAATATAAAAAAATTAAAACACCGCAAATAATAAAATAGCTATACAAGTATGTTTCTTCATTAAACACATATAAAGGCATGTATTATATTGTATGTTTTTTGTTATTTATTTGTTTTACGTGATATGTCACATAAAAAAAATCTATCATAGAATAAGTCCAAAATATACTAAAATAATTATATTATAATATAACCTAAATGTGTACTAAATTTCATCAAAATCTTACTCTTTGTCTCTTACTCTCTCTGTCATCTTTACAAACCTTCATATTCATTATATTAGTAAGTTGTATATAGTAATAATGGGAGCAAAAGATATAATAATAAAGTTTAATTTTAATTGGTTCCATTAGCCAGGTCTATGTTGGTTTGTATGATGATTTTATTATACATTCCTTTAATATCTACGTGATAATGCAGTGAAAGTACAGGATACGGAAGCATAACACTTAGTCCTCAGGAAAGGCAACGCATGAGGGGTATTATGGGCGACATTAAGTTTACTCGTATAAAAATATTTTAAAAAAGTTGCATAAAAACCTAGTATTAAATAAGTAAAATTAATGGGTATTTATGCAAACGAAGGACATGCTAACTTAATAGATACTAAACTGGTAGATATTTGGTTCAGTAGACATTACTCACTTATCTTTTATCATAGACCTCATATATGTCACACTTTCAATCCGTTTTCTATGTAGTCAGAAGCGTGGTGAACTATCGTTCAATATACAACAGCATAAAGTCGTGTACACACTAGGAAACAATTAATGTTGCGTAAAATAATGAATACTGACGCATATCTTTTTTATATAACAATTCAAGATACGGATCACGTGACGTATTATCTGACAGCGTCGTGTGATGTCTCGCAACTCTGTCTTATTTGATGGCGATCATCATGAGTTACAACCTATTGTTGCACCTTAATTATTGGCTAGTGAACACGTGGTTTAGGAGTATCACTATTATACTGTCAAATAAGTGTACTTATATTGTCATTTAATAAGTACTTAATGCAAAGCAGATTTTTTTAAGCTACTTACAATGGCAAACAATCTGACGGCCCACCTGACGGAAAGTGGTAACCGTCGCCTATAGACGTGAGCACTACCATGGACATAATCTTACTAAGTTATGCTTAAACTCTACAAGATACAATAAAGTTATATTACGGTATCATTGATATATATATATATATATATATATATATATATATATATCATAATTTTTGTCTCCCGATTGTCGTAAGAAGCGATTATGAGACCGAGTGTAATAGTGTAGCGTAGTAGTGTAGAGAAGGGGTAACACAAACCGTTATACTAGGTTGCCTTGTCAAATTAGTTGGTAGTAGTAGTTGTCTTCGTCCTATGGGAAGAGATCTGTGCCTAACATGGAATGTTAATGGTTGTTTTTTAATGGATGATAATGGAATGGTAACCCCGACTGCGCTATTGGTATACACTGGCGGGACACCAGTGAGTGACGATAGGTGAGGATGAAGCAGGTCAGTTAGTCCACTGTAACGTAAATTTAACAATAAATCAATCACGACGGTCTCCAAGGGGAACCACGAGAAGGTCGACCTGACAGGGTATATTGCTAACTATAGAGCTACTAATTCCTATTACTAACAATCCCTTCTCCCCCATGTTAATGGGTTGTTATAGTTATAATCATTATGACAATATTGAGACGATACAAACGCGACCGGCGGGCGGCAGTCGCCATTCGTTGCGATGGGCAAATCGTATGTCGATGCCGCGGGCCGCAGAGACGTGGGCGTCGAACCGCCCGTGGCGCCACTCGGTCTGCGCGCGCGCATTTCCCACGCCTCTCTCCCCAACCCTCCGCAGTTTGTCGTGTATCGATGCGAAGTTTTATTAATAAATGCCTCAAAACTTTCACTGCCAAATACATACAAGTTTTTGGAAGTGCGTGAATAATTATTTTTACGCGGAAACCTGTTCATAATGTACTCGTAATGCCAGACAGTTAAAACCTAGGAGGCATCACCTAAGTATAGTAACTGAGACGTTGACCCGACCGCTTTATGAATAATTCTTACCTACATACGTGTATTCTTTAATATATTTACATATTGGGTAAATAAGTAGATAACTTTCTATAAATATACCAATTTTTGTCTTTTCATACCTAAATAAATAAGAAATGTAATTTGTGAAGGATTTTCCATTTTTATTGAGTAATAGAATATCTAACAAAATTTGCATTATGTTGTAAAACAGACTATTTTTTTCAATGCCTGATCTTTAGGAGAGATATTCGGTTTCCCTTAAATTTAGGATTTGTATTCCACAAAAAATCCAAGATCAGTCGTGAAAAAATCAATTATTTAAAAAATCTACTTATTTTAATTTAAAATCTAAACTACTGAACCGATTTTCATAAAATTTCTATGGGACCAATCTGAAAATATATCTTTGAAAACAAAAAAAAATACCCTACCGCATCTTCAACTAATCGAGAAATATACATAAATAATTGTGACGATTTGAGCACCTCCTTTTTTTAGTCGGTTATAAAGCTAATGATTTAGATTTTATTCAGTACAATGAGTTTCGTATAGTTATATATCGTTTAATGTAAAATTATATATGCCACTACTCTGCCACCATACTTAAGTGTACAACTAAGAAAATTATACAATTTAGTATTGGAGAAGAATAACGCTAAGTACTCTATGGTATATAAGTACGCTATGGCATAATAGTTATATGTGTATGTATAATGAAAATTAGATATTAGAAATATCTGTGAAATAATTTTTATAACGATATTGGAATTATTTAGTAACACTCAACGTTAAAATAGAGATAAAAATGTCATTTCTATTTCTCTCTGTTTAAACTATAATAATTTTGAGATTCATCGCGATGTCATTACAGGCACTATAAATGGTAACTACATATACAAATTAAGAAAATATTTGAAAATAAAGACAAACTTAATTTCCACAAATATGTGAGAGAGTATCTATTTATATATATATAGTATAGTAAATATTTATTATGATAATAGAACGTAATAAATACATTAAAAATATTTTGTACTAAATTAAAATTAGGTTGCTAATTTATGTAAATTTTGGCAAAGCATTTTTATGCAGGTATAATTCAGATTCATGTAACTTGTCTTTCATATAATTCGGTTTTAATAAATAGACATACACTATTTCAAATGCTGCTAATTAAACATAAAATAATTTTGGAATTATGTGGCCATTAATGTTATAAAAAGAATTATATTCAAAAAAATATTCATGTGTACTTAAAAATTTCAAAATAGCATTTTTATTATTTTTAATGTTTTTCCCTGTTTTAACAACATTGTATGTATATAAAATTTAAGTAGGATTATAACAAATTCTGTAGACACATAATAGCTATTTGAGAAATGCCATGTGGCCAGTCCTAACGGAATCAATGACGGAGACAGGTTCTTAGGCTGTTTTATGAGCTAACCATTGTGCCAGTACTGAATGACACCTACTTAGTTGTGCAAATACTTTCATATACTATACGAATTTAAATATTTCAAATAATAAGAATAATCTAAACGCATAAATAAAGTTGAACGAGTACCTATATAAACGAATTACAGTAATATTAAAAAGAGTAAAATTTGCTAATTGTTAACATAAAATATTAATGATGTTCTGGATAGTTTCACAAAAACTTCACAGGTTTTTATTCAAAGCCAAAGTTCTATTCGAATAGTGACTTTTGTAGAATCGTACAAGCTATATTTAATAATAGCACTTCAAATCTATTCAATGAGAAATAAACTTTAAATATAGCCGCAATTTTAAACTAATACAAACAATGAAAACAGATTTTTGAATTCATACGGCGTAATTTACACTAGATTAGTATTGGTTACACGTGTTAAACGGACAGTAAAATGCGAACAAATCTCTAAAGTATCCATCAAAGATCCTGTCTATTGGGCAAAAAGCCAATTCGCACGACAAAGTTTAAGTGCAATACCTGCGAAGAGCAAAATTGCATGAATTATATCATCGTCAATTATATTTAAAAAATTACACATAACACAGAGTGGTGTATTGTTTCTTATATTAAACAGTAGTTTCTATTTTTTATCTATTATAACTAGCGGCCCGGTACGTGCTTCGCTACGTATAAAGTGAAATAATAAAAAAAAAATTAACACCAAATTCATTTGTTCAAATAAAAAAATATTTTATTAATTGCTAGCTATTGATGAATGACCGCATGAATGACATAACAACATGTTTGTATTGTCAACACTGAAAAAAGTTATAATTTGACAGCACATTACCCCATCTTAAAAAAAATTTGAAAAACACAAAAACTACTCGTATTAACAAAATGATCCGCCATTTATTGAATTTATTTGTTACAAAAAATGTGGTAAATGAAGTACCGCTCGACCGATTTTGTGCAAACTTCACATAAACCACCTACTAAATAGTCCGAACAAAGCCTAAACATTTGGTTTGAATAGGTGAGTCCGTTCTTGAGTTATAAAATTACGACGAAAAGTGGCATTAATTTTTATATATATAGATAATAAAAAAAAAAACAAGTAAAGACGTCGGCCTGCTAGTCACACTGCCTCTTCGGTTGTGTACTTGCTTGCTTTTTATTGGTAAGTACCTATTGACACTTAATCAATAGGACAAAAGAAGTAAATCATGAGCTCAGAACATAAATTTTTAAAGTGTGTATTGGTGACCATGACTCATTTTCATTTTCCTCAGTTTCTGTGATTGATATTAATAATTTTCATTATGAAACAAGAATCCTGAGAAACAGGATAAGGAGTTGAAACGTTGATTAGTATAGGATATTATTAGGATAGCTTACCTACCAAGCTTTGTCGTGTGGTTTCGGCTTAGAATAGGTTTCCCTTTCCTTTCTAGTGGGTGTCGTAAAAGGTGACTAAAAGAACTTAATGGTAGAGGGATGAGCAGCAACCACTCTTTCGAAATATCACCTAACCTAACTGCGGTTGTCAATCCGTCTGCCAAGCATGGCAACTAATGACTAAATCTCCTTTATGGGCTAGGCTTATGTTCAGCAGTGGACAGATAATGGCTGATATGATGATGATTTGACCTAATCGAAATGTAAATAGCCGTCTTCATTATCTGGAACAAAACATTTTTTACAATTATATTATTTGGTATTGCAGGCATAGGTTACGGTAACCGCTTATCATCACGTGGGCCGTATGCTTGTTTGAACCTCAGTGGTATAAAGAAAAAAATCTAAAAACGTATCTTACATTATCAATGTATCATTTAGGTAGTTAATTATACATACTACACTGCTGAATATAGATCTCCTTCGTAGATTGTCTAAAAGTACTTAATAATTTACGAGTATATATTTATAATACGATAAAACAGGTTAACTGTAATCCCTCATATATAACAATATAATAAATTATTCGATAGGTATCTAATTTCCAAAAGTATTGTCTTTACTATTACGTAATCCATGTAATTGTATTAGTTTGATGAATGAAGATTGGAGATGATTGTATTAATGAATCAATAATAATACCTACCTATAGTAAATGCAACTATGAGTAGTTACATGTTGATTAAAGTAGAAATTTAATCGATGTACAAAGGTTATTTTTTAAACTTCCATATGTTATGTACACTTATATTTTTTTAGGTTCTCAGTTTATACATATTTTATATGCGTATCATTTTAGTTATACAATCGCAAATGTTTAATTAATTTTGATATTTTTGTATTCAATAATTATCAAGATGAAATAAGAGCTTGTGAGTACAGAAACTACAAATACTAGTGCCATGAAAACTAAATAGAATCAAAAGATCGTGACGAGTTATCATCTAATTTATTTAAGAAGAAAAGAGCTTTTTACTTAACTTCTAGCGTCCATAATTAATAATACCTATATAGTAAATCTGCAAATGTACCGGGATTAAGATTGCTAGTCTGTTCCTATTTAATCGATCTTTACGTAAGTGTACATAACTAGTTTTGTCCAAGGAAAGGATTGCAGTTCCGATATTGATTGAATCAATGCTAGCAATATGCCCTATCAAGTTAAATTCTACGCGGTCTCTCCAGGAAACCATCGTGTTTAATTACTGGTGAATTCGTCACGTTTAAACAACATTTATTCTTACGTAACATTATTCATTGATGCTCCGTCAGTCTATACGGACGGATATAGCAGGCAAAGTTATAGTTTCATTTTCATTCCATAAAAAAAACTTGTATAAGCATAGCAGGCTGATCGCAGATTGAAAATTACAAGAAAAAAGTCGATAGATTTATATTCATTTGTGGCGATTTTTGCAAAATATTATATTCAATTATTTTATTATATTCACCTAATAGACATGGTGAGTAATGTCTGTAAACAAGACCAACCCCACTGTCACTTACTCTTAAAACGGAAAAACGCGCCGCAGAAATGAGTAATCAAGCGAATCTCAAAACTACCACCAACGAAGAAAGTAAGTTAGAAATTTTGAATGTTACGCGGTCGAAGTCAGGGATGTAACAGACTATAGTTTGTACCTACCGCACATACTTATATGCCAGTATAATAATACAACTTAAAGTAGGACGAAACAATGTACACAAGTCATCTTACACCTACAATTTCACCGGTTAAACTTGAGTAGCACGTGGTCATAATATAAATTTCATTCAGTTAAGTTAGACGATTCGTCAACCACAATGGTATAGAAGTTGAAATGGAAAGCTAACATTGTTGGTCTTTTACATCGTCCAAATGTTTATTGAACGTGTTGGGAGACTGCACATATTGTTTAGCGATGCACTTAGTTTCTTTTAGGGCTTTTTTAAGGATGTTATTTAAATTTACCTTAAGAAAGTTTTAATAGTTCTTTTATACTACAAAGTAACAAATAATCATACAGCCCGTCTGATGGTAAACGCTCAGTGTAGCCTATGAACGCCTGCAACATTAGGGTTGTCACGTGCGTGTTGCGTTGTTTAGTACTAATGTCATGAATGTGAGTTTGTTTATTATCTCTCGGTGCTATTGTTATAAAATTTAATATAGTTATAGTATATAGTTGGAAATTTCGACCTTCAGAACCAACCCCGGAAACGGACGGCCAAACAAAAAAAAGAAGAATTAAAGGCTATTGTGGAAGCGGATCCATCACAAAGCATTTCAGAAATAGCTAGAGGCTGCGGGGTAGGTAATAAAACTGTATTAATCCAATTTACCAGAGGGAGACTTTGTACAAAAGGCGATTGCTTCGGTACCTCTGTCCCATTCGTGTTTCTACCGTGAAGCAGTTGTATTTACATGGCTGTGTTGTATAAAAAAAACTTGAAGCAAATCAGGAAAGCAAAAAAACTTGAACGATGGAACTTGGAAACACGCATCGATTGCTGTGTTACTTTGCCCAACCGACACAATAATGAAGGGATTTTAAATCGAATCATTACTTGTGATGAAAAGTGGATACTGTACAATAATCGGAAGCGCTCGTCGCAATGGTTGAACCCTGAAGACGCAGCCAAATCCTGCCCTGAACGAAAATTTACTCAGAAAAAGTTACATGTGTGTGTTTGGTGGACTAGCGCCGGTGTCGTTTACTACAGCTTTCTAAAATCTGCCCAAACGATTATAGCAGATATCTATTGTCAGCAACTGCAAACGTTGAAGGAAGAACTAGCTGCTAAACAACTGATATTGGTCAATCCCTCTAGGCCACTGCTGCTTCACGACCACGCAAGACCACACACTGCACAACAAAAAACAACTAAGTTAGATAAGCTAGAATTGGAATATTTGCAACATCTACCGTACTCTCCGGACCTTGCTCCAACAGATTACCATTATTTCCAGAATTTGGACCACTTCTTACAAGGAAAAAAAATCAAATCCGATGCGGCAGTCTAAACCGCCTTCAAAGAGTTTATTGATTCTTGCCCCCATGATTTTTTTAGTAAAGGGATCAATGAACTACCTGTGAGATGACAAAAGTGCATAGATAACAACGGTGCATACTTTAATTAATTAAATATATTTTACAAAAAAAAAAAAAAAACTATATTCCTTCCGTACAAAACGGCAAATTCATATGTAAGGACTTAATATAATTTGACACCGAATTTATACGTAAAAATGCATAAAGGGGAAGAGCAGTGCTCCTCTTGTTCCCCGCAAAAAAAAAATATGGGCACATTTATAGTTTTTTTATCGAATTTAAAAAATCATGAAGTCTCTATCATCAACTATCCAGTATCGGGTAAATAAGTCTAAGTAAAATTTTGATTCGCATTTTTGTTATTACTAGGCGAGGGGCTTCGCTCAAAGCAAGTTCGCTTTTCCCACCTACCCTCTTTATTATCACACTTTTAATCCTACTAAACTTAACTTTTATTCGCGTATAGGTTCAGCTAAGCCGTTGCACTTCGACTCATTGGGATCTTTTGTGCTTCCATCTGCCTTATACCATCATTTTATAGATTCTATGTGTTACCTTTACGTTATCTCGCGGCTTAAGATATCTATAGTCTTCTGGCTCTGGATAAGCCATTTCCAGTAGACTCCTGCACATACTTATCCAACATATCACAATTGCACATCATGTGTTCCATGGATTCCGATTTCTCACCGCACAATCTGCACAGAGTGTCCGAGGATAGACCTATCTTGTATATTATATTCCTTACTTGCATATGTCTAGTTAAGGCACCCATTATGAACCTTGTTTATTGTCTGCCACTACTATAGATGAGTTTATCCCATCCCTCAACCTACTAAACTTACTTAGAAAAGAAAGGTATAATCACTAAATGCTGGTTATATAGGCTGAGACATTTTCCATACTTCATTATGCCAGAAAAAAGGAATGGCCGTCTGACTTAAACTGTACTTAGATATACATTTATAGGTATGTTGCTTTATTCTATATGTTGTATAATGCAAACTATATATGTATACTTATTCATTCATAACCTACAAAATACTGATACTTAAATAGGCATTTATTTTTTACGATTTCTTTAAATTTTGAGTTAAAATATGTTGTAAAGTAAATTTTTGCCCGTTATTTTGTACGCGTAGATTTCAGAAGTAAAAAAATCAATGATTAGACCAATTCTAGATAGCGTATGAAGATAAAACATACATCAGTTTTTAAATTAGACCTTTAAAAACGCAACCGCATCCAATTTAGTCTTTGTGTGATCCTGGAACAAATATATAGACATACACAAATAAAATTTCTGGAAAATATGGTTTTGGTAGTAACCAAAGTGCTATTCCTGAGACCTTTCATATCATTTTTTCTTAAATATCTCCCAAGTACAGATATTGTATAATTACAATTTTATTATATTAATAACATGTGTTCCTTACTATAAGTTCTTTAACCATCAAAATAATCATGAAGACATTTATTAATTACAAAATTTTTGAAAAATTTGGAATTTTTTATTTCTGAATTTTCAAATAAAATATTGATTTCATGACGACAATCTATTTGACTCCTCTAAAACATATTTTATAAATATGTTTTTAATCACGTGTTCTTTAACCGTCAAAAAATCAATAAAAATTCGGTGACCAATAATTTATATCTGAGCCTGATTGTTTTATAATTAAAAATAATAGACAAACGCAGAGATTTTATTGACATTTCTTTTGGTTTTAAAATACTGACGCATATAATAGATTGTCCACAAATGCTTCAATTGTTTAACTTTCGTGTTCCCTCTAGAATACCTCGGAAACAGATAACACCTTTATGTCCTCCGTTAAGAAGAACAATGTTAGGAGCCAACTCGCCTGTACCCAGATTATGTAGGATTCTGAATGCTCACAGCGATCAAATTGACATCAATTTTGGACCCATCAACAGCAGATATAACTTATTGAGAAAAATTTTAGACATAAGTTCTTAATCTACTTATTCTTCAGATATTGTTATTGTCATTGTTAATAATTATTAAATATTATAATAGTGCATGTGGTGTTCACCTGTAAAATACTTTTACATTAGCCAAAATTATTTTTGTGTTATTGATTAAGTTGCATGTAAAATGTAAAAGTTGTAAATTTTGTTGTTGTGAACCTTATTAAATAAATAAAAAATAAAAATAAAAAAATATAAATATTGCCTAAGTATTAATGGCACTATTTTTGCAATGATACTTATAAGAGTGAAAGGGCTATAGAAAGAAGGAAAATTAAATGCAAAACGGCTTGATATGATTCCTGTCATGTAACACTCGAGTTAGATATTCGACGCACGTGCTGCTTTCACTGAAACCACAACCATTGTATCCTGCTAATGCTTACAGATTGAGAACTCTACAAATAAGTGAATAACAGTATAATTACCCATATACACGGGTGCAAGTCATTACATGTGACCTGTATAACAATATGAAATTAAGCGATAGTAGATACCTTTCTGTTTTTACCTAATGGTTGGCTGATAGAGAATGCCATATGGCATCAAGCTTCCATTTGTACAAAGTTTTATTGTGCAATAAAGAATAAATAAATAAATAATAACTTTTCCCAGGGAAAAATTATAATATATAATAAAATAAATTATTGAAATTGGTACTTATGTGTGAGAGCCTATCTGACCTAAGTTCCAATGTTTACTTACGATACAACATATATTCGATAGTTTTTTTAAATATGAAATTTATGACCCTCATTGTATCTATTCACATTTCTTAATTTTTTTTTTAATTGAAATCACAACATTTATTTGAAAAAAAAGCAACTGCTGAGAATATCACCCGTTTTTCCCACCTGGAATTGTATTCCGAACTGGGTGGTAGATTCATAAGTTTACTTGAATAAAAATTATTTTTATACAGTAATATTTATATAGACATCATATATACGTACATACATTGTGTATGTATAGAAACCTATCAAGATTTTTAACCTGTGCTAACGTTTCACATACTTATACATACGAAAAATGCTAGAAAAAGAAAACTGTTAAGTAATGAGTCGCATCTCATATGAATATTCCGCCTAACAATGCTATGCACGAATACTGCAACTAATTAACACACATTTTCACCCTTTAAATAAATCAACATTTTTCTATAACGAACAGCTATAGTGTCACATTTTAAGCATTACCTACTTACGCATGAACATAATAAGGATGGTAGTTAATAATTTTAAATATTTTAAATTATTCAGCAATGGCAGTGGAGGTTCTCTCATGTGGCTTGGTATTTTAACAAGCTCGTTTTCGTTGGACCGAAAAAGCCGTAGCCTGCAATACTTGTATACATCAACTTATTATATTTTTTTATAACAATGTTGTGTAAATCATGTATTTGTGGTTAATTTGCAATACTGTGCTGTATACTTACAAATGGCCCATGAACATCGCAGGGTGCATATATTGGTATATGATGATTTATTTAACTAATATAAACATTTATATTTTTATCGTATAGTCAAGTAATTTATGAGTATTACAGTATATTAGCTTCAGTATATTTCTTATTCATTTACTTTTATAGCTCATCTCTTGCATACATGCTGGTTACGGATTCTCTCTCTTTCTCTCTCCACTCTCAGATAAAATATGATCTACCTAATCGTAAACATTTATGAAAAGGTATGTAAATATATCTATGACAAATATTTTATAAACCTTTACAAGTAGGACAGTATCTATACTTATTTTTATGTTTTAATTTGGCTGCAAGTGACCATAAAATTTTGTATTGTACTGGAAACTAAGTTTAATCCAGAGCTCTAAGTTCCATTTATAATATGGGTTTATGAAATCTGTTCGAGAATGTTTTAAGGTTTCAAATGTCCTCACAGTTGCCTCTCAATACATTTATAAAAACAATGTTTATAAGGAAAAACTTAAAACACTTTCCAAACTAAGCGACTATAATAATAAAAACTTATGCCATAAGGACAAATTACTGCTGCCACTGTGTCGAATATATTGATAGTAGCATTGTATGTTCTTTCTTTCTTTTATTAATATAAAGTTTATGATAATCATTTAATCCAGTATTTTTTTTTTGTTGTACACTTAACTCTTATTTGAAAAAAGCAACAGCTATGTTTCTTGTCCGTTGTTTTCAGCCGAATCTGCATTCCAAAGTGGGCGGTAGATTCATAAAAAAATCTATTCAAACTTGCTAATTATAAAGTTTACTTGAATAAAAACTATTTTTGTCTTATTTTACATTGTTAAATAATAAAAGATGAGGAGAGGGGGCTTAAAAACTTGAAATTTTACTTGAAGACTTATATTTTATAAAGCCTAAATACCTACCATCTAATAAAAAATATATAGAGACAGAGGACCTTCTATTACAGAATGTAATAGAAAGTCTTCTGTATATGATTTATGAGATCTGATAAAAAGATTAATTTAACGAATCCCACTTTATTTAAAAAAAAAACTTATTCCGAAACAATTTTAAAGCTCGACAGAACGTCATATTCATATATGTACATCTCACACAGTACAACGTCACAGCGACCGTGATATAACATATAAAAACCCTGAGGATTGAAATATCACAAATCTGTTTCTTTAATTTCGAGACGAACCAACTAACAAATGGCTGGTGGTTCAACCTCCACCTGCTCCGAAATTTTTCAATTCGTAATAAATTATATTATAAATGTGAATGTAATTTTAAAGCTTAACAACTCAACTAACCGTCACGAAATTTGGCTAATGTACTATTTAGAAAAAAGAAATATAGGTATATGTACACAGAATAACTTTTATTCCGATCAATAAACATATCCCCACCACGCGGACAAAATCAGTGGTAAAAATAATATTAAAATTAATATATTGAAGTATGATATTTATATTTTAATAACATAACTAACCATAAGAGAGTGCAATTAGTAAGTTGTCAGTTGTTAAAATCCTATTAATATTATAAATGTGAAAGTTTGTAACGATGGATGGATGTTTCTTACTCTTTCACGCAAAAACAACTCAACCAATTTAAATAAAATTTGCTACATGAGTAGGTTATATCCTAATTTAGCACAAAGGATATTTTGTATACTGATTCAAGTAAAAAGTTTAACATTTCTATAATTTTTGCAATATTATCGCGGGCTTTTCTGCCATTACTCAAGTGTCTACCTATATATAATTATTTTAATCTATGGACCTTATGTTAATTGTTATGTTATCGTTGTTACAGTTACAAAGAAAGAGCAGTACATTGCTGTTGATAATTGCATGTATTATGCATTCATCGTCACCAAATGATGACCTCGAGAACATGGGAGCCATTTCTCCAAAACACTTTGCTAATATATCTTGTAAGTAGCATTTTACTCATATTGTATTACCATGATCACTGATCAATCACTGATTAATCTAGTAGATTAAAACTCCGCTACTGACTTCTGCAGGTGTAAGGTTATTTTTAATGAAATTGAGCGAATTTAAATGAAGGATGAGCGAAAATGTAATACATATAATGCACACGCGTTGCCTGCTCTCAACCGTAGCCTAAGGGTTGCTAGGTAAAAATAGGTAAAATAATTTTGGTAAATTCTCCTATTCATGTTTTTTGATAAGATTCACACTAAATGGAAGTTCATTTCTTTCTATACAAAGTAACATATAATTGCCTGTATATATGGGGATATAATCTGTCTATCAGGTTGCCCATAGCATTCGAATACAATAATAGTAAACAAAATATATATCCCGTCTGCAAATATTTTTATGTTTATTTTTGTATTTAAAATGCTGGTTCGTGGATTAAATTAATTGCATAGATAACTAGTAGCTTGTAGATTGTTGTAATAAAATTATCATATATTTACAGATGAGATAGAAAAAATGAATCCGAGTGGAGTAGCTTCTATATTTTCTCCACGTATGAACTTCGATCAATGGAAACCATTGACTGGCCGCGGGGATCCGTTACGCAAAGATCCTACTTATGATTATGAACCTCCTTTACTTGAACGTGTTCACTACTGGGCAGATGAGACCCGTTTTGAACGTGACCATTATCCTGAAAAGAAGTCTGAAGTTCTCATGTTAGGAGTATCATCGCGTAGACCCAGTATAGCGCCACGACAGCCTTCAATGCCCAGGAGACACCATAGACCACCACCTCCACCACCGCCACCGAAATATGAAGACTTCACATATAAATTAAGCGACCGGTTACCAATGACAATTCTCGTACCGCCGCCACCTCCACCAAATGGACATCAAACATCGCTGTTTATTTTACCAGAAGTTAAAATACCGGCACCCACAACTCCAATAAAATTGACTGAACCTCCTACATTAGTCACAAAAGATAATACGGGTAATCCAGGTTATATAACTTCGTCATACGCTTTACAAGAAGCTAATCTTATATATCAGTCTTCTACAATTAATGATAATTGGATAATAAATGTAAACGAAACGCAATCTATTCCAAATGCAGTAAGCAGTGACTATGCTGGATGGGGGCCAACAACACCTACGATTAATATTGATGTCGTTAATGATACTCATAACTTAATATCTAATGACGTTTTAAATTTATCTAAGAGTCCGTATTCATTTTATAAACCGATGTTGTCAGAAGCACCTCCACCACCACAGATAACAATAAGTCCTTTACTTCTGCCTACGTTTGTTCCAACAGTTCCTCCATCAACTATAGAAACTACAACATTCAGTGCACTAAAACATCCAAATGATAAAACAACTATAGAAACAATAACAGAAAATCAAGATTACTATGAAAATACAACGACTGAACGGCAAACCACTCTTGCTTTTCAACCTACTCCTAATCCAACTCTTTCAGTCAGAAAACCTGAAAAATCGTTTTTAGATATGTTAGGTCCGATGATGAGTATGCCTTTAGTAAATGGACCTGATAGGCCAGAAGACAATCTTTATGCTCATGCATCAGAAAATTTACAAGTTTACAAAGATCAAACAACTCAAGATATTGCTCAAATCGAAACAATGCAAACAATGCAGCCACCTCCACCAATTAAATTTACAGAGAGTTCAACAATTCTCCAACCATATCATCAAGATCATATGTCTAGTTCTCACAGAACACCTGCTCTTTATAGTCATGATCCTTATTTACATATGCGCTTTACTACTCCAATGTCGACTGTAATACCGGATGATACTTCTGAAACTAAATCGACTACTGTCACACCTCCTATTCCTATGTACTTAATTATACAAGGACATTCAAAAGTAAAAACTTATAGTTCTAAACCTACTTTTAAATATGATAATGATACTATGAGTAACGAGATACCAAAGCAGAATGAAACGAATGAGGTTAAGCATTTACATCCAATTAAAGAAATGAAGAAACCTGAAAAAATAACAAATAGAACAAGCAGATCGCAAAATCTAAAATCATTAGTGGATAAAGGCTACGGTTCTATTGAAATTCAAGAAACGGATATCGGTATTAAATATGATATTAGTGACGGCAGTGAGGTTCCTATTGAAGTTTATAGAAAAGGTATAGTAGAGAGCGATGAGAATGCATATACCTCGTCAAATAAAATAGTACAAGAAAAACGCAATAAAAGACAAATCGATTTAGAGGATTTGCTGCCATTCGATGAAGATACCATTGAAGAATATGTTTATAACTTTTTAAGCGAAAAACGAAATTCATCTGGTATAACTGGATTATTAGCTCAAGCAGTAACCAGTGATGTATCGTCAGTCGTCGACGAACTTGAAGACGATGTTGACAGTGAACATGACGATGAAGAAACGTGAGAAAATACAAGTGAACACAATAAAAATATTTAGTAAGGAATCATATTTATTCTAGTACAATGCCCAAATTGCTTTGGGTGATCGAATTTATAGTTACCCGAATGTAATACCCATTTAATAAACCAAAACATGTTATTTGGATATAAAGGAATTTTAAAATTAATAGTGTATAAAGCTTAAATAAGCTTTATGTTATGTTAAATTTAACACAAAAGAAAATATCACAAATATATGAATATGATGTGAAATAAATATGATTATAACCACAATTTCTGTTTCGTGAAAAAAAAAACAAACATAAATATTTGTTATTATTTCTACAATAAATTAATAAAAGAACAAGTGTAATGGCCAAAACGATTTAAACGTTAATTAGGTATTTAAGACTTATGTTATATTTGTAAGATAGCTATTAAATGTATAATAAGAGAAGCGGTTTTCTTATTTATCATTTGCTTTACTTTAAATATCCACATAAGATTACGGGAGTATAGGAGAAAACATTTCTTGGTACTTAATTTTCCTAGACAATATGGTGAAGGAAAATTTTCTATTCTTCTAATTATGTAGGTGTACATTGACGCATGTCTACAAAAAAGACGTGCGAGGCAGCGGACGCGGCCCACTGACATACAGATTTCTTACCATCCTTTTCGCAGAAATAGATGCAGGCAACTTAGATAAAGTGAAAGCTGCTTATAAACCGATAAAAGTCGCATTTATTGCGATCTACTGTAACCAATAAGGAGTGTTCAATGTTGAAGGGTTACTTATGAGTAAGATCATAATCTAATCATGAATTATTAAAGGACTTAAGGATATAAAGTTAGAAATTGTAAAATCTCGTATATACAACTTTTTGTTATAATAGGTCTAAATTACACAATTAATTTATAAGAATTGAATATAAACTTATAAAGGCCATATTAATTGGAAGATATTTCAATTGAATTAGGACGTCTGTACTTCTGTTACACCAATCAGCTTGACACAGACATACTTTATATTCAGCATCAACCAACCTGATAAAATAACACTCTGTATTTTACTATTGTTAAAATATATATTAGTTAATTTAAAAAATTGTGTTGAAAAATGAAAAACAAAATTACCTTTCATGTTTACAAGTCCTGACTCTGGTGGGGATGATCATAGTTTTCGGAAGAGGATCGTCTTTAGCAGTTTGATAACAACCACGCTGTACTATCCAAGCATAATGTGTGCGAGCCGACCACGAGCGTATAAAACACATAGCATTTTCTGTAATTTAAATAACTGATTTATTAAAATGAAGAAGCATGCTATGAGTATCAGAATTTTCTTCACAGAAAATTTATGATAAATCAATAAATACCTACCTCCAGTGCAATTCATTAGTATAAGTCGACTGCCGTTAAATGCTAGATTAGCCGAGGCAAAGATTCCACCACAGCTTGTCCAGTCTCTTTGCGTGGAGGAACAATTATAACAAACAAGCGATTGAGTTCTAATGATCAAATTAAAAATTGCTAACCACTGAATTATATGCATATTTTATTGATTAGTAATCATTTTCGTAAAACCGAAAAGTTTGATCAAAAATAATAATATTATATATATTTACTTCTTTTTAGACAATACTTTTTAATAGAGATGGCCAGACAATATTTTTAATCATGTACCTAGTACGAGTACTTGATTTCAAATATTGTTTGACATTACTCAGGTAATTCTTAATCTATGAAATACGTGAAATTTCTGAAGTAAGCAATTTAGTGCATAATTTAACATTTATTTATTTATTTAAACATTAATTCATAATGTAATTATATGTACATGTGACGGACTTAACACCGGATGGTGTTCTCTACTAGTCAATTATTAGGCAAACAGAGAAATACTTATTATTCTGCGGCTATGCGGATATTCATATATTATAAACATATAATAAGACTAATATAAACACAGAAATACCTAAAATAAAATATTTCTATAACAAATAATATAGTAGTTAATTTTAAACTCTCGAGTTGTTTACACATATTTTTAAATACACAACAGGGACTTAACGTGATGATAAAGTTTTTACAGGTAAAGATCAGTCCTGTCGTAAGCACGACGTGGTGCAATCCACGTCAAAACGTCGGCAATAAAGAAGCGGGTATGTAAGTACTATTTACCTGTAACGCGATGAAATAATTTAAGTCCCGATTATGTATTTAAAAATAATATAATGACAAATAATGTCTTATTGCAGTTCTCTAAGATAGGTATCAACTTTTGCATTGAGAAAAAAAAGAGAAAAGTTTGTTCAATAGGTATTTGGCATAATTTAAGGTTTATTTATTGAGAAGCTTCAATGATCCGTATTACCATTTTTTTAATAAGCCGTAATTAGTGTGAAGTATTGCCGTGTGGTCCCGGCATAGAATAAACCACTCATTTCTTTCCCGTGGGTGTCGTTAAAGGCGACTAAGAGAACTTAATGACCGAAGGATGGGCGGCAGCTTCCCTCTTAAAACATCACCTAAAAAGCCCGATTGCGGCGGTCAACCCAATTGGAACACCGACAAGCGTAGTAACTATTGGCAAAGCTAATTGAAGGAGATCTACGTTCAGCGATGGAGAGAGAGAACGGCTGATTTTATAATGATAATGAGTGTGGAGTATAACTCCACGCCTCCAAAACTGTACGTAGAGATAATTACCATTAGTGTCTAGTTTTGTTACCGCTCTTCCAAGTAGTACAGTTTCTAATCTCTTCTCCCCTTTGTCAGTCATGCATAATAAGGATGGACTAGCAACATTTCTATACGGTAGGTAAACTGCGCTATAAGTATGTGCGCTATAAGTATGTATCGATTACAAAATAAATTATTGAAATCTGTTCAGAATTACCACGTAAATATAAAGTTAAAAATACTAATCATCCAAGAGATTGAAAATGATATGAAAGTTTGTATATGAAAATAATACAAGAATATACATTTCGTAAATGACCAAACTATATATATATATAATCTCACCTGGACAAAGTATTGTCAACGCACACCGAGTTCTTCTTGTAGTCCTATGAGATGGGCTGAAAAGTCCACTAAACTTTAATGGATCATCACCATAATTCATATTTGAAAAAGTGCCATTGTAACATAATAAACAATGCGTATTATAAAATATTAAAATAGGTATAAACAAATAAATAACTATCATTTCGTTCTGACATCAACATATCATAGCTTACCTGATAAAATAGGTACACATTAAATAAAATAGGTAGGTACATATTATTATACCGAGGTAGGTATTTCTTTTTACTGCTTTACCTGTACCCGTCCAGTTAATTCTCGTTCACGTGGTAATTTTGAGAAAACTTTTAATTACTTTACTCTTAATCACATCGTTAAAAATACCTTATATAAAAACATAAAAAAATTTTAGAAAACTGTGATTCCGAAAATATCCGCTAGAGGTAGTTAAATTTTAAACTAAGAACAAGGGTATTCAATAAAGAAAAAAGTAGTTGTACGTTTTTAATGAAAATTAACGACTTAAAAATAAAAAAAGAATACCACGTACTAATTCTTAATCTATGGACGTAAACGCTAGCGTAGACGTTTACTATACCTACTCTTTAGTATATCATAAATTTTGTGCAAGTTTCATTAGGCCTACATTTGGCACTCAAAGGAGTGATTCCCTACGACTTCGCCAACAATTGCTAATAGTCAATAATATCATAACAGTTTTAGTTGAACCAGTAATTTATCTAAGGATTAAATGGAATTTTCTATGACAAACAGCGCCGTTTACGTGGTAAAAGACAATTCATAATAGTAACTATTGTTCATTTAGAATTTTAAAGGGATTTAGTCTTCTGCAGAAGGAGCATCATTACTAAATATATTTTGCATTACTAGAGATATTATACAGAAAATTTTAATTATAATGTGCTTCTTACTCCACATACGCCAAATCTTGCTTATGTACGGGTATGATGCATATTTAAATAAATATAATTATGATCTTCTCCATCGATTGTGTTCTATATAACATGCACGATTTCAATTCGTACTGACTTCTCTACTTAATCTTATCCGATGTGAAAATATAGACAGGGAACAAAAAGATGGTTTACTCTGAATAATGTATTTCGTAGTATTCGTAAATTGATAACTATTCACTATCGGTGAGGTAACAACTCTTGTAGAACCGTCTTTGGGAGCTATCTTCTAAGTTCACAATCTATTTAATATCTTTACTGATGCATTCAAAACAAGATTTCATGGCATGGTATATTATGTAATCAAGATTTACAACACGATAAAATAGGTACATTTAAAACCACATAAATAAATAAGTCTAGAAATGTTTTGAATGCACCTTACGCAACCGCACGTGCCGCCGCCTAGAGTGAATACCTTCTTAATTAAATTGATTCTTAATTTGTTAAGACAAAAAATTTGTTCGATACAAAGTCATGCATTAAATATTTTGGACCCAAAAATAAAATCAATATCACAATAAAGAACCAGAATTGCAATTCACTAATTTTATTTTGAAAACATTAAAGGTCTAATAAATAATAGTTAACTAAAACAATTTTGAACTATTCTCATCTGTTATTTTTATATACCTACATAATGATTGTACAGTTAGTATTAATTCTGAATTAATAATTTTACAGTGAAATCGCTATTTAGTATATGGCATAGATGACTTGATAATAGTACTAAGACTATTTTAAACTGTAACATAGGCAAGGTACATACAGATAATATGTTATGTCACATTATCTTAAATATATTGTATAGACATAAATAAAGGCAGTGTTACTTTACAATTAATAATATAAATGCAAAGCAAAGGACATAACATAAAAAAATAAACATACAAGTATGTAATAATGGAAGATGTTCATACATTAAAAAGTTTTCCTCTCATTACACATGAAATAACTTATTCAACAATAATATTGAATACACAGAAGTATAAATTTTATAAACCAGTATAGGCTATTCCAATATACACAACAATTTAATTATATTAATGATTTTCTTTGATATAAATGCAAAAATATAGTTTTATAAGCCAAGAAAACAATTCAATGTCTCAAAACTTCAATATGAAGTATGTAGGTACATTATACTTGAAGCAATTATTATAAGTTGACAACCTCTTTAGGACTATAATAAAATACTTCATACCAATGTGTACATTATGAAACTCCAAATAACAAAAATAAGTGATTTCAAATTATTGCTAATTATTTTAACCTACTACTAGAAGGGATAATAGTTTTTGCATGATTCTTTTCAACAATAAGTAATTAAATTACATGTTACAAGAAAATTAAACAAACTCCAATGTTCAACACTAATTTGACTGGGTATATTTTTTTTACATATTTTATTGCATAGCTTAATAGAAAGAAATAATATAAATATATAATCAAAATAGTTTAGTGGAACATTGGAATCACTGCATATGAATTATAGAACAAATGGAAAATAATGACAAATATTTTGTGTTAAATGTTTAAATATTAATAAGTACATTTTGTCTAGTACTAGTAAATGAGTATAACTAGCTACTAACTGTATCCCATACACAAATTGATATTGGTTTTAATGATGAACAATGGGTTCATATACTGTATAAAAGTTTGTTAATATTAAATTTCAATGTCTGTTAATGATCTGAATAGTCAGCTTGGACATAAATGTGTATAGAGCATAGTAGAGTGTAGAGAGAATGAACATAGTGTAGAGAATAATTCGTCAATTAAAATTGACAAATAAAAGCCTAGTGAATATATGTCCTTTTTATATATTAAGGTGTGAAAGCAATGTAGAAGTTGGCGGCGGCAAGCCTATCATATCCAATCAATGAGAAGAATATTTAACTTCTAGACAGGTCAAAAAACAAAATTACAAATAGTGCATAAAATATACATTTCACATAGGAAAACCAATTCATTTAACATGGACAATAATATTATAAACATGTAATAGAAACAATGTTATTTAAATAAAACAGTATTAAACATGCTAGATGAATTTTGGAAAAATAAATAGTATTCTCATTGTTTGGTCACAAATTTATAGAGGGAAACCTAGCTTACAGTCCAATCTAGTCCCCAGCGCTCTGATACCTTTAACTGTGCTGCAGCTGCATCTTTAAGCGAAAATAAGTGTGTCATTTCCAATTCTGTTTTAGCTAATGCAATAGCTTTCTCAAACAATTCTAAGGATCGTCTGAGATTTCCTCTGAAAAAATAAAAAATAAAAATTTAAATATGATTTTATTATAGAATAAGAATACTTTTTTGTGTATTTTTCTATATAAATGTTAAATATTATCATTATAAAATTCAATTTATCTCCAGATTGGAGACAAAAAAAACTATAAAAATTTTATATAACATGCTTAATTTTACATATAGTTAAACAGCATAAAAAAGTGTTATTGTAATAAATTTGGACATAATTATGCAATATCTTTAGTTGTTAGTTTGCACCATCTAAAATAATTTTGATACTGAATATTATATAAGCAGTGATAGTAGATTGTAGATAAAATTAGATAAGGTTAACAAGTGTCACATGATAAACAATCGAAATGACATATAATATTGGTAAATCTAAAAGAATTAGTTACAACAATACAAATAAGAATAGTACTGATTCTACATGTCCTAAATTTTAGTTGGCTCCTTGCCATTAGTTTCATGTCTTTAATGATTCACAAAGAGTTAATGAATCTGCATTTTAAATGTGTAGATAATTTTATTTTTCAACATGGGTGTCTTTATCCCATTCATGATTCTACTACAAATATTGTTAGTAATAAAAACTACCTCATCATTAGCAATATACCCTGCTAGGTTGACTTCCAGTCTTCTTGTGATTGTGATTAATTCCTATTCAATTCATCAACATGGACCCATTAACTTCACTTCATTCTCATTTATTATTTCTCACTGATACCCCACTAATATAAACCAATATGCAAGCAGGGTGACTATTCCTTTTCATCTATTGAAAAACAAGGAGCTTGTTTGTCAATCCAAATTGCAGAATGTTTTTTTTTTCTTATAAGAGTATTAAAATAATTAAATGAATGTTATAAATGTATTCTCACCTCTGTACTTCTATGGTGCCAAGTGTTTCATAAGCAAAGTCACATTTGTCATCCATTTCAATAGCTTTGTTAATCAGTTTTACAGCCTTATCAAAGTCTGTACTCTTTTGTAGTTGTACAAGTCCTTTGTGAACATATAGTGTGGCATTGTTGGGGTCAACTGATAGGGCAGAATCAAATAGTGCCTCAGCACGTCCCCATTCCTGCTGATCTGAAAGAACTTGTGCAAACAAAATGTATGCTTCAGCACAACGTGGAAATCTTTCTAGGGCACGTTCAAAGTCAGCTCTTACTTGAGCTATAGCTCCAACATTTTTATTTATTTGTGCATGTCTATAATCAGCATAACATTTTTGTATATAAGCAATGGAAAAATCAGGGTTGAGTTCAACAGCTTTAGCAAACTCTGCTGTTGCTTCATCCATTCTTTCTAATAACAAGTAAACTTGACCCCGATGATGGTAAATATCTGAATTATTTGGATCTAGTTGTGCTGCTCGTGCAAAGTCTTCCAAACAGTGATCAGTGTTCTCCAACTGAGTATATAAAGATGCACGTTTGATTAATGCATTTACTTTCACTTTAGTTGAAGCATCACTATCAATGACTTTCCCAAGATCCATTTGGGCCTCATCATGTCTTCCCAAAAGCAAGTAGAATGTTGCACGCAATAACAATGCCTCATTTTTGTACTTTCCATTACCCGACAATTCTTCTGTACAAGCGTCCACAATAGCATCATAATCCTGAGTGTTGAGAGCAGTTTTTGCTTTAGCAAAACCGCCTGTAACATTATCATCAAGTTGTATTTTGGAAATGGGATCCTCAGAAAATGCAGAGAAATAGGTCTTAATAAAATGCTTGGATGGCATAACAGGGCGTCTTTTAGCAAGTGCCTCTCGAGCATGCTGTCTACCTAACGCTTTTAAAATCCGATCAGCATTAACTAGAGAGCTCTGAACTTGGAATCTTTCCAGAATACAAGCAGAGGTAACATCTTCTAAAGCCAGAACAAGGTCTCCACTTTTTTCAGCCGCGCGAGACCTTCGCAGAAATGCCTTCACATATTTTTCATTGAGCTTAAGCGCAAAAGTACAATCTTCTTTTACTTGCTCCCACATTTCACGTTTCTCATAACATGCAGAACGATTCTGATAAAAAGTGGCAAGATCGACTGGACGATCGGGAGGGCAAGCCTCAATAGCTTCATTATACAAAGCTATAGCCTTGTCGTATTCGCCTGCATGAAAAGCTCGGTTTCCGGCACCCTTCAGCTTCATAGCACGGTCGATAGCGCTTTCAGAGGCTTTTGTATTGTTTTCCTCGTTATCCAAAGATATAGTCGTCTTAGTTTTTAAATCAGTGACTTTCTTATTTTCAGAATCTTCTAACCTATTTCTTAGATATAGGTAACCTAAACCAATGGCTAAAGGGGCACCTAGAAGAATGGCCAATTGCCATTTAGGAAAAGGTGTACTCCCCGTAGACGCCATATCGTTGAGATAAAGGTGTAAAGTACTGAGTCGTAAAACAATCCACCATTTACTACAACAAACAACCGAATTATATTATTCATAAACTCAAAATTTTACACTTTCTGAACCTTTTCTGCCATTTCTTTGAACCTTCAAGATTATGACTCGCACCGCGCTGAAATCTGCAATAGACAAATTTTTGACAATTTAGTTTTTTTTTTCGGTGTTGCATTATCGTAATAATTGACTATAATGCCAGTATAAATTATCATAAACAAACATCGTAATGGGTGCGCATAAACTTTTCGCAAACGTTCACACGATATTTATTTATTCAAAAGGAATTTGAAATTTATCTGTAATAAAAGAATTAATTCCAATAGAAGGTTAATAGGTACTTATCACTGTATTACAGTAGTAGTTTGTGGTAGTTGATAGTGAGCAAAGAGTATATAACCAAGGGATAAGAGACTGCACTTCATACAAGCCATGTAAAACAACTTAGTCATGAATATCTCGCCAATCTACACAAAAAAACTTCTTTACTCGTTATATTAGCCATCCTGATGTTCAAAAAAGAAACGCGAACCATGTGATAAAAGAAATATATGAATTTTATGTCAAATCGCATGTTTCGAAGATTTTTATGAAACAAAGGGTAACATTCTTAAATATATTTATTACTTTATACAATATTGCCTTGAGATATCAATTTCTTAATATTATTGGTTTACTACCACTATATATATATATATATATATATATATATAGAAAATGATATACAGCCCTATTATCCTACCAAATTCAGATAAAACCTGCTTGTATAATTTTTACATAAACTGTGTCGAATATATAATCCAACAATGTAAAATTTGTCATTGACAAATAATTGACATATAATATTTTTTTTTTCTTTCAAACATATTCTATACACTAGTCTGCTATGAATTTAGAAAAATAGTAACTGATGGTGTATATTTCTGCCTTTTTTATTAATTATATTTGCATAAGAAGAAGAAGGCAACCATAACATTTACAGTTTTTATTATTCCTTCTATGTAATTCTTGTTCTTAGGCTAACCGCAAGACTAAAAATGCTTGACGTTATCTATCTTCTGTATTTAGATGACTATGGTTAGACCAAAGAAAGTAGATACTATCTATGTACCTTTAATACTTTTTACTGGTGAAAACGGTAGCAATGGGATTCTTAGTCTCTATTACTAATAATCCCTTTCCTCCTAAACCTAAATACTTAGGTTTTAATCAAAACATTATCTTTAATCTACGATACCTACCAAAGATAATGAATATTTTCTAGACAGATATGAGAAACACATTGACATTGACATATCAACTATCACGAGAAAAAGGCGGGAAACTCGAATAAGAACAAGCGGGTTTTTTAAATTTTTTTTATTAATTTATTAAAACTATCTCTATCAATTCTTATTATTGAATAAAATATTATATTTTCACTAAATTCAGCGACAGTAATATAATAAGCATTCATGGGGAAGCGCAGTTGTAGAAAATGGAAAAAAAAAGATGACGATTCAGGTGATGTAGACCATGAACCTTGTAATGACAAGGATATATATTCGGAAGATACTTCTACTGACTCAGAATCTGAAATTGATAAGGCCGATAAGTATAAACCTTACTACGTCACAGATTATATTAGAAGATATCCCGAGGAATCCCCTGGGACAGAATTTGTTGTCTTTGTAGAATCCTCAGATAGTCAGAAAACCATTGGATCCAGAGACTTGCTCTCACTCTCCTCCTGTTTAAAACGATTTAATAAAGGGGTAACTTATCTTAGATCTATAAATAAATTCAAAATCGGAGTATACTTTCAAAAGCCAGACTTAGCCAATGCTTTTTTAAATAATAAAACTTTTTTAAATGACTACCATTTTAAGGCCAGTATTCCTGCTTCTTCAACAGAAGTTACAGGCGTTATTAGAAATGTACCTACAAATATATCTAATAAAAAAATATATACTATGATATCGAGTTCTAAGAAAATTATTGCTATTAAAAGAATTTTAAGAAAAAATACCTTGACTCATGGATATGTGTTACAGCCAACTCTAACCGTGACAATTACTTTTGCTGCATCTGTATTACCTGAATATCTGGATATTGGAGGTTGGCGCCACAATGTCACTCCATATATACCACCAGTTAAACAATGCTACCGGTGCTTGAGGTATGGACATTTAGCTAAATTCTGTAAGAATTCTGAGCGTTGCAGCATCTGCAAAGGTGAGCATAATTATAAAACTTGTACAACTGGAATGGAAAACGCTATTTGTGTACACTGCAATGGAAATCACACAAGTGTATCACCGCAATGCCCTGTTAAACAAAAGAAAATTGCTGAAAATAGATCTAAATTCAGACCTGCTTCTTTTGGAGATATACTTAGCACTGAAATATTTCCTAAACTGGGTAACAAACCTAAAAAAAATGTAGACCTAATTTCAATTCTAAATTCTGATAACAAGAGTTTATCACTTTTAATAGAAAGCATAATCAAACTTATTTCACTACATAACACAAAGAACACATCTATTAACACTAAAAGTGTTTTGAATGTGTTATATGATACTTTTGGTAATAGACCTATTTCACAAAATTCAATCGAGACCAATTAACTATCATACAGTGGAACGCTCAGAGCCTACTGAGCAATCGACATATTTTTACACAATTTTTAAATGAACATCATATTCACATTGCTCTCATCTCAGAAACTTGGCTAAAACCACATTACAAATTAAAAATTAAAGATTATTGTATAGAACGAAATGATTGTGGTAATAACCACAATGGAGTAGCGATTATTATACATAATAGTATTAGATATAAAAAACTTCACTCTTTTTTCGACAATTCTTTGCAAACTATAGCTATTAGTATTGAAGTTAATAATTCTTGGTATTCAGTTGCCAGTATTTACTGTCCTACCAATAGTACACCTAGTTTTACTAAAGCCAAATTTAAGTTCTTTTTGGAGTCTCTTCCTAAACCCACTTTCATATCTGGAGATTTAAATGCACATCATACTATGTGGGGTTGTACCTCCACTAATACAAGAGGTAAAGACATTCTTGATTGTTTAGATGAATGTAATTTGGTACTATTAAATGATAAGCAAGTTACTACTGTTGGCTCTCATATTTGGAGACCCAATGGCCTTGATTTAACTATGGTATCCCCATCCATATCATTAAAATGCGAGGGGTCGGTTCATGATGATCCGTTAGGAAGTTATCACCTGCCGACTTTTACTAAAATAAACACAAAGAACTCTTCATCAACTCCGTCAGGTGAACAACATGCTCCTATAGATGAAGTTAATAAACTTTTGTTAAATCGTATAAACCTACGTCTCGTTAATTGGGATCTTTATTCTGAAACTGTTAATCGATTACTTTTGGATTTCGAGTATGATATCAATGAACCCTTAAACAATTACAATAGGTTCTGTAAAATTATTTTGACAGCTGTGGAACGTTCCGTTCCACGTAGGAACTTATCAAATAGCGGTGCAAATACTTCAAAGAGGCACAAACATATTGCAGTACCTTGGTGGAATAACAGGTGTGCGACAGCTGTCAATGATAGTAAAGCGGCTTACCTTAGGTTTAAACAAAATCCAACTCTCGATAATTACATAAATTTTAAAAGAGTTCAAGCTGTTAAAAAGTTAGTAATTAAGCAAGTAAGACAACAGGGGTGGCAGGAATTTTGTTCCAAATTTAATAGATTAACACCGATTTCCACTGTTTGGCAAAATATGAGAAAACTAAATTCAAAACATCGTCAAAATCATTTTAAAGATATATCATGGGTCAATGATTTTTTACGCAAATATACTCCTGATTTTGTACACTCATCTTTTGATGACAAACAGTTTAATTCTGTTAATTCATGCCCAAAATTTCTCACTGACCCATTCTCAATTGATGAAATATCCAGTGCAGTAAAATCTAGAAAAGATACAGCTAGTGGCCTTGATCGCTTAACATACAATATGTTTCGATTGCTGAATAAAATAAACCTTACTAAACTCTTACAAATTTTTAACGATTTATGGAAGGACTGTATTATCCCACCAGAATGGAAAATGGATTGTTTGATTCCAGTAATTAAACCCGGTAAAGATCCTACAAATTTCGACTCCTATAGACCTATAACATTGACGTCCTGTGCAGGCAAATTATTCGAACAATTAATTAAACAGCGTTTAGAGTTCTTTATTGAAAGTAATAGTATATTACCATCGAATCAATTTGGTTTTCGCCGTGGATATTCAGCGCGCGAAAGTTTAGCGAACTTCTATGTCGACCTTAGTACTGCTTTGAATAACGATGAATATGTTCTATCTGTTTTTTTAGATGTCGTAGGAGCTTTTAACAATGTAAATTTAACAGTTCTATCTTCGATTTTATCCTCATTTCTTCCAATGAAACTTATCGAATGGATTTATAATTTTCTTAGTAATAGAGAAGTGTATGTTAAAGTAAATAGTAAATTAATAGGACCTAGGTTAAGCTCTAAAGGAGTATGTCAAGGTGGTATTCTAAGCCCGCTACTATATATTTTATATATCTATAAACTTAATTCAATTTTAGGAAACAGTGTGAACAACTTGCAATTTGCCGATGATTTATTAATTTATATAAAAGGAAAGAATATTATTGATATGCAATTAGTGTTAAATGAGTCATTAAAAAGACTTGAGAAATATTTTTCTCTTCTTTCCCTCGATATTAGTTTAACCAAAAGTAAAGTAGTTGTTTTTCATCAAGTTCATAAATATGTTCCATTAATGAATATTATACATAATAATCAAACTCTTCCAACAGACTGTAGCGTTAAATTTCTGGGGGTAATTTTTCATCAAAATTTAAAATGGGATCTATACGTTGATTGCTTAGTAGATCGTGCTTTAAGAGCCACTAATATAATAAGATCTGTAATTGGTCGTAACTGGGGAGCTGATCCTAAAATTATCCTTTTACTTTACAAATCTCTTGTTAGAAGTAATTTTGATTACGCTTTCTTTTGTTATGCCTCAGAACATAAATTAGTAGAAAAACTCGAAAAAATTCAAAATATGAATTTAAGACTTATTTTAGGTGCTATGTATACTTCTCCAATTATCTCAATGCAAGTAGAATGTAATTTGCCTCCTATCCTTCTTCGTTTCGAATACCTAAAACTCAAATTTCTCTTCAAAGTTTTTTCAGTTTCCAATAACCCACTCATACTCAAATTATTAAATTGCCCCATTTCTATGTTTTTGAATAAAACTATTGTCAATGATTTGAATTTACGAGATGAATATAACATCTATAGTAGTAAGATACTTCCTTGTTATAATGGCCTTTATGAGAGTAAGTTCTGTAAGATCAAAATTGTTATACGTAAAGACATAAAAGAAAAGCACGATATGTATGAGACTTTATCAGAATTTATTGACTACAGGCAGATATATACAGATGGTTCCAAAAATGCACTTAGCACTTCAGTGGCTTTTTACGATTTGTCAAATAGATTTGGTCACGGTTATAAAATTTCAACTTTGGCTAGTATTTACACAGCAGAAGCAAAAGCTATATTTTTAGCATTAGAATACATAGAAAAACAGGTACTATATTCGAAATGGATTATAATTACAGATAGTATGAGTGTTCTTATGGCATTAAAAAATAACACATTCATTTCATCATCAAACTACTTAATTCAAGAAATTCGTAATAAATATTATCATCTCTGTACTATATATGGAAAAGATATTATCTTCATCTGGACCCCTTCACATATTGGAGTGTTTGGGAATGAACAAGTAGACACTTTGGCTAAAATTATTAATTCAAGTGCTGCTCGTGTTCAAGATTTACCCCTTTGTTACTCAGATTGTAGTATTGGAATACATAAAATCGTTACAACTAAATGGGAGGAGCATTGGACTCAAATATTACAGACTAAAGGCAAATGGTACCGCAAAATTAATTGGCGTATTGGAAAACCGTGGTTCTGCAAAGGAAAGGACACAAACAGAAAATTTTACACCAATATTTGTAGATTACGAATCGGCCACGGACATTTCAACGAACACCTGCACCGAATGGGCATGATCGCTTCCCCATCATGCACATGGTGTAACTCAAATACAGCCCAATCTCTACATCACCTTTTTTTTGATTGCTCTGAATTTGTCATTCAAAGACACATTATGTTTGACGAACTTAGGATTATCTTCAAAAAACCCGAAAATATCCCGCACTCAATCCCGCTTCTCTTAAGATTTCCTTCTTGTTTCAAAGCTATTTTCACTTATATTACTACAACATTCAAGGAGCTATAAGAATACTTTTATTGAATTGCAAGACAATGATTTTTTATAATTATTTATTTTTAATTTGATAAATCCACTGGTTTAAGAAAACTCAAGAAAAGATATTTATGAAAATGTACTTACCGGATTTGACAAATGAAATATTGAAGATTATGACAATAATTGAAGCGACATTAGAAAAATAAAATTCCAGACAATTTATCTTTTTGAAGACTAGGCAGCATGGTCTCCGACCTTAGCCTGTTCCAAACGGAACAAACGTACTAAAAAAAAAATCAACTATCACTCAGCGAATGTTCTTGCTATTACAATTTTTTTCAAATTTTCAAATCTTCATTATAATATCATATTTACTAATTTTGCATATCTAATTGTAAAAATTGGTCTTCTGTCTGTAATTTATTATTATAACTTTTAACTAACTCATTACAATATATATTTGTGTAGAATCTAAAAAATAACCTAATAGTCAATATTTATTTTATAATGTCTATGTTTTAATTTTAACGCATATATAAAATGTTTTTTATCCATTAACAATTGTTATACATATATAAAAAATATTAATTTATACTTAAATTCTTGTTTCATTCAGATTAATGAAAACATGATTGGTTCAAGCCTTGTAAGATTTGTAAGTGTATTTTATTTGAATTTCTTTAGTTACTCAATAGGTAAACTTATTGTTTTCAATATTGTATACTTATTCTCTACAGTAATAATTAATACTTGCCAATCTGATAGAAAATTGTAGCTATTACTTATAGATATATAACACCCTATATATCACAATATATTATACCTTAGTGGCTTTTCCATAGATTTCTAATGTTAAAGAAATGCTATTAAAATTTGTTATTATTTAATGGTCACATATATATAATGACTAGCTTTATCTGTGACTTTGTCCGTCCGTGAGATCAGAATATATTTATATACATATACTAACAGATAAAAACCTTATTTCTTTAAATTTCAGTTAAAAAATAATTGGAACTTAACATCAAAGCAAATTTTTAGAAGTACATCATATATGCAACATCAACAAATGCGATTGAAAAGTGATCTCTATGAACCAGATTATCTTATTGTAAGTGTAAGAATAAAATATTACATCAATGTTACTTATGATCTAAGAATTTGATACATAGTCCTGTACATTTTTTTCCATTACTATATTATATTACTGATAACTAAATTATCTAATTTGGGATTTGACTGTAACAACTAAGTTTTGTATCATGTCTTCTAATATAATTTTATTTATTTTGCTTTTAAATTCAGTACTAGAAAATAATCTGCATGATGAAATTTGTTTTGATCTTTCTAATTTTATTGTTAAAATCTATTTCTCCTTATTCATAAAAACTAAAAACTTACAAACCTATTTTAACTATTACATTGTTTTGTTCCTTTCATTCAGATAGAATTTCACACAAAAGAAATAGACAAAACAGTTCAATAGCTAAAATAAGTTTTTTGATCAAGAGGTTTGATGTTTTTATAAATAAAATTGAAATACAACTAGATTGACATGAAAATACAGTTATGTAAATGGATTGTTATTCATTATACAAATAATATATAAATTAGTAAATAAATTATGCTATTTTATAATATTGCTTATATTAAGTTTATTATTGTTTTTTCAGAGTATGGAACCAGATGAACCTGTATATGACTGTTTAAACCTACAGTTGAAAGGCTATGACTTTGCATTACTAGAAGCAACTCAAAGTCAAATTCATAAATATGCCGAGGTGATGGGCATTCAAGTTGATGAGTGGTATGTCTAATGTAATTGGCTAAATACATTTGAATGAAATTTGACTCAAACAGGATTCTCTTCATTATAATTAAACATTGGAAAGGCCCAAAGTTAAATATGATATAATTTTCCACTAAATTACTCATATATGCAGTTTGCATAAATGTAATGATAATCTAAGCTGAGCCAAATTATGAAGACTTTCATTTCCCAAATCACAACAATATACATCTTTGATTTTTCAATTCTTAAAATATTTACAAATTTACAAATAAAAATCACATAAAAATATTTATAATCAAATATTTTAAGTGTTTTTCTGCATTTAGCTGGGCTACACCAGCACAGCAGTTGAAAGTGCAAAAATTCAAGCCTGGTGGAACTGCAATTGACACTGAATATCATCTCAACATATATGAGCGTAATGTTCAGGTAATACATATTTATTTAAGCAATGCAAGTACCTATTAATTATTCTTATACTTTATTATAATTAAACTTAAAAAATGCAATTACTGTGTTCTTCATACAAGTCATAAGAGTATTTATTTATGTTATAAAAAGGCCGAACTTTCAGTTTCTGTCAGATATCTAGAGTTTCCATTTAGTTTCTGCAACAAACTGGCTAAAACTACAACCAAAACCAATTAAACGAAACTATATTCGAAAATTTATGCTATATTTATGCTATGGACTTGATTTTTTTGTAGTCTGCATACCTTACATACCCAATGGCAAGACATCTTGTTGGCATTATCAATAGATAAGGGATTATGGTACATGATAATGCTTATTAGCCTAACATAAAAAAATCATAGATGTCCAATAATTTAATCTATTACATTTTTATTTTATATTATTCTTGCTAAAAAAAGTCTTATGACAAAATACTACAACCTGTTCAGTGATATGTTATTTCGTTAAACAAATATAGTAAAATCGGAAAAATACATTATATTTACTTATTTCGAACTAAAATTCTGACTAAAACTTTTATAATATTATTTACTAGCAACTCGCCCCGGCTTGATACGGGTAGAAAGATAAATAAATTGGTATTTAGAGCAATAGCAGATTCAACAATTTTACTTGCAACCAGAATATGTTCATTGACTGAGATAAAAAATAGCCTCCGTCCATCTCCGTTTGTTTATATCAAACTTCATTGTGATTGGTTTAGCCATTAAGATGCTAAAAGATATTAGACGAACTTACTTTCATATTTATAATTATAAAAAATTTCATAACTTAAAAGTTTTTGTTTTCAACTGACTTTAAAAAGAGAGGTTCTTAATTCGATTGTTTTTTTTTTTTTATGTTTGTTACCTCATAACTGCATTAGTTATAAACCGATTTTGAAAATTCTTTTTTTATGTGCAAGGGCTTTTCTTATTAGATTGGTAACCAATAGACATTTTATTAAAATCGATTCAATAGTTTAATTTTGAATTCAAAATTAAACTATTGAACCATTGAAGTTGATTTGTGGAACATAATCTTATATATCGTGTTCTCTAAATAGCAGTCTAAGTTTAATTGATTGAAATTTTTATTGATTTCTAGTAAAAATCTATATTATTTTAAAGATATCCTGTTTTATATACTTTTATATATTATAATATCCTATTTTTCTGGATTTAGTTTAGTGATAACATCACTGAATATTTGGTAAATTTCTGATGAAAGTTTATTTTTATTTTTTTTACCTAGTCCAAAACTACGCGGTATAAAAGAAATAAAACCCATTTTACTTTTGTTACTTGATTAATAGAGTATGTTTTTGCTTTTTTGTCTACATTAATATTATAATGAGAACAAATTTGCTTTTTTGTTCCTTATGTATAAACCCAAAAATATACTTAGCCTATTTTAAAAATTCTTCCACCTACAGAAAGCTACATAATTAGCGAGTAATATGGATAGAATTTTATTATTTATTTATTTATATTTATTTGTATGCCACGTGGTACAAATTAGATATAAGTAAGCACATAAGACATGTGATACCGCGTAGGGCACCACAATTTTCAGAGAGAACCATCCACTTTTGATGACAATTAAAATCACATAGTATTATTTATTTTTATTTATAATATTATATTATGAATTAAATGTAATAATACATATTAGCTATTTATATTCAAAAAATTCACTTAATGTGTAATTTGTTTTATTTATTAGATACTTTTATAACTCGATTCTAAATTTTTTATGACTTTCAAAGTTTTTTATCCCATTAGGTATTTTGTTATATATTTGAATTGTCATTAATTGGGCACCAGATTTAACTAACTGTAGTGTTGTATTGTATGGATACTTAATTTTATTTTTATAGGTGAATAAAGGTGTATATTTTTTTGTTACAAATTTGCAGCATTCTAGTATATAATATATATAGATATAATGGTAAGCATTTTATATTTTTTTAAATATGGTGTATATGAGGTTGTTAGATTTATATTTATTATTATACGGCAGCATTTTTTTAAGAGTAAATAAGTCCATTATACTAGTACCACTTCCCTACAGAATAATATCGTATGTGAGGCAGGAATAGGCATACGCATAGAAATAGGCATACGCTGTAAAAGCAAATTTTATATCGCTTACTTTTTTAAATTATTTTAGGATATATAAGAAGGAAGATAATTTTGTAGTCTTTATGTGTTGTTTCCAAACAAGACCAGAATCAATTTCAATGCCTAAAAGTGTAGCCAAGTCTTCTATTTTGATGTCTATATTATTATATTAGTGTTGGATGTCAAGTGATTTCTTTTGGTATAGTTTAAAGTGTAAAATTATAGTTTTATTTAGATTTAACAACAAATTGCGGATATTTAACCAGTCTTTTATAATTTTTAAGATGTTGTCTAGTTTGATTTTTAGTTCATAGATATTGATGCATGAGAATAAAATGGAGATGTTATCAGCAAAAAAAATTTAATGTTCGTTCAATATTTTAGGCAAGTCGTTTATGTATATTAAAATAGTATGCATCCTAACACGCTTCCCTAAGGTATTGAATTTTTTGTTTGGATTTTTTTAGATCGAATGTATTCGATTTTCCTGGATGCGATATTTGTGTTTTCTATTTCTACATATTGTTCTCGTTTGGAAAAATAAGATTTTACCCCATTTATGAGTTATTCCTCTTATTCATGTATTATATCATTTATTCAGTAGTATGTCATATTGTACCCTGTCATATGCTTTGCTTAGATCTAGTAATAATCCAATGGCATATTTTCTGTTATTTATAGTTTCTAGTATTTTACATGTGTATTTATATATTGCTAGCGTTTTGACCTGTTTTTACGAAAGCCATTTTGAAAATATTTGATGGCAAATCAAATATTTTGTATTTTTCATAAAAAGAGTAGAGCCTCTTCGCTATTACTCGTTCAAATATAGCTGATGATGAGGGAGTAGTGTTAGTGGACGGTAGTTGTTTGGATCTGTCGTGTCCCCCTTTTTATGTATAGGTTTTATAATTGATACTTTAAGGGCATCTGAAAAGGTGCCTTCTGACAACGATTTAATTATTAGTTAAGTACCTGATAAAACTAAGGTCTCAATACATTTCTTAATTAAAATAGGAGGGATTTTATCAATACCATAACTGCATTTATTTTTAAAGTTTTTTAACATATAATATATTTCGTTTTGATCGACAGGTTTTAAAAATATTGTGTTTACAACTTATTTTACAACGTTTTCCAAAAAAACTCTTCACTGCGACAATCTTTTTTTAGATACCTTTTCTGTCTACACCTTCATACGATAAGAAATCTGCTTTGTATTTCTTAACTCGTCTTTGTCTCCTTCCGCGTCACTCGTTCCGGATGTACTCGAAGCTGAAGTGCTCTTCTTCCAAGAAAACTAGCACTCATTCGATTTACCGCGAGTTGTCCAACGCTTATCTTGTAATAATTTAGTCTTCACTAAACCAACTGATATTACAATTCCCGAGTGCTCACGTGCCATGATCATGGATTCGTACTCCGATAGTAAACCTTGCAGCATTATTGCCTAAAGAAACTTATTAGTATATGGCAAAAAAATTGTGAATATGTCTCATATTCATGTTTGGAGAAAAAAATTCTACTTTGACATATGAGTAAAAATAAAAATCATCATCTGACGACCCTCGTGAGAAAACTTTATTATTATATTTTTTATACAACTGAGAATGGCAAGCAAGCTGACAGCCCACCTGATAGAAAGTGGTAACCGTCGCCTATAGACATGAGCAGTACCATAGACATAATAGAGTATACTGTTTCGCCCATGATACCCCCCATGCGTTGCCATTCCTGAGGACTTAGGTGTTATTCCTCTGTACTCTGTAAATTCACTGCCATCCCACCTTTCAAACCGAAACACAGTCATGCAAACACAACTGCTTCACAGTAGAAACACGAATGGGACAACGGTGCCCAAGCAAACGACTTTTGTACAAAGTCTCCCTCTGGTATATTACATTATATTTATTACATATGTTTCCAATGCAATGAACAATATTTTTTTTAGGTTATTGATGTTCCCGCGTGGGCTCTAGGAACACTGTTGCGAGTAGCTCGCGCCACTCTTCCAGAAGGATGCACTCTCAATGTACACGAGCATACCATAGAACATGAAGAAATTAGATATGTACCTGATAACCAGCTCCTAGAACTGAAGCAACAACTTGAGGACATGGGTGGGAGCCGCGCGGAGAAGAAAAAGAAGAAATAAATTTAATATTTTGTAGTTCATAATTAATGTAGATATAAAAGAAATATAATAAATCAATTAATATTCGTATACCTAAAACTATATTATTTTCTTCTCCCGATAATTTCCTGGGGTAAAATTTAAAAGAATAATTGAAAAATTATATAATGGTATCTATCCAGCGTAAACCAATAGCTCATACAAAATTATCATTGGCTCGCCTTCCGATGGGCGCAGATTATTTCTTCCCAAAATAGAAACATATCTTTTAGTATATCTGCATTGTATTAGTCTGGGTGTTTTCTATGTAAATATAAGAAGTGTTATAAAAATAGTAAATCAATTCTGAACTAATAAAATAACAGTAATTATGGTAATGCAGATATTTCCTCGTTGAATATAAATTGTAAAAATTGTAAATTGTACCTTATGCGACTGTATGTTTCTTGAATAAAAATATTTTTTTTTTAGTAAATCAATTATGAACTAATAAAATAATAGGAAACCATGAAACCTCTGGATATTCCTTACTAATATGATATTAACGCATCTAGCTAATTGCGTAGGATCTACAAACTGTTATATGTACTTACTCACATACTTAATGTTCCAAAAGATGAATTGATGACGCCAGCGGCCTTCCGTTCACCACTCACAATAATTACTATATTTATTCTACTAAAACATAAAACCTGTCAGTAGAACGTTTCTTAAGTAAACATCTGCAGTTCGTGCGAATATACATCAGTAGTGGATCATTTTGAACAAAGGTCTCATTTTGTTGCATGAGAATTACCTACCTATGTGCAATCATAATGGATGGCTATGCATTATATATGGCTTATTATTCGAGCAATTATAATTTGAATAGAGCAAATTTATGATATACAGGTAAACGGCGCAACTATTTATAATTTTTATAATCTATTTTTATATATTATTAAGGAATCTACTAAATGTGTCAAACAAACAAGCTGCCAAGTGATGACAAGTAAATTGGTGGAGACATGAACAGAATATACTTACTTTAGTATTCATTACAACCTATACACAGTTATGTATGATAACCATCTACCATGTTTTACTACAATTCCCTTAAAACCACGTTTTATCTGTTTCAATTTCAATATCATTTAATAAAAATGTAAACAAACGAATAAGTGACGCGAGCATAAGACTGCTGATGTCCAACAGTAATACAAATAAACAACTGAAAAAAAGAATCGATTAGAATGTTTGGATATATTACTAATTTAGAATGTTTTTGTAATCATTTAAAAAACTTTTTATTAAGTTATATGGAAATAGACTTCTTCGTGCGTTCTTTTAATCTGAACAAAATTTTATGTTCTCTTTTATTTAAGTGAACATGTATTTAGGAACATAGGTTTTATTTTTATGGATAATAATGTAATGGTAACTCCGCCCGTATTATCGGTATACGTTGGCAGGACACCAGTGAGAAATGATAGGTGAGGATGAAAAGGCAGGTCAGTCAACCTATCGTGATGAATACACTTTGAATAGAACACGATAGTTTCCAGGGGAACTGCGAGGAGGTCGACCTGACCGGGTGTATTACTAGCAATGGGCCTACTAATCCCCATTATTAACAACCCCTTCTCCCCCCTAGGAACGTAGGTTAGGTATTTATTACGATTTTGCGTTATCGTTAGTGAATTTTTATCTAAGAGGTTTAATGGATGATAATGGAATGGTAACCCCGCCTGTGCTAACGATATACGCTGGCGGGCCACCAGTGAGGGATGATAAATGAAAATGAAAGAGCAAGTCGGTTACCTCATCGTTTCAAATACACCTGGAATACAGCACGATGGTTTTCAGGGGGGACCACGTGGAGGTCGACCGCATTACTAACAATCTCCCCCCCCTATCTAAGAGATATAACCTATCCACACAGGGAGGAAAAGGAATTGTTAGTAATGGGAACTAACTGCCCCATTACTAGCAATACACCCTATCAGGTCAACCTCCACGTGATTCCCCCTGGAAATCATCGTTGTTAATTAATCATGATAGGCTAACTGACCTGCTTTCATCGTCACTTGTCATCCCTCATTGGTGCCCCGCCAGCGTATACCGATAGCGCAGGCGGGTGACAATTTCATTATCACCCACTAAAAAAACCTATCCACATAAATAAAACAATGTGTCTACCATAGGTATCATGTTATTCATATACCTATATGTTTTGTTACGATTAAAATCACTGTTTTTGCGGAGCAAAATATACTTTTTATTTTATGCAATTTTTGAGTTACGTAATAACATAAATGATCAGTATTAGTAGTATACTAACTACTTTCATAAACTGAAGTGCAAAAAATCCTTGATACTATTTTTATTTTTTAAGAGTTGCATTATTCAATGTTTATCCAACCCAACCAGTATACTGCTAGAAATAGAGCAATAAAATAAGAGTAAATGTCGTTCTATTAAAAAAGTTTAGATATTATCTTTTTCGTAAGCATTAATAACTACCGAAGCTAACTGGAACACAACCATTTCTTATACCTAATAGGTAATCACTGCACAACTGTAGACTTTTAGGTAGATATTTCCTGTAATGAATCTAGACTGCTTTACGAAAGCAAACTATCGAGTTTAGGTTTCTGCAATGTGTAATAGAATATGTTTCTCTGTAATCACTTGATAGACAATCCTTTCCTCTCGCGGCGAAATGACCGTCGCGGCGTCCGATCTTGCAACACCACATACACGTAGGTACATTCAAAACATCAATTTACTAAGATGATCGACCTCAGAATTATTCGCATTACAAATTATAAGTACAACGAAAATTCAAAATAAAAAAATTAAATAGGTGAAAAAATGGTTATTTCTATAGATTTAGCCGCGTACTTGTATTTACCTAATTAATTTCTCATCAAGAAGTTTATAGGATACATAGTCAGATATAGGTTACGTCTTAACTAATTATAAAATAGCATTTTAATCTATAATCTTCAATATTACACAACAGTCTTATTTTTCGCTGCGAAAATCACATTCTAGATAAAAGGTAATTACTCTTATCCAGCTAGCGCCGTGACCTCTCAGTGATTGCTCTACAGCATGTTGCGAAACTGAGCATAGTGGGCATGGTACTGTATCTATTATCCGAGTCCAACGCGAGTATAATGTTAAGTTCGTTGTTTTAATACCACTGTACTTGTTTCATATAAGGACATTGATGACTATCCTAATCTAACCTAATCTGAAACAATATAGAGCCTCAGACTATGTTCAAACGGTATGCAGGTAGGTAGGTACTATATCTGGGTACATATTTATCTAAGAATTAGTAAGTAAAGGACAAGCACCTCCATCACACTGGTAACTAGCTGCTGTAATTGCCATAGTGGATTTTTCACCAAAATATGTATTTACGAAAGATGAATAAAGATTTTAACCCTATTGAAAAATTTAATTTATACAAACAATAATTAATCTTACTAATTTTATTATGGACTATTATAAACGCGAAAGTTTGTTAGTATGTATGTTTGTTACTCTATCCCACAAAACTGCTGAACAGATTTAAATAAATTTTGTGAAATAGATAGCTTATAACTTAATATATAGTACTATAACGATTCACTCAAGCACAATCGGAGAATACAGTTAGTGATTTAATAAGAATAATAACATTTTCTGGCAGTTTAAGTAGGGCAGTCCAGCTACAATTATATTCCTCAATGAATGACCTTAACCTAACTTGACCTGACTAACCCTAGATCTTCATCATATAACAATAATGTTGATTCTCAAACTCATAAAGTAACCGTGTACTAGCTGAGGATAAATAATTGTATAAATATTCAGGACGCGCATCGCACGAGAGGTGCGCAATCAGTGCGTGCGCGACACATCGCTTAGCACCGGGCACGGGCGCACCCTCGTGCACCTGCCTCCGTCATATTCGTATCTCATTATGCAGTTGAAATCATCACTTTATATGAGTCCCACAGTAGGATAGTGTCTACCTTTGTCGATTGCGGTTGCACAGAACACGTCGTTTCTAAGCAGGTTTTATTGCTAAACACATTGTACCTACAATAGTAAATACATACATATAGTAGTACATAACATAATGACATTAACCCTTTCAGAACTGGCGTGCACAATTGTAGACATAAGATATAATTTAAAAAATAAATACTAAACTTTCAAGCTTTCCGATTGAAAAGGGGTTGTATTCGTTTGTTCACTAATAAACTACTTAATTTAATACTACTTACGCCATTTTTTAGGATATTCTAGCGTTTTTCGACAATTTGCGACTAGTGTCCGGGCGTGATTTGAACTGTACAGGTGAGCTTTATATTTTATTTAAAAAAAAATAAATTAGTGCATGAAATCATCTGGAAAAAATATAAACGGATATCTAATATTATTGGGGTCATATGTAACGTAATATTTGTGTATTTTTTTGTTACCTTATATTGGTAATCTCGATTTTTATATTTGTGCTCAATTGTTCCCATCAGGATTTAACTGAGTTTTTCTCATTGTTCACGGTTTTTTACAAAAATATGTTTTGTTTATATTTTTAACGTTTTTCTAATCATGTTTGTAAGATAAATATATAAAATGAATTATGATATTGTTTACTTATATTTTCGGATGCAAAAACACCAATATGTCCTCATTGGAGGCGTTACAAGTATTAGATGAAGGAGATCTTTCTGACTTATTATTATCATCTGATGACGAAGATAATTATTATGGAGATTCAATTTGTCCAGCAAATTGAATCTAGCAGCTAATGCTAGAATTAGCGCAGATGTTATTTACCAAAACTAAAGGGAGTTTTTTCCACCTGAATTTGATGACAATGAAGGACCTAGCGAATTGTATGACGGCGTTCCTGCTTTACTTTGACAATAATTTTTCATCATACCATTTACTACAAATCCTAAAACAAAAAGGTATTATGGCCGCATGCACAGCTCGTGTTAACAGATTTGTTAAACCACCGTTTTTAAGTGACAAGGTAACAAATAAGAAGCCTAGGGGTTTTTTTCAAGAAGTATGTAGCAGAGACGGAGATGTAACTGATGTAAAGTGG